AGTGTGACTTACATTCTTTATTGGTATCATCTCTATAAATTCCAAATTAGTTACTCAAGCTCTCCAAGTAGCTAAGTAGCTTCTATTGGGTTTTCTTCTAAATGTTACATGTTGTGTACTTTTATGACACCTTAGTTTCTTAATGTGTACAAAATGCCATCTATTAACAGAAAGCATAATAAAATATATCCATAGTAGAACTAAAACAGCTGTTCATCATCTTGGACAGTAATAATTTTCCTGAAGAAGAAGTGGACGAATAATGTTGGAACATTGATTCTAATGCTACAATTCACTGAAAATGTATTTGAAATCTGTAATTGAAAAATATAGGCAGTTAAGAGTCAAAACAAACTGAATTGGGTATATACATATTAGTGTTTTCAGCTTTTCCTTTTTCGGCTTTTTTAAAAATAACATTGAATAATAATTAATTAAATAATAAATTGAAACAATGTATTTCATAAAATGAACCAAGATATGAAAATCCAAAAATGAAGATCTCTTTCTAATTTGCAGGGAAAAAAATATATTTAGTGTATAGGTTTGGGGGTTTTTTACAGTTTTAAGGTTTTATAATAAATTGTTCTTAAGTCTGGTACCTTTTATCATTCACAAACACTATAATAATAGTATAATATGTGAGTGAGTAAAAATAGTTATTTGTATCATATCAGTATTTTGTGGTCTTACACAGTAGGTACTCTGACCCACAAGGTTGCCTGGCTCCCTGAACTTATTTGAGAAATTAGCCATCAGTGGAATTACTTTAAAACTATTCATTAAATGCACCACTCTTGACAAGTCAGCCTTATTACTGTAAAACATGAAATGACTCCACTGAGTAATTATTCAAATATTTATGTGTGAAGTTTCCCTCTTTGCATTTAGCAAGTATAATAAAATACTTATGAAAAATCAGTGTCTTTGCTACAGTATAATGGAGAGTCTCTTTTAGCTTATTTATACATAAAAAGCCAAAGTAAACATCAGAACATTTACAAAGTACATTTAGTATTCCCTTCTGTCCCCCCTAAAAAGAAAACACCAGTATGAAATCGTTCTGTGATTCTGTGCACTTCATCTCCTCCTGCTGCCCAGTACGTAGCTCATCGATGGTGGAAGAATATGATCATTTAAATGCAACAAGAGCATCTTTGTAGTGGGCCTGCCCTCTTTCAGCAGCAGCACAGAGCTAGAATTCATCCCTCCATTGGCTCTATTTCTCGTAAATGAAGGAGCTGAGTAACCAAGAAGCCGGCTAGACCTTCCTCCCTTCCTGAGCTTTGAGGGCCAGGTCTTTGCAGATTCCACCCTTCCTTCCTGAAAGCCTGGCCTCCAAAGGGTAGTAACAGAGAGATGGAAAAAACACACACATCCACCCAGCGCTGACCTTTCATCTCTCCTGAGATGGTCTCAGTGTGTTTGCCTTGGAAAGTATGCCCTGCAGATCTACTACCAAGACGGTCTTTATGGCGACTTTTTAATGGATTGAAAAAAGTTCTGTTTTAAATTGTTAGAATTGAACCTTGAAGAATGCTTTGGACATTCTGCACAGAGAGTGAGGGTAACGCCTAAGTGAAGTAGTTGAATCCACCCACAGATATTTAGGAATCAGAAGTTTGTCTCCTTTCTAGGTCTGTAGCAAAAAATGGGACAAAAAAAAATTAAAAGTAGTGTTCACTTTTAAATTTTTATTTTAGAATGAATAGGTTGCCATTTACAGAAAAGTTGCAAAGATAATATAGAAAGTGGCCAGCTTCCCCTATTGTTAACATCTTATATTACTATGGTACATTTGTCACAATAAGAAACTAGTGTCAATTCATTATTGTTACCTAAGTTCTATACTTTGTATTTCATTTGTTTTTCCCTGATGTCTTATTTTCTGTTCCAGGATGCCATCCAAAATAGTATGTTACATGTAGTCATCATGTCTCCATAGCCTTCCACTTAGAATCTATTTTCCCTTACAATGGATTTTATTGGGATTTTTTTACATATGGAGTAAATAAGACTTTTCTGAAGGTGTGATACTGGGATACTATTTCACAAAGCCACATCCCAACCCTTTTTATATTTTGAGACAGGGTCTTGCTAAGTTGCCTAGGGCCTTGCTAAATTGCTAAAGCTGGCCTCAAATTTGCAATCCTCCTGCCTCAACCCGAATTGCTGGGATTACAAGCATGTACCACCACACCTGGCTAAGATTATTAAACCATAGCTGGGGACTGTGAATTCTGATTCCTTTTACATCTGTGGAAGAAACTTCCTTTTATCTCTCAGTTCAAAACATTTTATTTATTTGTGGTGGTGGAAGTCAAACCCAGGGCCTCATGCATGCTAGGTAGGCGCTCTACCACTGAGCTACAGCCCCCAATCTCAATTGAAAACATTTAGAGGATGATGACTTGGGGGGGAAAAGCCCAGGAAAGTACTGGAGTATCATTAGAACTAATGAACTACTCCTTTGACACATCGTGATATGCTTTCTTCCAAATAATTACTGCTATTTTATCTATGACAGAAAAAGATTTTGTGGCTATGGATATAATAGCCTCAGGATGAGGGGAAAGGGGGCTTTTTTTTTGATGATTAGATCAATGTCAATTTCAAAAAAACTAATGATGATTTGGTTCATAGTGCAGGCTGAATGCAGTTGCCTGTTTGTTTCTAACCTCTACTAACCCATAAGTAAAGATCAGGTACAATTCTCTACATGTATCCACAACCATTGTTATAACAGAAAACACACAATAGGCTCTCAAGAAATAGAATCTGAGGAAGAAGGCCATAATTATTTTGTTCAGTCTTCAGGACTTCTTTGAAAGGTGGCAGTGGAAAATCTCTTGACACGAAGCACTCTGGTCCCTTCCCTGGTTTCCTGCTTTATAGAAGGAAGTAAGCCCAGCCCGGTTAGCTTCTCTGTGCCTTAAAGCTCGGGCAGAGATCCCCACATGCCTGGAGAATTCCAGCACATGTGTGTTTGTTCTCCCACACATCACTGCTAGATAAAACCTCCCTGTCCCTTTTTTATGGGTTTATTTCCCCATTCAAAAATCTGTAGGGACTTCCTGTTTTCTAGAGAGAAAAGCTTTTCAACATTGCATCTCTCCACCCTAACCCAGGCTCTCCACAACTTTACTACATTCATCATTATAATCATCAACAAATAATTATTTCATACCTTCATTTCCATAGGCTTTCCTGCCTTGGGTCTCTGCATATTTTCTTTCTTGACTCTCATCTGAAATTTCTTCCCTTTCTTTAACAAGGCTCAGGAAAAATCCTACCTTCGTTCTTAAGCTGTCACCTCTTCCCTCCCTCTGGTGGTCTCTCTCTCCTGAGACCTCGGGTTTCAACATGCACTCCCTGAGTTGGTGAATTTCCTCCTGGTCTGACGTTTTGCACATTTATTTATATTCCACTTAGAGATCATACATTGATCATATGTGATTTTTATTAATTTTTTTTTACTTAATGAACATTTATATGTCATATATTTTTTTGAAATGTGATTTTTAAAAATGGTTTCATAAGAAATTCCACATTGTACTAAGGCATTTATATCTAGCTAAGACATTTAGTTTTTTTGTTTGTTTGTTTGCTAGAAGTATTGGTGCCCTGACCATTCTTGCTCATATCTATTTATATACTTAATGTAAATTCTAAGAGTGGGCTTCTTGAGATTGATTTTTATTGAGTTCTTGATATATATTTTCAATTTACCTTCAAGATATGGTAAATCAAATCTTTTCCCCATGGGCACATTCATCTTATCGCTGCTCATCAGCACTGAGTATTATAATTTGCTTATGTTGGTGGTTGTTAATTAAGGACTTAAAACCCATCTCGTTGTGGTTTTACATGTCCTAGATATAAGGCCTTTATCAGATCGGTGTTTTATAAATATTTTCTGTCAGTCTGTAGCTTATCTTTTATCACTTTCTGGACAGTATATTCTAAAAGCAGAAGCTTTTCATTATGACTTTCACAATATCAAGTTTTGTCAGAGACTTTGCTTTTGGGGGTCACAAAGATGTTTTCCTGTTTTCTTCAGAAGTTTTATAGTTTTAGGTTTGATTCATTTTCAAATTAGTTTTTGCATATGAGATCTGGATTGAAGTTCTTTCTTATGTGTGGCAATTAGCAAAAGATCAGGAATCTTCCCAGATAAGGAAAATAGAATAATAAGTCTGTCAAAAGCACATTGTTTAAAGAAGTTTGCCTTTAAAATAATACAAGGTAAATTTTTCTAATATATTAGTACTTTCAGACTAATTTGGGACATAACTTGCATTAATAAATGAATGCTTATTGACAGAAAATAATTATTATCACCACTTAGGTTATTTGTTTGGAGGGTAGATTTTCTTATTTCACCTAAACAATTAATATAATTGTATTAATATACTTATTTATGCAACAAGCTTTTGGGGGGTACTGGGGTTTGAACTCAGGGTCACTCAACCACTGAGCCGTATCACCAGCCCTATTTTTTGTGTTTTATTTAGAGATAGGGTCTCACTGAGTTGCTTAGCGCCTCGCCATTGCTGAGGCTGGCTTTGAACTCGTGATGTGATCCTCCTGTATCAGCCTCCCGAGCTGCTGGGATTACAGGCATGCGCCATTGCGCCCAGTTTACAACAAGAATTTTTGAAGAGCTAAGAAATACAACGTACTGTGGTGGATGATGTAGGAAAATAATTTATTTGCAGCTCCCTGAATTACTTGGATGCAATTAATATCTGATTCCTAGAATGAAAGGGAGTCAAAGTAATTAACTTTTTGAACTGTAAAATTATTATTATATGAGGAGCATCTGTCAGTGCTAAGGGACATGGCTCTTGGGAATGTACTAATAAAGATTATGAAGGAAAAAACTGTAAGTGAAACAAATTTTGTAGTGAATATTGCTGGAGGTTATTTGTGCAATGGAAAGTTTCCCAGTGATTGTCAGTGCCACCAGACCTCTCAATCGCCTCCATCTTTCCTTGTAGGTCATCAGCTCCATGAGCTCCCTCTCTGAGTACTGCCTTCCCTCCATTCTACGAACACTCTTTGACTGGTACAAAAGGCAAAATGGTATTGAAGATGAATCCCACGAATACAGGCCAAGAACAAGCAATAAATCCAAAAGGTATGTTTCTTTCCAGTAGGGATATGGCTTTTCTTTGTAAGAAACGTAAAGTAAGTTAGATGGCATCTAGACCTTCTTGACTCTCCACAAGGACACCTGGCAGGTGCTGCAGGGTCCACCTGATCTGTAGCAGGTATCACATTTGGAGCACTTTGCCATTTCCAGCTGTTAAATATTGGAAATTCACACGTCCTTATTTCAACCTTTGTGGGGACAGAGTACAAAGGGCCTCTTGCCTGCTTCATCTCTTTGCCATCTCCTCTCCAATCCACACCCAAATGAAAGTGGTGAGCCCTGATGATGCACTGAGATGTTCTAGTCCTGGCCTGGTAACCTTGGGTGCTTAGTGAGCTGCAAGGGGAAGCCCTGGATGCCCTGGGGCGGGAGTCCCATCTTTCCTGAGGGCTGGTGAACAGAGTGGGAAGTGCAGCAGTTCTAGGGAGTTGGATTGAGTTTAGTCCTGCTGCTGACTGGCCACATGCCTTTGGGTAGCTCCATCTCCCAGGCCCAGGAAGTTAGGTTCATGGTGTTTCTGTGTGACTTCTTCCAGCTGAGAATTTGATTTGTCTATTCTGTGTTCCCTTTTCTCTTGTGGGTTTGAAAAGTGGAAGCTGCAGCCACATAAACCCTTCTACCATAAAATTTAAGATTCCTATATGAGCGATCAATGTGTATCACCCCCTCTGAAAAATTTAAGTGAATACATATGATTTCATGTTTGAAGTAAACCCATTACAGCAAGGCAGTGAGGATATGAACCTTACTTTTTTTTTTTAAAGGTTATTTTATAATCAGATTTCTTTGCATCAATTGATGCATTTTAAAAATAATTTTAAAAAGACAGTAAACTGAAATTAATTACTGAAAATTGGACATTAACTGCTTTCTTGAAGTGGTTTATCCTGCATTTTTCTTGACAGTCTTAGTACTTTTATTAAAAAAAAAAAAGACTTCTTTTGAAATTGAAGATCTGTAATTTTACCAAATTATATTTCATCTAAATTTGTAACATCATTTTATGATATACTCATTTATGCAAGGTTCTGTTGTTTATCATTTTATTTGAAGGAGAGATTAATAACTTTTTCATAGTGAAAATAACTTTAGGTGAAAAAGGGTGAAATATAATTCACATACCATAACACTCAGTTTTAAAGTACATAATCCAGTATTTTCAGTGTATTCTTGAGGTTATACAATCCTCAGCATTATCTATGAACTTTTTAAAAATATTTTTTTAATCATAGATGGACACAAAACCATTTATTTGTTTGTTTGTTTGTTTGTTTGTTTGTTTGTGGTGCTGAGGATCGAACTCAGGGCCTCACACACGCCAGACAAGTGCCCTACCACTGAGCCACAGCCTAGTTCTCTGTGTACTTTTTTATCACACCAGAAAGAAACTGTTACCTATTATCTCTTCAGAAATGCTTTTTTAATTTGTCCAATTTTAAAGGTAAAATTTCTATTCTGTATCTGGAAATGGTCATTCTGTGTGATCAGTAAATGCAGGGGATCATTTTATTATTTCCCGTCTTACATGAGAACTGGTAACACAGTGTGACTCCCGGCAGGCGGGGAGTGCAGCAGTTCTAGGGAGTTGGATTGAGTTTAGTCCTGCTGCTGACTGGCCACATGCCTTTGGGTAGCTCGATCTCCCAGGCCCAGGAAGTTAGGTTCATGGTTTCTGTGTGACTTCTTCCAGCTGAGAATTTGATTTGTCTATTCTGTGTTCCCTTTTCTCTTGTGGGTTTGAAAAGTGGAAGCTGCTGCTACATAAACCCTTCTACATAAAATTTAAGATTCCTATATGAGCAAATCAATGTGTATTATCCCCTCTGAAAAATATAAGTAAATACATATGATTTCATGTTTGAAGTAAACCATTGCAGCAAGGCAGTGAGGATACGAACCTTATTTTTTTTTTTTTAAGGTTATTTTATAAGCAGATTTCTTTGCATAAATTGACACATTTTAAAAATTCTTTTAAAATGACAGTAAACTGAAATTAATTACTCAAAATTAGATATTAACTGCTTTCTTGAAGTGGTTTATCCCTCATTTTTCTTGACAGTCCTAGTACTTTTGTTTAAAAAAAAATTAAACTTCTTCTGAAATTGAAGATCTGTAATTTTATCAAATTATATTTCATCTAAATTTGTAACATCATTTTATGATAATCTCATTTATGCAAGATTCTGTTGTTTATCATTTTATTTGAAGGAGAGATTAATAACTTTTTCATACTGAAAAACTTTAGGTGAAGAAGGAAACTTTTAGTGAAATATAATTCACATACCATAACACTCAGTTTTAAAGTACATAATACAGTATTTTCAGTATATTCCTGCAGTTATACAATCATCAACACTATCTATGAACTTTTTTAAAATATTTTTTTAATTGTAGATGGACACAATACCTTTATTTTATTTATTTATTTATTTTTATGTGGTACTGAGGATCAAACCCAGGGCCTCACACATACAAGATGAGTGTGCTACCACTGAGCCACAAGCCCAGCTTTCTATACACATTTTTATCACACCAAAAAGAAACTATTACCTATTATCTCTTCAGAAATGCTTTTTTAAATTTATCTAATTTTAAAGGTAAAATTTATATTCTGTGTCTGGAAATGGTCATTCTGTGTGATCATTAAATGCAGGGGATCATTTTATTATTTCCCATCTTACATGAGAACTGGTAACTCCAGGGGGGAGGTGGGTTGCAGCAGTTCTAATGAGTTGAATTGAGTTTTAGTTTGCTCCACTATTTTGTCAGAATTTAGTTATCGAAACTAGATTTTTCATGAGTTGATTCTTTTAGGGATTGAAAATAAGGTTTTTAATTGTGTTACTATTTGTTTTCAGGAGATCAGAGAGATAGCTGAGGTCCAATATGTACAGAATCAAGACAGTAAAACTTGACTTGGGTTCACTTTAGTTACATTTGAGCATTTAAAATGGGAGAATGTGTGCTTGGGAAAAAGCTGGCAGAATGAGGGTCTCTAGAGCATCCTGCATCTGAGATGCAGCTAAATTGGGAACTGTAGGGAGGAGTCAAGCAACTGAAAATAGTCAAATCGGAGGGACAGACGTTGGGTTATGATTTCTAAGATTAGTATAATACCAACATTTGCACTGCCAAATAAATTTGTCAAATGCCTCTGGCCCCCGGCAGTTAGACTTCAAACCAGCAATAAAGTCGAATTCATTACTAGAGAAGTATGTCTTTTATTTTAAAGCCCAGTTTGGCTTATTAGATACAATCAAAGGTTTGTTAATTTTTTACGTTAAGAACAACTCCTTTTTCAGGGTTTTCTGACCATTTCTGTAGACCCCTGCCAACCATCTGACACAAACAGTGCTCTCTACTTCTGCTGGCCATATTTGAGAATTTGCCTTCCTCTTGATTTCAAACTTCCTGTTTCCTTATTCTGTGATATAATGAATATAAGGCCTGACTACTGAATACCTTCCTTTTTCTACATGTTTCCCTGGCTAGCAGTAGCACTCTGTAGCCCTAAAGGATCTTAAAGGATTTCAGACAGATGGTTTTCTCCACTACTCTTCCTCTTGGCAGGGGTTCATGAATGTTCCTAAATGTTCCTGCCCTGTGAATACATTTCCACCTGCAGGGTAAAGCTGCAGGCTCCCTTGCTAACATTCCCTTGTCCATCAGGCTTAAATTGACCTTGCTCAAGGTTACAAAGCACCTCTAGAATTTCTTGATTTACATCTTAAAAACCACCCTGCTTTGTTCACATTCCCTCTTGACTGGAAACAGAAGCATTCCATATTTAAGATAGGTCTTGATTTATTCTGAAAATACCCTCAAGTCCAAATCCTGTCATCCTTCCTCAACAGGTATTGAGTATGTATGTGCTTAAGAGACTGTGCTAAACACTAAACAAGCTTTATCTTCTCAAACCATTATATAAGTACAGGTTTGAGCATCCCCAATCTGAAAACCCAAAGTCTGAAATGCTGCAAAATCTAAAATTTTCAAGTGCTGACATGGACATCTCAAGTAAAAAAAAAAAATTCCACATTTTGATTTCATGGGACAGATCAGTCAAAACACACTAAAAAGAGTATATAAAATTACCTTCAGGCCATGTGGAGAAGTAGTATATGAGATACAAATCAGTCTTGTGTTTAGACTTGGGTCCCATCCCCAAGAAATTTCATTATGTGTATGCAAATATTCCAAAATCTGAAACTTTAGAATCCAAAACACTTCTGGTCCTAAGCATTTTGGATAAGGGACATTCAGGTAGTACACTTACTATTCCTGTTTTCTTGTTGGAGAAATTGCTGGTAATTAGAAGAGGCATAGTTTGAAGCCTGGATTGCTCCACACCGAAGTGCTCTTAACCACCATCCTGTGCCAAGGGACTGGGCATTCATTTTACGAGTCTTTCTTTGTTCAACTCCAAATGAGTTCTCAGTGCATCCAGTCAGCAAAAAATGGGGTGGGAGCATGATCCTGTCTTTTGTCAGTTTATTTTCCGGTTCTAACTTTTGAATAAGTCTCTGCTTTGCTGTTCCTCCCTCTTCTTCCAAAGGACAAAAAGAAAAGAATACAGGGTGAAATAAAAAATAAAAGAAAGAAAAAAAAGAAATGCTGATCTTTTCTCCATTCCCTGTTGTCCTGCTCTGATTGCCAGTCATAATAGTTCTTATTTAGCTCCATTCACAAGATTCTTGCATTATATTATTACATTATGTCACTCTTTTCATGAGATCCTGTCACCACACACCTCCAGCTTGGTCACTCCATCATGTGTGGGCCTCACATTTTACAAATGATAGGAATCCTGGGTAGCAATATGAAAAATTGTGTTCTACATGTGTAATAAGAATTATAATGCATTCCGCTGTCATATATAAATAAAAAAATTCCACAAAAGGAAATAATGGACTCACTTGTAGCAACTCAAGTTCACGTGGTCTGAAATTTCAAATTTGAAGTCAGAGATTCTGAACTTCCAATCCAATGTTTATCCTCTATACCCCAATAACAGCAGAATAAGCATTAGCATGCATTTACCCCTTGTAGTAACAATGGTCTTGCAGTCCAGTGGGGATGAGTTCTACATTTTTGATGAATTCTATCACTTGATAATATCTTCAGTGCCATTTAATGTGTTTTAAATTTTGCAGTGATGAACAGCAGCGAGATTATCTAATGGAAAGACGGGACCTCGCCATCGATTTTATTTTTTCTTTAGTATTAATAGAAGTATTGAAGCAGGTGGGTAATTAATTTATTGTTACTTTGTTGATGTCTATCAATGTGAAAATAATACTTAAGTTTTGAAAGTCACAGTTTATAAAATTGGTTATGAATTCCAAATTCTGGGTCATATGAAGTATGTTTATGGATTACTGAAGAACAGGCATAGTTATTGGAAGTACTATTACTGATTTTCTCCTTAATATTCCCTTCCAAGTTAAAAGTCATCCTTGTTTTTCAGATTCCACTTCATCCTGTAATAGATGGTTTAATTCATGATGTTATTAACTTGGCTTTCAAGCACTTTAAATACAAAGAAGGGTAAGGTGATTTCTTGCCTTAGAGTTTTTAAGAAGTTGGGTGCTTAAAACTGAATCACTGGTTGGATTTTTCAGGTGAGCAGAGATCCTAACTTGTCTAATTTTTCCTTATTTAGGTATCTTGGTCCTAACACTGGCAACATGCACATTGTGGCCGACCTGTATGCGGAAGTCATTGGAGTGTTAGCACAAGCTAAGTAAGTGAGCCCCGAAGCCCTGGACCGAGAACACAGGAGTGCCTCTGACTTAAGGAGAGGCAGCTGTGAGCTCACAAGGAACTCGGGTTCTTTTTACCAAGCATACCCACCCCGAAAACTAATTAGAGTCTCCTCCAAGGCAGGTACCTAGTTAACTTTTTCACCCAGGCAGTTGGGCCAGATCCTGCTGAGTCCATGGTTTTAGACAACTGCTTCAAAGAAAGAAATGGACTCACCAAATTACTTTTCTGTCTGTTCAGATATTCTAAAGGTGTTTATCAATTTTTTTTTCAGGTTTTGTTTTCTATAGTCCACAAGTGGGTGGTAGCAATCTATCATTCATGAATGGGAAATTCCATTCTATAATGTCCCCTTTACTCTAGACCTTACTTAATTCAGCTGAGCTAAAAGTGTCCCAGCGTCTGCCATGGAAACAAGTGGGGGTGGGGGAGTTCTCATTACTAAATTTATCTGGCCCCATAACTCCATTTAACAGGCTAGAACATAGTGTTAGACTATTAGCAATAACATACTTCTTCCAAAAGTGATGTCACACCATACTTACCCATCTTCATTTTATCCAACCCTGAGGCAAACCAAGCAAGATCCCAAATGCCTACTTTGGGCAAAATGAGGCAGAGACATAAGGAGAATTTAAGCCAAGAGGCCAGTTGGCTTTGTTGATGCCCCAATCCTTGGGAAAGACAATCCTCCAAAGAGATTTCCATCTTTAATAGATGGAATTTCCTAAGTCAGTAGCATGTAAATACACAACTTTTCTAAACTTTGAAATACTTATTCAGCAACCTTACCTAGCCAAAATGTAGATAGGAACTTGGGAGATAGACCCCCAAAAATCCTTGGCCTGATTTATTTAGTCTAATCCAATCTATCTACTCATCCCAACTACTTGTTTTTTCCTAACATAATTCATCAGTGTTAGAAGGTAGAGAATGAATTTTTGTGGAGGGCAATACAGGTCAAAAGCTGACAGCAAAAGAAGAAAGAAACTTGCCAAAGCATTCAGAAGAATTCTGTATTCCCAATTCTATTATCTGGACCTTTTTGTATGAGTCTGTGTTGTACTTTTATGATAGCCTATTATTATAATTGTGGTTCATGAATCATTAAGAGATAAAGGTGCATTTTGGAGAAATTTCCATTGCAAGTAGGAAATAAAGACATAGATATTTAACTGGATAAGTTGCAAGTATCTGAAAATTAACTCATGTGTATCTTCCACATTCCAAAAATGATCCAAAGAAGGAAGTATTGATATGTATACTTGCTGGTTTGTCAAACTCTGAAAATCTCAGCGTATTTCTTTATAATTATCTTGGCTTAATTCTCTTGTGCTCTCATTTGGACAGCTTAGTATTCCAAAAGTGGCTTTTTTGTGTGTTATTCCTATTTTTAAGAATTATGCATAACAATGTCAGATACTGTCAAATGACCTCCCTTAGTTCCATACATTTTGAATAAATTGAGAAATAATGTCAAAACTGAGTAGAGTTTGAAATTGCAGGAGTTTCCATATTAGGATAGATCTAGGATCCACTGAGCCAGTATTTTCTTGCCAACAGTGGCTTTTTTCATTTTCTTGACGTCGATATTTGTCCCAATTCTGCAATAGCTAAGTGTTAAAAATGTCTCAATTTGGTCAGTGCTTCAGTATTTTCCAGTCACTGGGGAACTCTTTAATTCCTGTCTTTCAGGGAAATTTTTTTACTATTAAGTGATATTCACACATAGTATTGGCTTTTTTCAAAGTCAATTAAGCTAAAATTAGATTTTTTTTTTTTTAAGTACCTTGGCCAGTCTGCTCTTGCAGTGATCAGACTCAAATAGCCCATGGTATGTTCTCAACCAGGCAATGTGTAGCTAACCTTTATTGATAGATAATACAATCTTACCTTAGTGTCATACCATGAATTACGTCTTCATTCTCATAAGTATACCAGGACCATTTCTTTATCTTCACTTTAGAAAAGTACTGCTTCTCTTGTTCTCAAGGAGATAAACCCCCCAAAACACTTTTTTTAAAAATCTGGTTCAATGTGATTAACATTCCTAAAAATGATAAGTATTATAATAATTTGAATTTTAGATTGTGTATCTATTTTCCAATGATAATGCATATTAAATATTTTCCACATTATAACTTCAGGTTTTAAGGCTTACTTGGTCATTGAGTTTTAGCAGAATCACTGTTTTAATCTTCCTGGTAATAATAATACTACTTAATTCCTGTCAGTAAGGAATGTATTCCTATTAAGAGATATCCATACATAGTATTGACTTTTTCAAAGTAAATTAAGTTAAATTATATTTTTCTGTGTACTTTGGTTAAAAATATATGCTGTGCATATGCACAATATATCTTAATGTGAAATGTATAGTATTGCCAAAGGCTGAGTATTTACTTACTGTATTTGTCTAAGTTCTAAAGAAAAGGTCACTGAAAAATTGGCTTTTCCCTATAATCATTGTAAGGGAAGTGGATTTTTGGATTGCTTTTATGCTAACATAACATGTTCATATCATTTGGAACTTTCAACAGTAAAAGATAGTCATACTTATTTTTAAATTAGAAATGAAGTTTCAGCAGCCATCTCATGAGAAGATCGATAGACTGAGTTATACAAATAACCTGGCCTTTCCTACCTCTGCTTAGTCAAGTATAAAAGGTGTAAGAACAAATGTTTAAATGTGTATCTTTTCTGTGAAAATTACCTTTATTTCGTTCATCAGTAGAACTAAAATCAGATTTCACAAAATTTCAACTTTGAAAAGGAGCTTCAAGTAGCCTAGCCATGTGCCATCTGCAAGAGACCTCTCAATGACCTGCTCAGCTTCTGCTTACATGCCTCCATGACAGGAAACTCACTATCTCCCCCAAGGAAATTAACCCACTCAGAACATGTACTGAGCACCTACTATGTGCCTGATCTTTTGTGGCGCTTACAGCTCATCAGTGGAGTCAGACAACCAACAAAATCCCATAGACAATTAAATTATATAATATATTAGAGTTCATTCCATTTTCAAATGTCTTTTTGCCATAAGTTTTCCCTTCATTTTCTTCCATGTAATGATTTAGTGCTTGAAGAAAGTGTTCATGGCCTTCTCAAGTCACTCACTTTCAATCTGTACACTCCTCATTGGCTAGGCAGTTACTCGTATGTATTAGTTTACTGGAGACAGTGTAACAAAGGACCACAGTTTGGATGGCTTCAACAACAGACATTTATTTACACACTGTTCTGGAGGCTAGAGGTTCAAGATCAAGGTGCTGGCTAAAGTGGTTTCTTCTATGACCTCTTCGCCTTGAGCTTGCAGGTAGCCACCTTCTCCCTATGTCCTCATGAGGTCCTTTCCCATTGTGGGCATACTTTTTCCTCTTCTATTCTCTAGGCATATTGGATGGGGGCCACCCTAACTCAATCACCTCTTTAAAGCCCCTGACTCCAAACATAGTCACATTCTAAGATACATGAAATTAATACTTTTTTGTATGATCCAGAGTTGGGGACACTTTAGTCCATAAAAGTAGGTCTGGGGAAGGTCCAGAAAATGTGCATTCTAGTAAGCTCCCAGATGCTGCCAATTTGGAGAACGTGTTTTTGAGAATGACTGGTTTAAACATAGAGATTCTAGAACCAGACTTGGCTTCAAATGCTAGCTTCTGAGCCTCTCAGCTATGAAATTTTATCAGGTTATGAAATCTTTCTCTAGTTTCCTCTTCCATTAAAAAAATGATATAATATTGAACCTGCACACAGTGTTGTTGAGGATTAGATAAGTCACTATATGTAACTGGCCCGTGGCTGGTGTGGAGTGGGTACTGTATCTGCTTGCTACTATTGTCATCATTTCCATCAATTTTTATCTATAAGATTTAGAAAAGGATGATGACATTGGAGCTTTGAATTTATATTCCAAAATATTCAACAGTGTAGTTTTAAAACTTCTTCAAATAGATGTTATCTGATATCAAATCTATTTTGTAAGTTTTATAAATAAAATTTGCATTTCAATTTTGCTGATTTCTTCATCCTAAAAAATAATACATAATCTTCCAACTAGTCTCCATGATATTTTACTTGTAAAGTAAACACAACTAATATTTTTTATCTTATTTCAATAGTATTTAAGAAATGTCAGAATGGGCCTGTTTGGAATGCTGTCTTGAAAGTGAATGTTTTGTGGAAAGCCACAAAATGCCACCACAGATTAGGAATAAACCCTGAAATATCCTTAACTACATTAACAACCCATTAGAGAATATCTCATTCATAAAGTATTTGTGCCTTGAAGTTATTTATATTTTCTGCTCTATTGCCTTTGTAAAATCTTTTTATTGTGAAATACATGTAGCAAATATACATAAAAACCCACAAAACAAATATATAGTTTAACAAATTGTTATAAAATGAACACCATGTAATTTCTCTCCACCCCCCAAAACTGGCCCCTTTCCATTTGGGAAACGGTCTGTGTGCTCGGCTACCTTTATTGTGTGTCCTAAAACTTCTACTTTGAGGCAAGACTTGTTCCCAACTTCTGTGATTCTATTGGTTTGCTTCTATTAGTTTGCCTTTAGCTTTTGTAATCACAAGTACGTTTTCTAATCATACCTGGCTTTCTGTGTTTTTCTTTTCTGTTTTTTAACTACTAATCAAAGCAGCATATCTCAGAAGTTTAAAAAAAATCGTAGGTTTTTAAAAAGCCATTCTTTTTTTAAACTAATATGACATGGTTGTTGGTGTTGCGATTAATATTATTTTGCTTTCAAATAATACAAATAAGTTTCTTTTGTTTGTTTTCATATTCACCACATTAAATTATAAAATCCCATACATATAATAGACAGCCCATATCTTTTAAACATAATTTTCCCATTACTAGATTTTCCCATTACTAGATTTTTCCTTCAACTTAAAAATATATTTTTCCATGATCATTAATCTAAAACTATCAAGGAACAACAGGAGAAAATTTTGGAAATAGATGTCAAAATATCTTTGGCATTATTTGTAAGTCCAAAAATCATTTGCTGTCACCGTCAGAAATAACTGACCCTAGTATGTTATTACTCACATACTCAAAATTTGACACTTTAGGCCCTGGAGGTCTGTAAGTATGTTGGAAATTGCTAAGCCCGAGGAAATGGAGCTTTTTGTCTGCTCAATTTAAGAGCTAAACCATCTTGAGAGAGTCTAGATAATGCTGGGTCTGTTCCCTAATCTGAAGGAGAGGTGAAGCATCTTGTCGAATAAGAGGGGATAGGAGAAAATTGGACTCTACCAAATCCCGAATGTCAAATCCTTGTGAAATGACAGTCATTGTACTTCACCTGTTTCTAAGGATCTGATGACCATGCACTGTCACTTTAGGTGCTGGAAGCCCCCATTGCATGGCTTTCCTGTCACTTGATAAACCACTTACGTTCTTTTTGTAGATTCCCTGCTGTCAAGAAGAAGTTTATGGCAGAGTTAAAAGAATTACGGCACAAAGAGCAAAATCCGTATGTGGTGCAGAGCATTATCAGCTTGATAATGGGAATGAAATTCTTTCGAATTAAAATGTATCCAGTGGAAGACTTTGAGGCCTCTCTTCAATTTATGCAGGTAAAGTCCTGGACAAGAGCACTAAGTGGTGATCAACTCAAATAATTCCCTTTATCAGAATGACACCTCGATTGTGAAAACCCTTTATAAGCGGGATCCAACTTACAGTGATTCATCTAGTAATATTTCAACTTTAGAGGTGTGATAGGTATACACATTCAGTAGAAACTGCATTTCAAGTTTTGAATTTGGATCTTTTCCCAGGCTAGCACTATGTGGTCTGATCCTCTCTTTAGATGCTGGGCAGAGCTCCTGGCCAACCCCATCATCATGGTGGGAAACAGCCAGCACCACAATGTGCTCTGTGGCTAGGCCAGGCCATTCACTAAGTTAGGGGTGTTCAATGCCATTTCCTCTTAATGATATTTTCAACTTATGATAAGTTGATCTGGACATCCCATCATCATGAGCCAAGGAGCATCTTGACTTAGAACATCCTACCTTATCAATAATTCTTTAAGTGCCTGGAACCAAACAATAGAGTTACAGACACATTGTTTCATTTTTTAAAATTTCCTGTTATCTTTGGAGTAAAGTGTACAATAGCATTTCTTACTTTTTTGGTTTTGTTCTCTTTTATTCATTTTGATAACATTGTTCTGTGAATACAATATAGCTGACACTTTTACTTTTTTAGAAATTGATAGCATTGGATTGGCTACATCAACATTTACAGGAATCTTCATTTAAAAAAAAAATCAACCAAATCATATAGGTTTGATGTCTATCAACCATTATGGTGCATAGCAAAAAAAAAAAAAAAGTTACTAATAAGAACTTGGGAGAATCCGTAGCTTTATTAAGAGTTTACAACTGGGCACAGTGGAGCATACCCGTAATCCCAGAGCTGGTCAGGAGGTTGAGGTAGGATTGCGAGTTCAAAGCCAGCCTCAACAACTTAATGGGACTCAGTCTCTAAATAAAATATATTTTAAAAGGGGGGCTGGGGATGTGACTCAGTGGTTAAACACCCCTGGGTTTAATCCCTGGTACAAAAAAAAAATTACAAAAACTTAGGTACCTGAAGGCATTTTTCTAATACTTCTGTAAATTAGATTTGGTACTCATCTTACTTGAGACTTTGGATGTAGGAGTTATGAATGTAGATTGTACCATTCTATAATCCAAAAGTCAGCTATTAAAAAGACACATAATAAACATAGGAGAGGATGGGAGGAAACTGGAACCCTCATGCCATGCTAGTGTGAATGCAAAACAGCCTGGAAGCTCCTCAGGTGCCCAAACGTAGAATTACCCAATGATCCAACAGTTCCACTCTAGGTATATATTATACACCCAAGAAAAATAAAAATGTATGTTCACACATAAACTTGAACACAGATGTTCATAGCAGCATTATTCATTGTAGGCCAAAGTGAAAATAACTCAAATGTCTGTGAACCAATGAATGGATGAACAGAATGTGACATATCCATACAATGGAATGTACAAAATGTGGTATATTCATGCAGTAAAGTACTGATGCATGCTGCAAAATAAATGAACCTTAAAAATATACTTAGTAAAAGAAGCCAGGCACAAAAGCTCATGTAGAATGTGAATCCATTTACCTGAAATGTCCAGAATTGGCAAATCCATAGAGAGAGAAAACATGTTAATGGTTGCCTAGGACTGAGCATCGGAGTGGATGGAGAGGTAGAGAGTATCTGCCAAGGGGTACAGAGTTTCTTTGGGGGGCATTAAAAAGTTCTAAATTTGATTGTGGTGATAGATGGATGCACAACTGTTGGTATACCAAAATCCAGTGAACTGAATATTTCAAATGAGTAAATTGCAGAGTACACGAATCATCTCTCCATAAAGCTGGTATGTAGTGGGGTGGAGAAAGGGAAGATGGACATTGTGTGTCAGACTTCTTGGATTTGGATTGAAGAACCATATTTATCGGCTCTGTGACCTTAGCCAGTTACATTGTCTTTTTCATCCCAATTAATTCACCTAAAAGGTGCTGGTAATGACACTAACGTTGAGGACTCTTAGTATATGATAATCACTCGGTGATTCTTATCTATTCTATTATTTTTATCCCACTTTCATACTAATAGATCATATGTGTCTGTACTTGGGTGACAACTTGATATATGCATACATATGCAAAAGGTAGCAAAAGAACATGATCCTGGGAACCATAAACTCCATTCTGTCTGGGGAAAACGGTCTCTCTGACTCCTAGTTGGTATTGCCCACCCAGAGCAGAGGTTGTAATATGATGTTGGTAGACTGAGGACCTTAGCAGCTGGTCTTCCCAATTGCAACTATAATAAAGGGTGAGAGCTAATGTGGAAACTCGTATGTCATCAAATATGTGTAGCCTGGATTGTTGGATGGGAATAGGGCCTGGCAGAGACCACAGGAAGCACTAGCAGAAGGCCTGGAGGAGAAAAGGCTGGCAGTGCTCAAGGAAGGCCTCCTTTCCTATAGGACAAGTCCCTGGGCAACCTGCAGAGACATCCTTGCTGTGGGAACCCTACCAAAGCCTTGTATGAGGTGGGGAAGGAGGCATTCCAGACTTGCTTATGAAACGATCTGAATAATAAACACACCTAAAATGTCAGAGCAAGTAAACAGCTCTGTACCCGAGGCCATCCGGCACCGGGCCCAAAATAAGTTTACTGTCTTCAACCTGTCTTCCCATGTTTTCCCTCCCTGGGGATCTGTGTTTGCAGCCCAGTCAAGGGTGCAGGCCCCCACACAGGGTAAGTGATCTACAGACCCTTATTGGAAATGAATGACTGAATGAACCAGCCAGTAATCCAGAAGATAAATGTGTGCTTACTGGTTGTAGATGCTTTGTCCTTTCAGAAGAGTGGCTTGAACTAGATATAGAAGAGAGAAAACCAGCCTTGTGAAATGTCACTGAGGCCCTTGTAAACCTTTCGACTTGATACAAATGTCTGATCCAGTGATTTTTAAATAGATTACAGAATAGGCTGTGTTGGTACATATGATTAAGAGCTATTTACTTAAGTTTGCTTAAATACACTTTACATGTACTTTTCAATCAACTCTCCCTATATCCTTCTTTCTTCTTTGTAGGAATGTGCCCATTATTTCCTTGAAGTCAAAGACAAAGATATCAAACATGCCTTGGCTGGACTCTTTGTGGAAATCCTTGTCCCAGTTGCGGCTGTGAGTTAGCCTTTCCTTTCTAAGAACTTCTTCAAACTGAATGACAGACTCAACAGTCTCAATAATAGAATATTCACATGCACTTCTGTTTCAGGCCGTTAAAAATGAAGTAAATGTTCCCTGCCTTAGAAACTTCGTGGAAAGCCTATATGATACCACTCTGGAACTTTCTTCTAGAAAGAAGCATTCCTTGGTTAGTATCTACGAGAAAATCCAAAACACAAACAAAACTGCAGAGATTAAAATTGCTAGGCAGAAATCTATTTGATTTGTAGAATCCTTGTATAAGAATGCCACAGATGGAAGAATTACCCATGACTGACTCTTTCATAAAGGCTTTCAAACTTTTGAGCTTACATTTATTATCAGCTGTGAATCATGGTACTAGAAGGGGATTTGACCGTGTCACCTCCGATGACCCTTCTGGTTCTATGGATTCTGCTCTTTGTTTTTTAAGATTGGCTTAATTTGATTTTTGTTTAAATTTCCAAGGATTATTTTTTTTCCTCAATCCAAAAGCTAAAGTTTATGAAGTTCCTCTTCTCAATCCCCAGAATCCTATATACTGGGTAATTCCTATCCTGACATTCAGGATCAGAATTGAAGTAGGCAAAAATCGGGATGGGAAATAGTGGCCCCCAGGTGAGGTTCTCTGAAGGCTGGGAAAGCAGTTCTTGGGGAGGGTTTGTACTGAAAAGAAGCAGATTACCCTCCACAGTAAATAAAGCTCTGGTTTACAAATTGGCATGTAGTATACCAGGGCAATCATGACAGTCTGGAGGAAATAGGTTGTTTAGATGGCTGTTTAGATGGTTGTTTAGTAGGGTTGAGGCTAGTTTACAAGTATAGACACTGCTGAGCATGTTGCTTTTCTGGTAGTGATAACAAATTGGCTCATTTGTCCACATTCCAATGTCACTGTGACTAATTGATGCATTTTTTTTGAAGACTAGTGATTGGCATCAGAGTTGCATTCAATGGAAACAGTAGTTCAAAGCCCTTTAAAGCTAAGCTAATTTAAAGAAGAAGAAAAAAAATAAGTTAATGAATTGCCAAGCACTGAATCTCATCTCTGGCAGTTGTTTCTTGCTAGTTCGAGTTAATAGATAAGCCAGTTATGCTTTTGTTTAAATCTTCATCAGCCTGAGTTCTTTGGGAATCATAAAGGTATCTAAGATCTGGCTTAGCAAAATGGTAGTGAATTCTGCATGTGTTTCTTGGGTGGCTGCCCATTAGCTTTTATGTCTTTAGTTGCTGTGGGAAATTGGCCCAGTTCAGCAGGAAAAACACAGTAGCACCTCTGTTTATTTGGTCATAAGCAAATTCCTCTGTGGTTAAATTTGTCTTAGTGGAGTTTACCAATGTAATAACATTTCTTTTAGGAATCTTCCTTAATTACAGGAGGATTGCATGCAAAAGAAAATATATATACCTACCTCTAAGACAGGGACAAACAAGTAGATATTTGTAAGTGAAAAAGCCAGTAACATTTTCAAAATTAATGTGCCTTCCTGCTCTTTTCTTTTTCCCCCACCCCAAGATTGGCAGTGACCTAAGATGGTGAGTTGTTAGTATCTTGGTTAGGATCTATGAGAAAATCCACAACAATGGTTTACACATATAGTGACAGAAAGTAAATGTTCTCTTTTACTAGGTATGGAAGGCAGGCTTGCCCTGCTCAGAGCTACTTCATTATATATAGAAAAGTCGTCCTTGGGCTGTGCTGAGCCCTGAGTTACTCCATTTTATAAAGCAGTAGTTGTCACTGCAGTGTGATTACTTGAGGGTATTCTTTTCAAACCACATGACGGTAATCAGTTCGTCTCTGTTCACTGCTCTCTGGGCAGGCAGGCAGCACATTTGCTGGATATTTGTTTTCAAGGTTCCTAAGTGAAGACTACTTAAGTGAATCAGATTTCTCTGTTCTTATACATGAAGCATATCACTATACTTTGTCCATAGTTCTAGATGATTCCATCCCCCGCATTATCAGAAAGTATCTGCAAAATGCCCACCTCCACTGGACACCCATTAGGCCTTGTGTAACTTAGTGTCCTACTTATTCAAACCCTTATGGCAGAGGGAGATGGTGAAGTAATTGGTACAGAAAATATGTGTTTCCTGATTCATTGAAATATCATTCTGTGATCTCGTCTCCTTTCTTCTCAGGCCTTGTACCCCCTGGTGACCTGTCTGCTCTGCGTCAGTCAGAAGCAGCTGTTCCTGAATAGGTGGCATGTTTTTCTTAACAACTGTTTGTCCAACCTTAAGGTTAGTATTTGTCATCTGGACAAAAAAAAAAAAAATCCTTTACAAGAATTCACAATACAGTTCTCAGGCAGGCGTCTATGCTTCTGACTAGGGATAAGAGAAATCACTTCAGGTTGGGGGAAAATAAATCTGTTCCAATAAGGATCACTTTAAAGAAAATTAAATGCTGCTTTATATGCATCTTTGTCACATTTAATTTAAATAATATAGAAATTTAAAATGGCCACGTTTAGCCAACAGAAGCATGTGAATTGATTTTGGATGCTCACCTATCCCTCACGCATCCTTCTTCTGTCCCCTTCAGCCTGGGTAAATATTTTGGAAATAAAACTCCCTTCTATGGAAGGATTGACTTAGTGTCATTAGCATGCTATGCCATTAACATATAATGGACACATTTGTGTCTTTGAACAGTGTCAGAGTTTATTAACAAGTTGTATCACTTTCATCAACTTTAATTCACTGAAAGTACTCGTGGTTCACTTAGTGTCATGAGCGAGGCAATCACAAGTTTTTTTTTTTATTTCGTTCAACTTAATTACTAATATCTATAACATTCAAATCACACATCCTACTTTATACCATTATTTATATAGGAAGCAAGTGTTCTCTTTTACTAGGTGTCGGGGGCAGGCTTGCCCTGCGCAGAACTATTCCATTATGTATAGAGAGATAGTCCTTAGGCTGTGCTGAGCCCTTAGTTACTCCATTTTTATAAAGCAGTAGTTGTCACTGTTGTGTAATTACTTGAGGGTATTCTGTCCAAGCCACATGACAGTAATCAAGTTGTCACTGTTTACTGCTCTCTGGGAAGGGAGCACAGGTGCTAGGTGACACAAGGAATAAAAGTAGTGGTCCCTGAGACCAAGAAGCCTACAGGTAAAGCAGCCATAATGATTAGGTTCGAAATTGGCTTTATAGGTTTGAAATGGTAAACATGCTGTGTGTTTAGTGACCTATTGATAGAAGGCAACTAAATGAAAACCCTCCATGATAATAAGTGTAAATAGGAGGTATTCTTCACACTTGTTCCCGCTTGTGTTCAAAGTTGTGGTTCAGTGTCTTTTACAGGTTTGACATTTGATGCTTTCCAGTTTTAGAAAATACTTAGTTGTAAAATCTTGCATGTGCTTGTACATGTTGCCTCGTTTTGTGTTTTTCCTAAGACACTTTAATTTGGCAAAATGGTTAAGATTAATTATACTATTTTGGCATTCACCATAATTACACAATAATCTGCATTAGATCTGTTTTAAGCACCCACTATGTACTGGCTCTAAAAGCTGATTGTGAAATCCAAGATTAGAATCATTCATTTTCTTCAGAATGGCAGTGAAATAGAATAGCAGTGGATAGAGAATGAAGCTTTTAAAGGACTCCTAAGACTGAAGTGCTTTTCAGGGTTATCAACTGTTATATAATGGCTGCTTTGAAGTATTTTGTTTGAGGATTTATCCATCTGCCCTGATATATGATTCTGAAGTGCAGCCCAATGCCATTTTTATTATTCGCTCTACTTTTTAAGTATCCAGTTATTAATCCCATTTAATACTTTTTTTACATTTTGTACAGATAGAAAATAGCTATTTTCTTCAAAACAAAGAGAAATAATTGAAAATGCTCATAGAGTGGCTTCCTGTATGTAGTATGTATAATGTGATCGATGAATTTTGGCTAAAATTATGATATTTTGCATAATAATTTACTACTATGGTTAAAAAGGCCAATTTTTTTAGCCCAACATTGTTTTTGAAACATAGCAGAGCATCTTACTTTGTAATTTATCTCCAAATTAAAATACTATTTAAAGCTCTAGTCTAAGCCCATCAGAGACTTAGTAAGAGGGGTTATAAACTCCCCAGAGAGAAGTGGGTCTGGATTCTGACGGTATTTTCCTATACAACATTGCACACATTAGAATTTCTAAAAAAGAGAAGCAATAAGTCAGAAAGAGTATGTAAAATCAATGCTCTTAAGAGACTAAACCACATTCAAGGATTCAATTTCATTCATAAGGATTTTGTAGTGGCTTCTGTTTGTGAGGTGGTAAGGAAAGTACTGGAATTGGGAAGAATGGAGCAAGACAACTATATAAATCTAGATGTAGAACAAGAGTCCCCATCCTTGAAATGCTTAACATTTCATTGAGGAATATGTAATAAAGCTTCAAATTGCGAGATACAGACAGAGAGGGTTGTAACCTTGGGAGCAGGAGGATACCTGTACAGTTTGAACAAGTGTTGTACCTCATGGAGTGTGAAAGCAGTATTCATCAGGTAAAGTAAAGGCAAGAAGGTTTTACTTTATGGGTAGTAAGCTGTTGGAATTCACTACCCAAAAGCCAAAAAGATATAAAAAGATTGTTGATGAGTTACAAGCAGAATAAAATTGTATCTCATATTTAGAACTCAACCCGGTCAATATTTGAATGGGGCTATTTATAAACATCATTACTATATAAAAAAAACTTTCCAGACCTCCTCATCCATCCTCAAGATAGAAGAAATACCTGAAGGAAAACGAACATGGCTTCAGAAGTGGTCTTGGTCTTGGATAGCTTCAGTATTTTATACCATTTAGAACCAATCATACCACTTCACAAGGGACAACCAACACTTCCCCATATACACCTTCTGGCTCTCTTCCCCCACTTCCTTTCCCATCTCTTCCACCATACGCTTCAGAATGATGAACCTAGTGTCCACATCCCCCATGTTGAACTTGATGACCATCTTTGATGGCCTCTGCAGTGGGGAGTCATCAAGGTGGCAGCATGACCTAAGCAGAGGAGAGGTATGTAGGACAACAGCCTCATGCTTTCCAGTGAACAAGCTCCCAGATTCAGGTCTAGTTTGGGGTCCTTGCCCTGGTTCATCCTCAGCATGAGTCTGACTTTAGCCTGCTTTGGGACCACAGGCCTGAATTCTTTAATGTTTAACTCAGTCAATCATATAATAGCAACATGCCATTGTAAAGTGTTAAGAAATTTATGGCACCTTCTCACCAAGACATTCACGTCTTTTAGGAATTCTTGTCCATGGTAACCAATCCTGTTTTATGTCAGAATTTAAACATATTGAGCTATTTTTAAAATGACACATTCCTTTCATATCATCCAGATACCTAATTCTGAAAAAGGAAATATATTTTAAGAACTTAATTTAATAATACTGTTAAAACAGAATATTTATTTCATTCACAACTACGTACTAGTTTCTTGCCCTTCAAAAGTAGATGTTATTACATGAGAATTTTTAATTTGTTTCCTTTTATAAAAATGAATATAATATATCAGTGAGGTCCGGATTATAAAGGAAAAAATCATAAAAGAATCATAATAAAGAAATACACTTTATTATATGGTCTCTCATTAATCAAAGATTTTTTAAGAACCAAGAGAATGGTTGTCATGTGTGTCATGGGAATGTCACATGCATTCGTGGATGTTATTTCTGTTTTTTCTAAAAATCATGCTTAGATAGCAACACTTACTAAAGGTAGACCTTAGTAATCCTAGTTTCATAGTAAAACAAAAGTATAAAGCAAGAAATGATTCTGCTTTTGTCTCAGTTGCCACTTGTTCTAGAATTTGAATTCATTGATTTACTAAGTCCATCAGTTGGCTGGCAGATCTTTTCAAGTAGTCTAGCAGGTGCTATCCTAGATGCTGGGAAAATGTGATGAATAAGACAATAATACTACCTGCTCTCTCTATGTTTTTAAAATATTTTTTAGTTGTCAATGGACCTTTATTTATTTATTTTATGTATTTATATGTGGTCCCGAGAATTGAACCCAGTGCCTCACACATGCTAGGCAAGTGCTCTACCACTGAGCCACAACCCCAGCCCTAGTTGCTCTCTTAAACCTTGCACTTTAGTGAAGGAGACAGATAATAAGTAAGTAAATAAATGCATAAGAACAAAAGCCTCAGTGATAACTGCTCCAAAGGAAATCATATAAGATATTATGATAGAGAATGAGGAATTTAGGTAGGTCAGGAAAGGGAAATTCAGCAAGGTATTTTGATTTCCAGTAAGAACCCCCAAACAAGTGTTGTTGCCATAAATAGGATAGTTGATGAATTATCTTTTATACTTAGTATATATTTGTGTGAAGCAGCTACAATGATGTTTAAAAATAGTTTGGGAGCTGGGGTTGTGGCTCAGCAGCAGAGTGCTTGCTTCGCACGCGCAAGACCCTGGGTTCCATCCTCGGCACCATATAAAAATAGATAAATAAAGGTATTGTGTCCAACCACAACTTAAAGATAGTTCTGAGGAATTTTCATATGATAATAAGGTTATTAATGACATCTTTATAAATGAAGACATTGAATAACATTAAAGATTCCATAACTGTTACCTGAATGGTTCAAAATGTAAGGCATTTGCCTTAAAATGAAGGCTATTCTCTTTGTGAATACCAAATTTAAATGGTATAGTATTAGGTAGTTTAAATATTCGTTTTCAGAATGTGATTATTCTGCTTAATATTAACTTTATTTCTATAATTTTGTGAAAAAAATCTCATTATTGGATGAAAACATCTTATTCTTATACAACCATTGAGTGAAAACATAATCTCCATAAGTTATTGGTATAACAATGTTAGAGATATCACAAACTTCAACAGTATGTTATTTGAATAACATGTAGTGATGAAAGGGGGTGAATTATGATCCAAGTAAACTGATTCAAGTATCCTAAAGAAACGTTCAAACAAAGGAGATTACTATGATTTACAAATTAATATAACAAAGAAATAGATTCATTTAAATAGTTTTAATTGAAATGGGATTTAAAACTAGAAGTATAGCAAGATCGTTAAGATGACTAAAATTGTTTATCCATGTGTGTCAATAGGTTTTTACCTTCTTAAACACAAGAATCTCTAAGGAAGCCCGTTATAAAATATAACTTCCTAAAACCCACCTTCGGAGGTTCTGGTTCACACTGTCTAGGTGCTGCCCAGGGATCTGGATATTTAGAAGCAGCCAGATGACCTGGTGACAAAAAATGGTTCTTTGATCTTGAAGTTGAAATCTTTGATACAGAAATCAGTGATATGCTAAAAATGTCTATATTCTCAAACATCAAGCACCTATTATGTCATTGTGTTAGGGGCTAAGGGAATTAAACAGACAATGAGGGAGCGTTCTGAATGTCTTCAAGTAGAAACAAGCTATTAGGTCCCAATAGAGTATTTGAGCAATTTCTCTATAATATGGAATTTCTTTATGGAATTTGGACATTGTCCAGTAGGTTTTTAGAAGCCAATTATGGACTTTAAATTTTTTTAATTAAATAATCATGTTTGCATCTTAATATTATTTTTACAGAGAACAAAAGAAGGGCAAGGAAACCACTTTAGGAGGCAATTATAGCAGTCAGTGATATCACCCTGAAATGCTACAAGTCAATTACCAGTACTTAATCCACCAGCAAAACAAAATAATAACCTTAGCCACATTGCTCTTTGGCCTCTCTGGGAGCACCAATAGTTAAGAATGAAAGAACACCAATCACAATAAGCCACAGCAAAAAAGGTGGGAGGGAAAGACAGGAAGCATGTTTGAAAGAAATTAAAATTAACAGAAGACACTTACGTGAATCATTTTAGAGATTTCGGTTAAGGTCTGCAGTGAAATTGGGATGATATGTGCCCTTCCACATCATGATTCACAATTGAGATAATGTGCATGAGAGAATTTTAAATGATGTATTATGCAATTTGAAAATTCTTCTACATATACTAAGAAAGGAAAATGTATAAGTGAGAAGACATTTCTGCTAGAACAGCAGCTCCCCAAAACAGGATGACACTTCGCTTGTTTACTGCTGGATTCCTGGTACATAACACAGCAGTATGGGCAGGCAGAGTGCTATAACCCCCTATGCATTTGCTTGTTTAACTCTCATACCTCTCCTATGAGATAGATAGGTTTGTCTTTTTCATCTCAGACAGGAAAAATCAGACACAGAGAGCTTAAGGAGCTTCGCCAAGGCTGGCCACACAGCTATTAAATTGTAGTCAGGACAGGTTCAAATCCAGGCAGTCTATGTGTAGAGTCTGCTTTTAACTACTAAGTACACTAGAGACATTTACTGATTTGGAGCAACTGGAAGAACATTCAGAATACCTGAAATTTTTTAATGAGAGAAAAGTTTAAATGCAGTATTACTAGTTTGAAGTTCTTTTAAGTAACTGAAACATTTGATGAATGATACCTGTTATATTAGACAAAAAAATAAAAGAAGAGAAGAGAAAAACACTTTTCTTGTAAATGCATGCTTCTAAAAAGCCAAGTTATTTTTTTCTGGAGATAGACAAGTAGTTATAAAGTTTACTTGGAATGGTAAGCATGCAGGAACATCTAGAAAACCTCCAAAAAGAAAAAGAATTCAAAACCACAATGGACATGGGCCTGGGGTTATGGCTCAGTGGTACAGTGCTTGCCTAGCATGCATGAGGCATGGGTTCGATCCTCAGCACCACATAAATATAAAATAAAGATATTGTGTCCATTTAAACCTAAAAAATAAATATTTTTAAAAAACACAATGGATAATGCAAGGTAATTCATACAAGACATTAAAATACATAATTTTTTTTTAAAGAGAGTGAGAGAGGGTTTTTTTTAATATTTATTTTTCAGTTTTTGGCGGACACAACATCTTTGTTTGTATGTGATGCTGAGGATCAAACCCGGGCCGCACGCATGCCAGGCGAGCGCGCTACCACTTGAGCCACATCCCAGCCCCTAAAAATACATAAAATTTTAATAATTAAACTAATATCACATTAGCACTTGAAAAGACAAATAGAACAACAATCACAAGGCTAGAAATCAACCTAAATACATATGAAAATTTAGACTTTTAGACTAATGACCATGGTAAAAGTTACTTTTAGATTACATAAACATAAGAAATTGACCTTCCCTACATCTAAAAACTACTCACTGTAGTCTTTCACATAGCATTTATTTATGCCCCATCTTTATTCAGTAATAGTTTAGAGGTAAAATTTATCTTATACTATTCCTAAACAGTTATGAGCACTCCCCAAATTATCCACTCTGAGAAGAAAATGGGTAGAACTCTGTGAGGCTAAGACTGGCACTGAAAGACTGTTTAGCAAACAGTTATTGATTTCCTGTAGAATGGCAGAAATACTAATAGATGCCAGGGATAATTAGATAATAATGTATCCCGTCAGAAAACCCACCACTTCCAGAGGTTGACATTTAAAAAGGAAATTAAAGACTACACTGGAGGTATATGAGGTCAGGGGACACTCGGGAGAAAATAATTAGTTTTGTTTTCTTTTTTAGTGGTGCTAGGGTTCCAAACCCAGGGCTTTGTGCATGCCAGGCAGGGAGGGGCTCTATCATGGGTTAACCGACCCTCCTCCTCCACAGCCCTCTTTTTAATGAGATGGGCTTCAGGACATCAGGAAGGAACGGAGAAGGCTACATGAAGGAGAGACATTCAGACTGACCATGGAAAAAGAACAGGGTTTACTTAGAAGAAAAGGATGTGGTGCAGAGGGGCACCCCTGACATGGAAATAGAAGGAGGCCTAGCAGGAGTTTGAGGAGCTTGTAGTTTGAGAATAACAGGATGGGAAGCAAGAAAGGTAGGTTAGGGCCAGATATTGACTGGGCAGATGTGCCGTGCACACAAATGTTAACTCGATCCTACAGGCATTGGGAAATGCCTGATTTGTAATTAATAAATTCAGAGGATTATAATCCATATATGATAGGAAAGCACAATGGGGAAGGAATCCACTCAGGAAGACAGGAGGTTCCTGCAGCTCGGCCCCAGGTGACAAGAGCTAGAGGCTGAATTGCAGAAGTGGCCATGGAGAGGATGTCAAGTTCAAGAGTCATTTTGTGGATAAAACCCACAGAACCAGTTGAAAGGGCGGAGTGAGCCTCAGAAGTGAGGATTGAAGGTGATGTCCACTAGATGATGGGATCCCTGCCCTCCTCTCCTGCTTATTTGTCTTTGCCTGGGTGCCCACCGCTGCCACATCAAGAGGTCTGCCTGCCTCGGCTTCATTCCCCACACTCCAGACGTGGAATTTCCTGTCTCTGTGATCTCAGGCCCCTCTGTCACCACTGTGAGACGTCTGATCCCCTCCTGGAAGTTTACCTTATGTGTTTCCTGCCTTTCTCTCAAGCCTCACCAGCCACTGCTCCTCCACCCAGCTTCCCTGCACTGGTCTTAACTAGCAAATGTCTCAAGATCCTAAATATGATGCCACTCAGTCAGCTCTCTTAGCTTCCATGTGCTGTTGCCTCTGCTTAAAAAGTTCTCCTCCCACCCTTGTTTTTACTCCTTTCAAAGTTTCTAGTGCCAAGCAGCGACTCTGTCGAATGGATGATTGAGAACATGGATGGATTTAAACTTCTTCTGAGTTTTCATCTGCTCCTGGAAAACCTATCCCAACTGTTTTGTTTTCTTTCTATACCCTGTTGCCACTAGTTTTTAATACTGTCCTAGAGTTGACTAGTTATTACCTATCACCCAGCTCCCATTGTCTGGGAGCATCTAAAGAAAACAATAAACTTTTTTTTCTATATATTCCAGATTATAGCATAGTTCCTAATACTCATTAATGTCAATAAAGATTGAGGGTTAATCAGTTGGGATGGGGACAGAAGAGGGAGAGGAATAAAAGCAATAGCAGTGTTTAAAAGGACCTAATAAATGGCAAGAACAGATTTCTTCTACTGTTGCTACAAGAATCGGGTTTCCTGGGCAGGAGAGAGAAGGCAGTCTTTTTTGAGTGTGCGCTTTGGTAAAGGAGAGAATGATGTGACTTCCCCCAGAATGACTGTTCCACCATCAGGGCCATTTGGATTTTTTCTCATGGATTGTTTAGTCAATGAGCATTGAAGGACAAATACCCCATGAGTCCCAGATGATGGAGTGTGTGCCTTGCAGGGACCTTGCCATCCAACTGGGCCTGTCTTTCCCAGACATTCAGAGAATCAAGTCTAGACATCACTAATCAGCAATGTTGCATTTTGGTTTTTGTTGTAGAATAAAGACCCCAAAATGGCTCGAGTGGCCCTGGAATCTCTCTACAGATTACTGTGGGTTTACATGATTCGAATTAAATGTGAGAGCAACACGGCTACTCAGAGGTAAGAAGTTGGCTTGGATTCCTGTTGACCATGTCATAGCATTAACAATTGTATCCACATTACTCAGCCCAAGGAATGTTTTCAGAGACTGTTTTCTTTTATTGCTGCCTTTCCTAACCCAGCCAGAAGCTGTTCAGAGCAGACAGTTTCTGAAAGATCTAAGTCTGAGAGTATTTTCAGGCCTCCCTTCGTCCTTGGTTTGGCAGCCATTACTGAAACTCCAGCCTCTACCAGGATGGACGAGTCCTACTTCCAGGATTGCATTCACCACTTTAACAAAGAAAACAGCCGTAATTTTCTAACTGCCCTTAGTTTTCAAAAAATAAATTTCATAGAATAATTATGCTAATGGAAAAGGATGAGGTGGTTTGTTTTTCTGAATTCTCAGATACTTAGATAAGATGAAACATCTGCCCTTTTCCCTTAAAGAACTGGAGCTCAGCCAATCTTGCTTGTTTTCTCTTTTCCCCCCTTATTTTCCAGCCGACTTATAACCATCATCACAACACTTTTCCCCAAAGGGTCCCGCGGTGTGGTGCCAAGAGATATGCCTCTGAACATCTTTGTGAAAATCATCCAGTTCATTGCCCAGGTAATGGAGACGTTTCTGGCAGTGAGAATCTTCTAATTGCTTTTAAGTAGCCAGGCTCTTTCTTACGAAGTACTAAAAGATGCAAAGTCTCCAATATCCTACGTGTTCCGACTTTTCTGAAGGTTTTAAGTGTTTTCATACATACGGTATTCTTTCACTTCAAAACAAATTGTGACATCAGTATATGACGTATTTTCAGCATCTGGCAAATAAAGAAATTGAGAGACCAAGTCTAAATGACTAATCTGAGGTCATAAAGTCTGTTAGTAAAAATGTCTCTTGACTTCTCTGTCCTTGTTTTTTCTCTGCTCTGCATTCTAAAAGAAGCAAAGAATCCAATGTTTGGAGGAAGTATTTTTAAGACAATTGAAATTTGAGGAGTAAGTTAATAATGTTCTAACTTTCGTCTGTGAAAAAAGAATATTAACATTTGTCAAGGAAATTTATTCATTGCCAAAAACCATTCTTGCACTTTACATATGTTACTTTACTTTAAAACTAGGTCCAGTCGTATTAAACACAATTTTTAGTATGTAATTTACTATTAACTATTTAGAACTAAGATTTTGACTCTTTTCTTGTTATTGTTGTTGTTATTTGTTTGTTTCTTTGTTTTGTTTGTATTGGGATGGAACCGAGGGCTTCACACATGCTTAGTTCATACTCTTCCGTTTAACTATATCCTCAAACCCAACTTTTACTCTATAAAACACTTTATGAGTTGATGGTCTTACAACTTTGACCTCCTCGTGATTTACAGAGGAATACAAAAAGACTTATTCCAATCCCTTGAGCCAGCCCTTTTAATCTCAAACAAGTCAGAGAACACCTTTTTTCTCAGTTTCTGTATCTCTAAAATGGGAATGAAAATGCTTACCCAGTATGTCTCAGAATTACGTAGGTCAAAGGAAGCCATAGACAATAAAATAATGTAACTTTTCTACATATATTTATTTAATGTGCTTTGATTATTCAGGAATATATTGTATAAAATGAACGTGTCATATCTTAGTAGCCACTATCTCAAATTACTAGAATCTCACTGACATGGTTTTATTTAAATAATCTTAATATGTCTTGTTAATTATTCTTCTTACTTGTAGAATTATTTGCTATATTATGAACCAAAAGATATTAGAGAATAGAGGAAAATGGTCATCTTGCAGCCAGATCATAAAAATACAAGAAGTTACCAGCAGTTGTAGTATGAGTAGGAATAATTTAACCTGTTTCTAAGTTCAGACACTAAGTGTTTTGATTTTTCTTCTGTGTCATCAGTCATTTTGTGCTTTCAGAGCTAATTCCATCTCTTATATAATGAAGGTGTCCTTGCACAGCAAGCAAAAGTAGAAGCAGCTCTGCCAGCAGCTCAGATGGGCATGATCTTCCCCCAGGGATTCTCTGTGATCCATAAAACTAAGCAGTACCCCTTTTTTCTAGTAGCCACCTGTTTGATACATATGATGAAAATAACCATTTCATGTTAAATGTGCACTTCAACATTTTTATATTGTTTTGTGTGGTTTTTTTTTTTGTTCTCTCCAGGAACGTTTAGATTTTGCAATGAAAGAAATCATTTTTGATTTTCTTTGTGTGGGAAAACCAGCTAAAGCTTTCAGTCTCAATCCAGAGGTATGAATGATCCTTTTATGTACTTCTAACAGAGCATGCATTCACAGAGTCATACCTTTGCTTTGCAACATTGGGGAACAGGATGAGGGATGATTTCTCTCAAGTCTTATATTTGTTTCTCTGCATGTCCAGATTCAAATAATAGGGATTCAGAAGTAAAATTTTGCATGAATAGATTTAGAATGATGAAAGGTTTTTGTGCTACCTTTCATTATACAAGTATTCTGTACTTGTATAATAAAGTATGTGTTTCCCAAAAAGATTTGCTAACAAATCAGGATATTTTATTTAGAAAAGTAAATGCTTTTACTTAGAACTATGTTGATGCAGATTAACAAATTTAGTATTTGGAAGTAATAAAACAGAGAAGAACAAATACGTGTAATGAAATGTCATAAAACCTAGTGAAATTAAATAATATGTGAACATATTTTCTGTGTCAGCACCCCTGCTCAAGGGTGAGGCAGATTGTGGAAATGAGTCCAAAGTGGATGGACTTGGATCCAGAATGGGTACAATGTGGAGTCAGGGCTATGCAAATGAATAGCACACTTACACTTTCAAAAACACCATCAGAAATATGGCAAGCTGCCTCTGCAAAGTCCTTTTCCTATAAGATTATAGAAGGAATACTGGACCAGAAGCCAGCACAGCTAGATTTGACACTTGCCACCAGCACTGACATTTACTTCTCTGAAATGGACAAAATGCTTTTCTATCACACTTCATAAAACAGTGATACAAGGAAGAATGCATCACAAACTACAAAGGAAGAAAGGGGGAAACGGGAAAGAAAGAAGAAAATTGTATATCATACATTTTTTTATGGATAAAATGCCTTTATTTTATTTGTTTATCTTTATGTGGTGCTGAGGCTCGAACCCAGTGGTTCACGCATGCTAGGCAAGTGCCCTACCACTGAGCTACAGCCCCAGCCCTATCATACATTTTTTAAAAGATCATTTATATCATCACTGCAATATGGTTCAGCTCCTTTATTCTATCAGTGGGAAAAGATGCCCAGAGGATCAACATAGGCCGCTTTTTAGGAGCAGAGGAATCACAGAATCTCCATGCTCCTTCCCACCACACCTTGCATTCTATTCCTGATACTAAAATTGCACATGTCTAACAACAACGGGAAGTCCAAAAATGGGAACTTCTGTCTGGTGGCTAATGAACTGGCATGCTACCAGAGTGCCTGCAGCCAAGGTCTGCAGGCCCCGGGTGAGGGGCCAAAGCCATGGCCTTTTGGCTGAATGGAGGTCCAGGGCTAGGGTAGAGTCTTTGCTTGCTGCAGACTTTCTCAACATATTATTTTCTTAGTATTCATATCTCTACTGTTTTAACAATCAGTTCTCAGAATTACTGGGTTACTTGTCTTAAAAGAACATGACATACTCCCAGCTACTTGGGAGGCTGAGGTGGTTGGTCACGTGAGCTCATAAGTTCAAGACCAACCTGAGTAATATGGTGAGACCATGTCTCAAAAGGAAAAAAGAAAAAAAAAAAAAAAAGAAATGTTAAAAGCTACTAATATCTATAAAACTTATACTTGATTTTTTTCTCGAACATCTCGTTCGGTTATTTAATCTCTCTGTATGATGAATACTTGAAATTTTAGTTTTAAAGTAAAATACCAATAAGAGAAAATATTGGGATATTGTCTTCCACATCTTTTGATCTTACAGGATTATGGAACAGTTTATTTGTTAGTAGTTGGTGGTTATAAGGCCAAAGGCACAGTCATGAGCCTCCTCAAAAGCAGACATAGGATTAGAATAATCTATGAAGCAGATGTCATTCATTTGATGAAATATGTTATAGGGCAGTTTCTCCAGAAACATATCCTGATTAGGTCTTAAGTAATATATTGGAAATAGCTTGTGGAACAAAGCCCAGATATCTAAAGAGTTGTCATACCACAAAGCACATCCCACCACTCAGCAGTTAGATCAGGTAAATGTCTTGCTGTAGTATGTCCCCTTATCCTCGTGAGAACTTGTTTATCTATGAGAAGAGCAGCTGGGTCATCAATTTCTCTAACTATTGCCTTAATCTAAAATAACATGGGACTGGAGGTCCTACCTAGTGTTAGAGGCAAGAAATAAAAGGCAGATAAATTGGAGATGAAGATAGAATGTTGTCTTCTTTCACAGGCAACTTGACTATCTATGTAGAAAATCCCCAAGAACCTACAGAACCCCTGCTAGAATTACTAATTGATTTTAGGAAGTTTGCAAGATACAAGATAAATGAACCAATGGATTTGTGTTTTATAGTAGTGAACAATTGGAAATTGAACAGTTTGCAATAATGCAAATTATTTATGCAAATAAATGCAAAAAAATACTTAGCAGTAAAACTGACAAAATACATAAAAAACTACAAAATGTTGAGAGAAATCAAAGATGAACTGATTAAGTGAAGAGAGATATTAATTGTAATAGACTTAAAGACTTGGTGTTGTCAAGAGTTCACCTATGCCCAAATTGATCTATGTAAACTATAATGCCAATAATAATTCCAATTAAAATCCCTGTAGCTTTTTATGAACAAGTTGATTTTAAATTTTATATAGAAAAGCAACTAGAATAACTAACATAATTTTGAAGAAATGGAATAAAGTTGGAGCACTAGTAAGCATGATCTGATCTTAGAATTTTTATAGGTTATACAGCAGTCACTTCCCCACGTGATATTGGCAGAAGGATGACTATAAAGACCCAATGATCAGAATAGAAAAGCCAGAAATAGACCCATATATAAATGGCCAGTTTATTTTCATTGACAGATCTAAGTTACTTCAATGGATAAAGGATAGTCTTTCCAATAAATTGGACAATTGGAAATCCACCTGCAAAATAATGAACTTCAACCCATAAATAAGTCTATAAACAAAAATGAACTCAAAATGGATCATAAATTTAAAGGTAAAATCCAACACAATAAATATTCCAGAAAAAAAAGATTTTAAGATAAAAATCTTTGTCACCTTCAGTTGTGCAAAAGTTCCTGAGACGTGAAACTCATAAATTATGCAAGAAAATGTTAGTAAATTGAACATTGCCAAAAATGTTTAAAAGATCTACCCTTAAAAAAAAAAAAAACACTTAATGAAGTGGAGAGTCACAGATTGGAAGAAAACATTTGCAAAATTCATATCTGACAAAGGACATTTTCCAGACTACATAAAGAATTCTTATAATTCAATGGGAATAAACAACCCAATTTTTTAAATGCACAAAATAAAAAGGCTCTTCATCAAAGAAGAAATACAAATGGCTTATGGAAAGATGTTCAGTGTCCTCTACCATTAAACAAATGTAAAACTAAACACCACAATCAGATGTGCTGGGAAGGGTGCAGAACAACTGAGTCTTACTCTCTGTAGTGAGAATGCACTGTAGAGAGCAGGTGTCTTGCCAGGTCATCTTTCAGAACGAATATTTTGCCTTACCTAAGCCTAAGACAGGTAACAGTCTGGCCCAGGATGGCCTTTCTTCTTATACACCCCCTTGTTTTAGTAATAGGTTCCATAGCATTGCTAAGTTCTTAAAATTTGTTCTCAAACTGGCAGAATAGGTGATATTCATTTTGTGGTTCACATTTGGAACTCTGAATGCTTCACTCCATCTTTGTGAATTAACGTGTGGTATCTCTCTCCTTCTAGAAAGCATAGGGCTTTTTGTTCACCTCAGTTTACCTCAGTTGCAGCAGCCCCACAGGATGACCATCTATCCCTCTGTGGTACACTCCGCCTCCCTTGAACAAAATGGTCTGTAACCATCTCAAACATGCCCTCCAAGTTTAATGAAAACCTTCCCGGTTTTTTTCTTATAATGTAGCAACAGCCATTTTCATAGGTGTGGCCTATGTTCTTGTGCCTTTTAATCTATTTTCCCATACTGACCTAGATTGAAAACCAAGCAGACTTTCTCTGAAAGACAGATGTTGTAATTCACTGCAGAACCTGGGCCTTTCTTTTTTCTCATGGATGCATTATTCCTCATAGAGAATGAACATTGGTTTACGGGCATTCTTGGTAATAGCTGACAGCCTGCAGCAGAAAGATGGTGAGCCTCCCATGCCAGTTACAGGAGCCGTACTCCCCTCTGGAAACACATTGAGAGTCAAGAAAACATACTTGAGTAAAACGCTAACTGAAGAGGAAGCCAAAATGATAGGTAGGTGTCAAGCGTGTTAGAATGGGGGTGAAGCATTTAAAATCACTCACTATTAGATACTTACCTTTAATGAGGAGCACTTTAAAAAAAAAACTTTGTAAAAGTGACAGATGAGACATTCCAGTGTTAATTGTGTTGATGAATTCATGCTGCTTTTTATTTTACTGCCCTTTAAACTTTTTAGAACTTTCTGGTAAATATTTTGCCCTTCACATATTGAGTTTTATGTGAATCTTTTCAAACCTCTAATATTGATTATCTACAGTAAATTTGATTATATACAGTAAATTTCTAAGAAATCTGTGTGCTTCGGTCGGTAAATAATCTTCTTTATAATTCATTCATTCATTTTCAGACTACATTTTTTTATTTTTTAGTAACGTTGTCTAATTTGTATTTTAAACATACCATGTTCTACAAAAAGCCATGTTATATTGTAAATCTAATCTATATGAGCTTAGTTTCTTTTAAATTTAGCTATTTTAATCCAAAGAGATGAATATTCACACTTGTTTACTTCTTATTAAATACCCAAATTTAGAAACTACTACAAACTTTTTAAAGGTAGTTCCTGGATTCCAAAGATATAATGGAAATAAGTACAGCAGTTTTGTTGCTTTACACTATTTTAATTATGTAATGCTTAAATGAGTTCAAAAGACTTAATGCATGAGAAATAGTAATTATTTCATTAAAGTACAGTTATTTGCTTTTCATTGTTATATGTGTATTGTGAATAAATGTAAAATGTAATATATGTAACATATATATTATATGTACATATATGTAACTATATGTAATATGTACATATTTGTTTTCCACTGTAGGACATTGACACACTGTTTAGTGAGAGTAATAACAAAATGACTAAAATATGTTTTCTTTCACTTCAAAATTTATAACATAACGTCTCATTTTATTTTGCTACAAATAGAATTAATACATATATTTCAGAGAACAATCTGAAGTTAGTAAAATCTTAACCCAAAATAAGAATTGGCCTTTATTAATGTAATCACTAGTGATGATGGATTTTCTTATGCTAACCAGAAACTTAAAAATTCAAAATGTGAGCCAGGCACAGTGCTGCACACCTATAATCCCAGTGGCTCAGGAGGCTGAGGCAGGAAGATTGCGAGTACAAAGCCAGCATCAGCAACTTAGTGAGGACGTAAGCAGCTTAGCAAGGGCCGTAGCAATTTAGCAAGACCCTATCTCAAAATTTAAAAAGAATTTTTTTTAAAAAGGGGTGGGTGTAGGATGAGGATGTGGCTCAGTGGTTAAGTGCCCTGGGTTCAATCCTTGGTTTAAAAAAAAAAATCAAAATGTGTATTTCCTTGTTTGTTTAACTCTGCTGGAAAATACTTCCTATTGAAGTATTATAGTTATTATTTTTAATTTGTTATATATGACAGTAGAATGCATTATAATTCATATTACACATATAGAGCACAATTTTTCATATCTCTGGTTGTACACAAAGTAGAATCATACCATTCATGTCTTCATATATGTACTTAGGGTAATGATGTCCATCTCATTTCACAGTCTTTCCTACCACTTACAATTATTATTAATTTAATGTAAATGATTATTTGGTGAACACCTGCTAAGTGTAGGGCATTATGTTAAGAACCACGCAGAGGGAAATTGAATCAGACGCAGACTCTCTGCTCAAAGAAATCATTGGCTTATAGGGTCTTCAGTTAAAAAAAAAAATGTTATAGAAGATGAACTAAAGCTGTTCTTTGATAGCTTTAGTCAAGGTTGTAACTATAATACGTGTTTTTCAGGCATGTCCTTGTATTACTCTCAAGTACGAAAAGCTGTAGACAACATTTTAAGGCACCTTGATAAAGAAGTAGGACGGTGTATGATGCTAACCAATGTCCAGATGTTAAACAAAGAACCCGAAGACATGATCACGTGAGTACAGTGAGGCTGTTATCCATGAGGAATTGATCAACCAGGCGTGGTGGCGCACACCAGTGATCCTAGTGACTCGGGAGGCTGACACAGAGGATCACAAGTTCAAGACCAACCTAGGCAACTTAGGGAGACCCTATTTCGAAACAAAACAGTAAAAAGTGCTGGGATGTAGCTCAATGGTAGAGCACTTGCCTAGTATGCCCGAAGCCCTGGGATCCATCCCCATCACTACAGAAGAGAAAAAGGAAAAAAAAAAAAAAAGCAATTAATGAAGCAAAAGATAGAGGTAGATATTCTTTCTTTCTCTTTTTCCTTTTTACTCTTTCTTTTTTTATTTGTTCTTTTTTAAAAAAAAAAAAAATTCTCACTTCCTAGAATCAGGGATGTACGAAGTGCTAAGGGTAGTTTAAATAATTAAATAAATACAAATACTTTGACATTGCCCAGCATACAGAAGGCCTAGCGTTCAATTCCCAGTCCCACCCCCAAATCTTTTTTCTGATATTCAGCTGACCATAAAATGAAGTCAAACCTGCAGTCAGTTGATCTCTTTGGGTTATATTTTGAGTACCATTAAGCCAGCAAGTTAGAATATGGGACACCCAAACCATTTATTGGTCCACATTTTTCAGAAGTGACATTTTGTTCCCACGCTCTACCATAGCACCTGTGATTCAATGACATCCCAATTTACACATATCCCACTTTATAAATCTCAAATTAATTTGTTTCCAATGGAAATTCCTACTTAATAGTTTCAGTGAAACTGTGCCATAGATTTTAAGAAAGCATTTATAGTACCAAATGTAGAACTCAAATGTTCTTTGCCAAAATCGAGAGCTGCGTTTGTGATTGAGCTCGGCGGAGGAAACCTGTACAACTCATATTTGCTATTTTTCACTAATTTCAATAAGAATTAAGATTTGATTCTAATTCTACATTTTTTTAAAAAATTGAGACTTTGTCATTGAACTATGAATTAGATTTTATTTGGCAGCTGTGGCGTAAATTCCTAAAAACATAACTAGGAAGATTTCCTCTATTTCCCAGCATAACCAGCCTCAAATATCAGAATTAATCTGAAATTGTTACCTTTATAGAGAAGTTCATATTGTATGAATTTGATCACATTGATAGTAAATGCTCATGATTAAAACAGTTGAAGTACAGAATTATTTTAAATATATATTTAGTAGCATTTAAAATGAAAAGCCTCCTCCTAGGCATCCCACTTGAAATCAAATCTGTGACCATCCCTTAGCTTCATGTGATTCCTTCCAGAACTCTCCCTGTATAAATGTACTATATGGAAATACCAATGCGCTTCAACTTATGGTGGGGTCACATCCCAATGAGTTTATTCTAAGTTGAAAATGTTATACGTTGAACATGCATGTACTACCCCTACCCTACCCAGCAGCCTGTCTCAGCAGCACTGTGCCCTGGAGAGTATCAGTTGTTCTCCTTATGATCTCAGGGCCGGCTGGGAGCTGCCCAGCATTGCAAGAGAGAATCACTTGTCACTAGCCCTGGAAAATATCCAAATTCTAAGTTCCAAGCAGTTTCTACTGAATGTAACTCACTTTCACACTGTGGTAAAGTCAAAAATTACTAAACTGGGGACAATCTGTACTTTTTTCTTTCTTTTTATTTTTTTGGTAAAAACAAAAATATACAGTGCATATTATCCTATAGCTTGCCAAACATTTGATTAAACCACATGGAGGCCATATCACTGTAGACTTTTCAATCAAAATAATAACAAAATTGAGATTGAACAAGACTGATAACATTAAAAATACTTCTTTAGCTTTTTAGTTCTTGCCTCATAAGTTAACAGATTATGAATAAGACTTTAACCTCATTATTCCATATTCCTTGAATATTTTAAAGATATTTTTATATATCCTGTAGAAAACATAAGAAATACTTTCAAAATTTCTTCCATATAGTTGTTTCCTATTTAAAATATGAAAGAATTAAAGAGCTTTAAAGGAAAATCATAGTTATATTCAGGAAACATCAGACGGTAGATTCAAGTCCAAAACAATATATTCAAACATGTATAGGCTTAAATATAAATACAAATATTCTACTTAAGTTTTAATTAATGCTTCACATTTTTTTCTAGATTCTTCTTTTTCCTATTCATCCATTTTAAGATTCCCCCAAATAAGACTAGGAATAGTTTTCATGTTAGACTATAAAGTAGATCCCAGAGTGGAAAATCACTCATTGCTTCATTTCTTAAAAAGAACAAGGAGAAATGTTAGAGAATCATATAAGCATTTAGGGGAAGAGGGTGGAGACCACACAGCACTAATGGGAACAGCCATCTGAACTGGCATTTGAGGTTGTCCACCATGTTCCCAGGCCCTGGTTTAAGGTTTGAACTTGAACGTTGAGTATTTTGTGTTACTCAATCTCCATTCTTCATTTCTTTTGTGGCTAATAAAAGTAAGAAAGACAATAACAAATGTTAAAAAATAGTAATTTTAACATCTGTTAATAAATATTCTTAATTGTGTTATTTTGGAAGTTCACAAGGCTTCCCATAAAAACCCCAGAGACAGCAATAGCTACAATAGTAAGAGGAAATCATGCACCAATTAATTCCTAATCTAGGCTGGATTTATCAGCTTGGAAGTCTGGAAGGGCTCGCCTTATACTTCAGGCCAGGCAGGGTCATCTCTTTTCTAGCAGATATGAATATAATCCCAGCTGTGTACAACATCTGGTGAGCAAGCTAGAAGAACTGTTTAAACTGTTGAAACCACTCACAGCTATTGTGGGTGTCATCCAAAGACAACTCTCTCCTTCAGCTGATTAGAAACCACAGTGCACCAGCTTCCTCTCTGGAACCCTCATTTATCTGATGCCAGAGGTTCAAAGGAAAAAAGAGACAAAAATATCTTCTACAAAAGCAGAATATTTTAGAAGTCAGAGTATATATCTTGCTTTTCATATGAATAGTTTTGCATTTATCCTTCACTTACAAAAACATTCTAAAAAGTAAGGTCACAGCTCAGGATTGCTATTAGATGATGATCAGATTTGGGAATCCTCCTTGCAAACTCTTGGTGCACTTCTATTCTATTCTGGCCACCATTACTGTTCCCAGAAGTGATTACTTCTGTGTCACTTTGCATTTCCATTATTGTGTCTGTGTCCTATTACTGCTTTAACTTTGTAACCAATTTTATATTTATTCTCAGAAAACTAAATCATCAGAATATAGATATGCTGTTATATATTCTCACTTAGGTTATTTGAAATATTTGACGGATAATTTAATTTCTTATAAAAGTTATCGATTAAGTGGTTAAGAATCAAATAGTTACCTATTAAAATATCTAAAACTTGAAATAACATATTACAAAATTCAATTGTTCCTCTGCATCTGTGGGGAATTTTTTCCAGGATTTCCCAATTGTTTCCCAATTGTTTGGTATATCCAAAATCCTGGAAATATATGCATTTTCAGAGATATGCATTAAGTCCCTTGTATAAAATGGCATAATATTTGCATCTAACATCACCTATGCATTTCCTCCCATATTAAGCCTTCTGTAGGTTACTTATAACACTTAAAACTATGCAAATGCTATGGAAATAGTTGTAATACTGTTTTGTTTAAGGAATAATGACAGGGGTGGGGGAGGCTATATATGTTCAATACAGGCACATTTTTCCTTAAATATTTTCAATCCATGGTTGGTTGAATCCATGGGGGTGGATCCCATAGGTATTGGGTGCTGAATGTATACATTTTTGCTTTCTGTGTGCTTACAACACAGAAGACCTTATTATCCTTAAACACTAATATCTTCATGAGAGTAACTAAAAAGAGGGGTCTCTATTCTATATACAGGATTTTACCTGTTGTCATGAAAGACTTAGTTTGGAAACAATTTTTTTTTAAATGGGGCTAGGTGGTCTAGAGAAGCATGGCACATCAGGGAAAGAAGGTTCCAGATGTCACACTTATAAAAGGAGCCATTTTGCATATATTAAAATCCCATTTATGAACATTAAATAGAGGAACGACTATAATATATTTCTTCGTGCTGACACCGTTAAGCATTTCTGTGATTCTAGTGTTTTAAATGCAGGCCACAGGGACCAAATAGATCCCAACTAAATGGCAAGCCTATGATAAAATGCTCTTGATAATCAGCGTTTACAGAGATATGTAATTCTGTGTTGCATGTATATTTTTTAAAGTTTTATTAGAAATGGTCAAACTGTAAAGGGAATAAACAGAATACTGGAGCCAACACAAGCCTGTGATTCAGAGGCATGGATTAAGTTCCAGTCTTCATTCACATACTTAACAAATGTTTCTAAGAATTTTTCACAACCTTTTGACCTATATTTAAATTTTGTCTTCAATTGCTAGGGGTGAAAGAAAGCCCAAAATCGATCTTTTCAGGACCTGTGTTGCTGCTATTCCTCGACTGCTTCCTGATGGGATGTCAAAACTTGAACTTATTGACTTGTTGGCCAGGTAGGTGAGACATCATTTGACCAAAACTGATCTTAATCCTTTGTCATGGTTCCTAAAAGAAAAGAAGTCCATATTTAGAGTCAACAAAAGTTTATTGATTAAGGTATTATTTCTATGTATGGGCAGGAATGAGTAAAGAAATGTTGCTTAAATTATTATTATTCCCATAGTCAAGGGCTTTAAAATTCAATTTAGAATGAATACATGAACACGTAAGGTAAGCAATAACCCAGGGCCTGGGAGTTCACAAATTAACAGCACAGAAAATGGATACCTGAGTCAGTGAGTAGCCAGGTTACTGTGTACTGAGGAAGTTGACAGGTGACTCTGGGCGAAGATGAAATTTGAACTGGCTTTGGAAAGGAAGCAGGATTCAGGAAGGTGAAGGAAGTGAGTCTGGCTGGAAAAGAGTCCATGCAGGTCTGACCCCTCCCCACCAGGGACCAAAATAGGAAGGTAATGGGGATCCTAAACTACTGTTAGTACTTCAGAAAGCTACCGAAAATCACTTTTACCACCTTCCCCAGCCTCCATAAGAATGCACAGTCCAAGTAGAAGCTGAAATTTATTTGCTGTGAGTGAAATTATCAGGGTTCAGTAAGCTTAGTTATTTCCTATTGGTCTGCAGCTCTAGCTGACGTTATGCATACCTTACATTTAAAAATCAGAAGTGATTTTTTAAAAAAAGCAGGGTAGAAGGCAAAATCATTAGATTCATGGAGTGTAAGAAATGAGAATAAAGTCATCATTGGCTTAGAAATTAAAAAGAGTTGGGGGCAACCCAAAGATAAAAAGAAATATCAGTTTGGGGAGGTTAGATTTCCATTGAGTCTTAAGTATTAGTACTGGTATTTAGACAGATGAAGTTTTAAACAGAGGAATAAAAGACTTTAAAATGTCATTTTAGGCTGGTTAATCTGATAATGGTGGAATAAAGGAGAGCTTAGGGAAGGATAACAAATATTAACACTGACCCAGTGAGAGATCCCCGTGCCTAGCCGAGGTTAGAACCTTCTGCCAATATCCTTCCCATCAGTATTCAAATTAATAACCCAAATCGCCACCGTCATGTGACTACACCTCCAGTGGCTCTGAGCATCCTGTGGAGCCTCGTGTCTCAATTCCTGTGGTCATGGTCCTCTTCCAGGGATAGCCAGCCCAGCCTCTCTCGCTCACCTCTGGCTCTCGTGGAATGGCTTTTGTCGCCTCCTGTTGTTCCTTTCCTCTTCCAAGCACTGGCAGCAGAACCTTCAGTGAAGGTCCCTGAAGACCCATAACCTTCGAAATCACAGCCCTCCCAGCTGGTGTTTGTCACCTGTCATCCCTGTTCTTCCGTTGTTTTTGTTTGTTTGTTTTGCTATCACCAGCAACCTGGAGCCCAGGATCCCTCTCTTTTCCATTCCATGCTTAGGACACACTTTAATAACATAAGGTTTTAAACAGTTGCACCTTAGGCCTTTCCCAAAGCCTTGCAATGGGAATGTGAGCAAAGAGCACATTCATGGGAAAGGGGGCAGGCAGAGGAGAGAGGAAAAACTAACCCCGGATGGAAGAGGGGTTTCCAGTTCTTGGTCACCCCAGAGGACCAGAGGGTGGATTTCCAAAGTATAGTAAACACAGTGATTTGGCAGGAAAATGGAGAACAAATCAATATTGTGAGATAAGTGCTAGAATAATCTGGAGACCCCAGGGACCCACCTGTGAGTTTGTCACAGCCCACAGTAGAGACAGCATTCCCACAGGAGACATTGTTCCCACAGAGGAGGGGTTGCCGAGTGAACAGGCTGAAAGTGGCCACAAGGCCCCTGAGAGCTCTCTCCATGGCACCGTGGACCACTGCGGAGCTGGGGCTGCCCCAGGATCAGATTAACCAGCTCCGAACTTCACCTTCCCAAGGGACACAGAGGAAGCAGTGGAAGGAAACAGTCCAGCAGGAAGCCTGAACTTGGCACCCTGCTCGCCATTTTACTACCTGTGTGACCTCGATGAGTTATTTAGCCCCTCACCCTGTTTTCCTTGGTAAGACTGGAGGGATACTGCCCGTCTCAGGGACAGTTGCGAGGGCTGACGAGAGGCCTCTGCACTCTGGTATCTGCTAGGAAAAGACCAGTTCCCTGAAGTGGAAGGAAAGTTTGGTTTGCTCAGTGAAGATCTAATTGTTGGTATGAACACTAAGGCCCTGGAAATCCCAGGGCATTTAGATGACAGTCGGCACTTGGGTCATGCTGTTTTGTGGTAAATCTGTCTAGGAGGCTCTTACCTCTGGGATCACCTGGGTAGCTTAATCCAGGGACGCAGGAATCTGCAAACCAGACTGTGGTGCCAGGCGTGTGGGAAGATAGTTCTGTTAGGCACGGCTGGAATGTCAGTGCTATTTATAGCATGTCCTGTTTATTATTATGTACATTCTTATGGAGCCCAAAGCCCTGGGTGCTGTGTTTGTTTTTGTTTTTTTTTTTTAATTTTATTTTTTTAATGAGGGAAAAGAACAAATATTCTTGAAAGTCCAAGAAAAAGACTACACCATATCAGAAACCCAGGAAGAGCCCTTTTCCATGAACTTCACAAGAAAAGAGGCTGTTCTCCTGGGGGAGTTCCCCGAGTGTGTGACCCACATGCTGGGTCCATTAACCTGTGAGACCTCTATGAGAAAATGAGGCTCTTCAGATCCCCTCAAGAGGGGCAGAGGACAGAAGCGGAGTCACTCACTCACAGTAAATCTGGGTTTGAAGTGCCCCACAAGAAGCCTGCAGCCACCCTCTACGTGATACCCACCGAGTAGTCACACTTGGGCTAAGTTGACTTGAAACATGGTCTCGTCAGACCTTTGACTTTACACACTTCACACTCACATCCATGGTACAGTTTTATTTGAAATTCTGGTTTTGCCCATAATTGGCAAAACAAGACTAATACCCACTCAGACTGCTCTCCCTCCCAGCTCAGCCCCCTGTAAGGAGTTTGAAGGACACGTCCCACATGGCTGCCCCCAGGCCTGATCCCAGCATTTTCGGTAGTGGCTGAATACCAGACCCTCAAGCCTGGGACCTACAGTGGCATGTTGAATGTGACAGTGACAGCCATGTATGGAATGAAACAGGCAGGCCACCGCCTCCAGTTACTAAGTTCCTGACTTTATAGGTATTGCTCAAGCTGGGTGTGAGGCATCTTTCCCTGTGGGCGCCCTGGAGATGTGTCAGTTGGCCTTACCAGCCTCATGGGAGACCCCTGGGGGTACCGCCTTCTGACCCTTAGCAGAGCCTTCCCTGCTGAGCTCTCTGGGTCCCCCAAGATTCTCCACATAGAAAGGGGGGCTTTCTTGTCTCCCCAGTGATTGGGAGATCTCTCGCTCCCTTGCCCAATGTGTCCTGCTTCATTCTTTGAGCACAGGAAGATTTTTTTCCCCTAATAGTCCAAGGCTCCTCCCCTGTGTCACTTCCTCCAGTGCATCTAAGGGTTTGCTCTTCAAAATTTACCCTCCTTTTTCAAAAATTTGTCCAAAATATCATCATAGTGTTTTGAGAATTAAATAATGCATATAAATCACTGAGAATAGGACCTAGTACAAAATAAGCTCCCCCCAAATTAGTTGTTTTTAAGTATCTTCACATTTGAATGATATATATACCATGTTGTACAATGCTATTTCTATACATTATGTTATCTAAGCTGGATATATATTCATCCCTGATTTTAGACAAGGAAGTTGAACTTCAGAGGAGTAAAACTGTTTGCCCAAATTCACAGAACTTTCCTGCAACCAAATGTCATTGGTTTTATACCAAATAGTAAGCGCTACTTACGCAGTGTTTCCTTATAATTTGTGGAAATGTCTGACGTAATACATACACAATTCCACAGTCTTCTGTGGCACCTGAAACACACTAGCCACTGTCTTGCGTTCACGCTTCTTGTATGTATGTGTTGTGGAAAGCAGTTAGTTTGTTTGGTGTATCTGACAGGGAAGTACTTCCAATAGTATATATTGCTCCCAAAATTCACTATTTCTTCATTTTCATCAAGATACAGTTTAATGCTCTGCAAATAGCTGTAAGTCCACTCTTTAAAGACCCCTGAGGCCACCACCTAATGAGTTGGTACAGTGACTGACAGTGCATTTATTAGCAAGCCCTCCTTCTGGAAATCCTTATCTCCTGGGCTTCACCTTGAAACCCTTTCTTCCTCTGCTGCCCCTGGGGACATGGTGACATTATTGGGCAGCAGCTTCCTCCGAATGACCTTGTTTTTGTCTTGCCTAGTTCAGAGGAGGAAGCTTCTCCTAATGATCTTTTCTTCAGGATATGGTTTGTGAGTTTGAAATCCACGCCCCCCTCCCTTCATTGGCAAAACAAGTGAACAGCCACATTATTGAAAGCTACCGGGAGTGGGAAGCCTACCTTTGTGCAGGTGGTTTGCATTAAAAATATTTATCCCATATGGCCCACCCAGAAGGCTGCTTTGTCCAAGTTCTGGTTCTCCTCATTTTAGAACATGTCCTACTTAATTCAGCAACAACCTTGTATGAGCAGCATGGCCCTTGGGATCATGCCACTTGCTTACTCTAGATCACGGCAGAAGGTCCCTGGAACCGTGAGCGGTGGCACACAGGGTCTGTGCAACATGTGCCTGCATATTTGCTCTCTGATCTAAGCAGTCGTAACCATGGTCACAGCTCCTGATGCCAACCGCTTGAGGGACAGCTGCAGTTAGTGTTGTAATATTGGTTTCTCTGGGTATATTTTACTGCTGTGTCCCTGTAGAGACATTTCAATCCCCGTCAGTGATTTTATTCATGTGTATCCATGCACCTGAGACTCTGAGGCTCCTGGGAACCACCTCAGTTTCTTAGGAATCTTGTTTGAGAGCCATCTCCTCCCCCATAGTCAGACTTCTCCACATGTTGCTTCTCTTAAAGTCTCTCTGTTCTCTTTTCCAGTTACTGTCACTAAACTTCCTTAGAGGACAGGGCTTTATTTGGCAGGCAGGGGATGGGGTATGTTTTTCTTAATTACAGTTGTACTCTTAGTATGTAGTCTGAACTCCTCTGCTTTAGTGGTCCAGTTTCCCTATGGGACATCCTAGCTGGGAGTTGACAGAGTTCCCTCACCTCTCCCTGACCCTGCTAGACAAGGAGACCTCAAAGGACTTGCAATAATGGAGGCCAGTCTCCTGCTGCTTTCCTGCAGAGCTCAGGGACTCAGAATGGCTGGATGTCTTTCTCATTTAATCCCAAGTCATCTCTTCCTTTTTAGTTAGCTATTTTTTCCTATTTTGTGTTTTACATAAATCTTTACCACCCCATGTTCCTCATTTGCTTCCATAGTGACTTGTCCTGATGGGGTAGTTCCCCATCAGTCTCGGTTCCATGGCAGGGAAGACTTTGTCTTCTATAAACATTCTGCTTTTGCCATAAGCTGGGCCTTCTATCCCCAAAACCCCTTCCTCTAGGAGTATCTTTGGGCCCTTTCACTGGTGGAGCATGTGGACACCATCGTTCCAAGAGACATGGCCACCTTGAACAGTACAGACTCCACAGCCTGAGGCTCCCAAAGAGTCCTTCAAATGATCCTGAGCTGTGGGCTTGGAATTTAAACAGATTCCAGATTGCAACTCATTCATGAGAGCAAAGATAGAGAATAGAATTGATCTCATTTGCAAAGCTGAAAGCATTAGTCCTTATTTATGGGCTTCTCCTAGGTAGACCACGACATGGCTTTTATTCTTGGTGCTTTCCTAGTGTTGGTTTTTTCTGGCTACTTAAATAAAGAGCCAGAAAAGGGGGCTTACACAACAGAAATCTGTTGTTTCACGTTTCTGGAAGCTGCAAGCCCAAGATCCAGGGCTTTCTGCCTTCTGTGGAGTGTGAGAACTTGTCCCCTGGCTGTGTCCCAGGCTTCTGGTCATCTGCAGTGTTTGACTTTCCTGGGCATATAGAAGCAGCACACCAAGCACTGTTTTGTCTTCCTGTGATGTCATCCCAGTGCACCTGTCTGTCTCCAAGTGTCCTCCTTTTATAAAGATGCCAGTCGTATTGCATTAGGGACTCTCCTCCCATGTGACCTCATCTAATTTGGCTAACCATATCTGCAGTAATCATATTTCCAAACACGGTCACATTCTAAGGTACTCAGGATCAGGACTTCAACACATGATTTTTGTGGGGGACACAATTCAACCCACAGCAATGACCCATATCATTACCATCTGTTAACATTCATTCAGTGAACTGCAGTTCCTGGTTATGCTATTGCTTGTCCTAAACATGGTGGGTTTTTATCTGTGAAAGTTTTATTTCCTAAGACATTTAGAACCATAGAGAGGAATAAATGTAATAAATTGGAATAATAAATGTAAGATGAGAAGATGGCTTCAAGTACAGTTTTATAAACCAGTGATTTCAAATCATGGACTGCTAGTGGGGCCCAATGGTGTATGCCTATAATTCCAGCAGTTTGGGAGGCTAAGGCAGGAGGATCTCAAGTTCAAAGTCAGTCTCAGCAATGGCGAGGCACTAAGCAACTCAGTGAGACCCTGTCTCTAAATAAAATTAAAAAAATAGGGCTGGGATGTGGCTCAGTGACAGAATGCCCCTGAGTTCAACCTCCAGTACCCGCCCCCCCCAAAAAAAAATCCACTGCAAAGATCATTTAGAGTTACTTGGAAGCGAAGGGGGTATTTCCTTCCCAAATGAATGGGCTTCAGGCCTTCTACCCCAGCTTTAACAGAGCAACTCAGATTTTCTGTATTATATATGGAGTTTATATTAGATTCTCCAGAGAAACAAATAATAGGATATGTATATTGGGGAAAGGGATTTGTTATAAGTAATTGGCTAACACACAACCATGGGGACGGCAATCAGAAGTCTGAAGGGTGGGCCATCGGGCTGGAGACCCAGGAGAGCCAAGCTGACAGTCTGTATCTGAGAACTGCCTGCCGTAGAACCAGGAAATAGTCCGCTGAAGTCTAAAGGCAGCCTGCTGGAGAATTCTGTCTTGCTCAAAGGAAGCCAGTCTTTTATCCTGTTCAGGCCTTTAACTGATCAGATCAGTCCCATGCACAGAATGGAGAGCAATCTGTTTTACCCAATCAACTGATTTTCATACTAATCCCATCCGAAACACCCTCACAGAGACACCCAGGGTTTGGCCAGCTATCTGGGCACTGTGGCCCAGGCAAGTTGACACACAAAATTAACCATCACAGAGCTCTGCATAAAACTTTGTTGAAAAATAATGGTTCTGCTACTGATGGAAATAGAAAGTTTGAAAACCCCTGCCTTAGACAATCCTTAATTGGAAGCCCATGGTGAAGGCCTGTTTTCTTTCAGCAACTATAATCACTTAAGAACTATAGATTTAATTGCAAAAGATTTTCCTGAAGAATTAGCCTAGAACTTCCTTCTCGGCATCTTTGTAGAACTTTATGGGCTTTCAAGACAGCAAATATATTCCCTCTTCAGTGTAAATCTGTAACCTAGAGAGACTTTCACCTGCTTTGTATTGTAAAATTTGGACCAATTGGTGTCTTAAGAAAGGAGTTTGCTTAGCTTATTAAGCTTTTGAAATACTGTCTTCTTTTAATAATGCATAATTGGGGCAGCTTTTTCTGTGGAGAAAAATATGGATTAATGATTAGAAGTCCTGGATTGGAATCCTGGCTCTTCCCCCTGATACATTACTGAGTGATTTCCTTCACCACCCTGGGGCCACAAGTTCTTATTTTTTGTTGAGAATCCCCTCTTCATGGGGGCAACCATGAATTTAGACATGTTCTCTGACCCTGAACACCTCCAAGCCTGAATCCTGGAAGTTGGTTCTCAGTGTCTCTGATCTCCATCTCCCCCTTCCTTCCCACTCCTCTACCTGGGTCGAGCCCTATGACTCATTGACTTTGAGTTGTGACGACCTGCTCTCAAACTTGGTCTGGTTCCTTCTCCAAGCCATCCTCATTTTTTTTTCAAATGTGAATTGAATCACGTTTCCCTCTGTAAAATGTACAGTGTACTGTTTATTTTCTTCTTTTAAAAATAGCTAACTGTTGAGTGCTTACTACGTCCTCATTGTAGTGGTAAACACTATACATGGATCATCTCCCAAACAGGTTTATGAGGTGCAGTACAGTGAATATTTCCATTTTACAAAAGAGGAATTCGAGCCTTAGATTAAGTTCCTAGCCTGAGGTCATAGGTCAGGTAGCTCTGCAGGCATTCTGACACAGGACACTCTTACCCCTTCTCTGCAGTGTTCCTCCCTAGGTGGCCCACAGACCCTTCAAGGTGCTGTCTCGCTCCCTTCCCACCACTGCCTGTCACCCTTCTTGTGCAGGTTCCCCACCTAATGGCCAGGTGGAACACAATATCCTAAGTGCCACACACAGTAAGTATAATATCTGAATCTTAGGAGGCTCCCAAGTATTCCTAAGTAAATGAATGAAAGAATCTCTCAAACATTTTGGTACCTGTCCAGACTTAATATTATTATGTTTCTGTTAAAACAGGAATACATTGAAATTCTTTAGTTGACTAAGAGTTTCTCAATCTTGGCACTACCAACATTTTGGACCTGGTAATTCTTTGTCATCAGGAAATGTGTATCATAGGATGTTTTGTAGCATCCCTAGCTTCTACCCACCAGACAGATAACAGGAGTACACCCCAAACTATATAAAGAAGAATGTTTCCAGCATGTATTCCCAGATTTGGGGGGTTAAGGCAAGAGAATGGCAAATTTAAGGCTAGACTGGGCAGCGTAGCAAGATCCTGTCTCAAAAATCATCATCATCATCATCATCTCCAGACATTTCCCAATTCCCTGGAAAAGAAAATTGATAGAAGATCATTAGCATAACTCCAATTAAACTTCTAAATGTGTCCTTTGCTCTTCCAGCTCCCAATGTGTCTTTCTATTTAGAATGGGATTTGATACCAATTTATTCTGTAGTCAGTAATGTATTAAAAAGTGTTCATATACAGCAAAATGCTATATGGTATCTCAGATTGCATTCTGAAAAAAAAAAGGGGGAGCCAGGCATGGTAGTACATGCCTATAATCCCAACTGCTCAGAGGCTGAGGCAAAAGGATTGCAAGTTCAAAGCCAGCCTCAACAACTTAGCAAGGCTCTAAGCAACTTAGCAAGACCCTGTCTCAAAATAAAAAGGTCTGGGGATGTGGCTCAGTGGTTAAGCTGGTGAAGGCTACATGCAAACTATTACCTTTGCATCTCTTCTGTAAATCTAAGAAGTCTTTGTTTTTTGAAGTATTCATTGAAACCATTTACCAAGCAAAAAATGAAGAAGGCTTGTTTTTTCAGACACAAGCAGAAGCAGAGATAAATATGTTCCTTCTTAGCTCTTAGTGATCTCCTTGTCCTTGATTCATTTCACAGGCTCTCTATTCATATGGATGACGAACTGCGACATATTGCACAGAATTCTCTTCAGGGCTTACTCGTTGACTTCTCAGACTGGAGAGAAGACGTGCTGTTTGGCTTTACCAACTTCCTGCTCCGGGAGGTCAACGACATGCACCACACGCTGCTCGACTCGTCCCTGAAGTTGCTGCTGCAGCTGCTCACCCAGTGGAAGCTGGTCATACAGACCCAAGGAAGAGCCTATGAACAGGGCAACAAAATCAGAAACTCAGAGGTGACTTCTCCCTCTCCCCACCAGCTTGTTCTTTATTCTACTACACGTGTGAGTGAGTGGCAGCCCAGAGAAGCTTCTGGAGTTCCTCCTTCCAGCCACTAGTGTAGGGAACTTCCTCTGGTGCTGCCCTTAGTTCTGTGCCGGCACACACTGCGAGAGAGAAACTCGGGCTTAATATAGTATGTCAGGTCAGACTAGTTGACACTGTGGAAATTGGTTTTACCAGAGAATTATGATTACAGATCTGTTTGTAAGAGCAAATGGCTATAGGACAGGGAGTTGAGCTAGACGTGGATATTGATATGGGTACAGAAATAGATATATAAAATTTTTAGCTATCCACTGATTTTTGGTTGTTTTTTTTTTTTTTTTGGGGGGGGGGGGGTTTGGGGTGTTTGTTTTTGTTGTTTTACTCTGCAACATAGGAATTGTTCTGCCAGTATCCACAGAGAAGAAAATGTAGTCTTGTGGCTTCTTGATATTTCATGTTTCAGTCATGAATGGCAAAATGTTTTGGAGAGTAGATTGAGAAGGAAGATTGTCCAAAGGAGAGCCAGGGTCCTTGTTGCCAGGCAGAAAGCTGGCATTGGCATTGGGCAGATGGAGACAGGTCTGGCTGGGAGGAGCATCGCTGAGGGTCTGAGGATTGTGGAGGCTCAGGACAGCACATCAGCATCCAGGGAACAGCAGGGATGAACCCCTTTGGGGATGGGCTGACCTCAAAGATGGTGTTCAGGTCCCTCTTCCTTCTGTGTCTGCTACACATGCTGAAAGATGACAGTAGAAAAAAGGGGGTTGTATGTGCTTGGGAAAGGGAAATGAAGGTGGAATCTGCCATATCATCTGGCTTGCTTCTGCTTTAGGTTCACTTGTTTGAAGTTTGGGAACTTTCAGAACTTATCGTGTAAATGTTCCAAACCTCAATGAGAATCTAACAGACAAACAAGGAAGCAAGTGTACATAGAATGTAAAATGTTTAGAAATTCAATTTAGTAGTATGTAAAAGTCTATAGAGAATTTAGATGAAAGTGAATTAGGCCATTTTGATCATACGTATAGATATTGCATAATCCCAAATGCTATGGAGAGAAGCTGTTTTGTTTTTGTTGTTATTATTATCAAGTTTTGAAAAGTTATTTCTCATCAGACATACCAGATGGTTGATAATATTCCAAAGCAACAGTTGATCTGAAAAGTAAAAAGGGATCTAGGATATTTCACGAAGAATAACAAATCCATAGACGTGTCTGATTCAAAGTCATCGTCATTTATTATACTGTTACAAGGTCAAATGTGCCAAAAGACACATACAAGAATATTTTTTCCTGCTTGCATTGGTCTCTTGCTGAATACACAATGTTGTTCTTATTCCATGACAGCTCATTCCCAATGGTGCCAGCCACAGAATCCAGTCAGAACGAGGCCCTCACTGCAGTGTCCTCCACGCCGTGGAAGGCTTTGCTCTGGTTTTACTCTGCAGTTTCCAGGTGGCCACACGCAAACTGTCTGTGTTAATCCTGAAGGAAATCCGAGCTCTGTTTCATGCCCTGGGTCAGCCAGAGGTATGGATTACTCTTCCAAATTCTCCAATTTATTTCTTTCGACTGTTTCGAAATTTAGATAAAAATTACAAACAACACATTACTGTTTTGTGTACTCTCGTGTCACCTGTGGTATTGACAGTTTTCAGTGTATCATTGGGATTATAATGAGCAGTAGTGTCCTCTATCTTCTGAAGTTAAGTCATATATCCTGATAGCAATAAAGAAGACCATTCCTGGTCACTAAAGATGTTGCTTTCCCAAGTAAGGAATTTTATGATTAATTGTCATATTTGTGTTGGAGAATAATCTCTATAAAAATAATGTATTCCATTTAAAATGAGAGGTACCAAACAGTCTGGTTAACTGAAAGTTGTTTCATCTCAATGATGTTAAGAAAATGGCTCCATAAGAAACGTATCCTCCTCAGATGGGAGAAGGAAGCTAATTTTAAGTACTATCAACTCCAGCCAACCTCCCGCTCTGGTCAAGAGCAGTATACTTTCCATGAGATGTTACAGCTCGTGACCTGCAGCACAATTGAAGAAAACCGGCTTTTATGTCACATACTTCTTTGCAAAAAATGCCACTTTCAATTTTCTGGTTTTAAATCACTAATCTCGATTTCATGATCCTCACTGTGGTCACAGTTTTTGTAAAATATTTTCAAGCTCATCACAGTTCTTTCTGTTCACATTTCTTCAGATAGCTTTTTGGCTATTTCAGGGCCACATTGCTGGCATCTGGTAAATGCACCTCCAAGGCATGCTGTATTTGGTGAACCTCCATTAAGTTTCTAATTATGATAGATAACAGTGATAGTAATTACCATGTACAAAGTCAGGCACTGTGCCAAGTGCTTTGCACACGTTATCCATTTTATCTCACAATAAGAATTTATTTTATTTATCCTAATGTTACGGATACTAAGACTGAGGTTTAGAGAGGTTAAAGGACTAATCCCAGATCAACAAGTAGGATATTAGAGTCAGAATTCAAAGCCAGATATTTGTATATATATTTGTATACTATCTCCAAAGTTCCCTATTCTTAATGGCTACTCAACCAGACTGTGTCAAGGATGTTTCTCAAACGTTATTTTCTTTGACCAGCCACAACTTCTTCAAAACCATTCTCATTTATCATTGAATACATACATTCCAAGGCTTTCATATAAGACTTCTCAATAAATCATTTTATGTTTTCAAGTTTCTCTGTAGTAAAGAGCAGCAAACATATGCCTATTCATGTATGATGGATATGTACATATATTCTTCATATCAAATAATTTTCAATAAGATACCTTCTCTTATTTTTTTCAATTTACTTCTTTTCGTAAATAGCTGCATGCCACATAAATATCACAGAAAGTCCGTAGTTATTCTCCAGTGAAGTTTCTTTTTGACGAGAATTCAATCACTGTCAACAGTTTATCAATTATTTTAGCGAGATAGCAACTTTAAAATAATTGCTGCTTTTTTGGTCTGAAAAAGCCTGTTCTTGTAGGGTTTCCATGCCTTGAAAGGAACAACAAGTGAATACTTCAATGACTAATGTACTACACTGGTTTGGGGGTTCTTGTGTGCATGTATGAGTCTATGAAATTCAGGGAAATGTCTTTTGAGAACAATGTGAATTGGAGTTCTAAATTATCTTGCCCTGAAACTCGAAAGAGAGAGCTCAGAACCTCTGGGGTTTTCTGCCTTACCTTTCACTGTCTTGGCTCTCGCTCCTCTGTGACAAACCCCTTATCGGTGTCTTGCAAGCTGTTGTGCTTCATGTACTAGATGGAGGCAGTGGGTGGGTGGGAAGGATTCATTTTCCCATGGAGAATAATCACCTCCTCTTTGTACAGGATGATGACAGGCCAATGATTGATGTCATGGATCAGCTAAGTTCTTCCATTCTCGAAAGTTTTATTCATGTAGCAGTTTCGGATTCAGTAAGTACTCGTTCGATTCTGATTGCCAGTAGTGCTTACATCTAAGCTCTGGACCTACCTGAAAGAGAGTGTCAAAGAAAAATTATGTGGCTTATTTGGGGATTTAGTTAGATTAGTAAAAAAATGCAAAGTTACTTAGAAAAATAAGATTAGCTTTTCAAATGATAGCTTAGAAGACATTCAGATAAATTTTAAACAAAAGTTAAGGCTTAGGAAAATAGATATTTTTCAAATTACAATTTCAAAAAGAATTGTTCAAGCTTCTTACAGAAAATCAATTTGTCTCACTCTTTATATTTAACACAATATACATACTTAATATTTAATTCATATTGTACTTAATTTTTAATATGGTAACTTCTATGTATGTGGTGCTTTACTGTTTGCAAGGTGCTTTCACATTTATTATCTCATTTGATCCTCAGTTTTTGAAACTCAAAAACATCATGGGGTGGGGAGGTTGGGGATGAAGTCATCAGTAGAGCATAAGTGAGGCTCTGGGTTCCAGCCCCAGCACCAGAGAACAAAAACAAAACTGAATGTTAGTGAGAGCCCAGGCTTGCCTGGTTAGACTCTGAATCTAGCAGAACTTTATCTGCTACACAAATACATTCTTCCTTTTAAAAAACATATTGGCAGCTTTCAGATTTCCTGAGCAAGTAGAAGGGAAACTGAAACTCATTTTAGTTATCTGACTTTTAAAAAATAAAAGTACAGTAAGAGAACCTGGATTCATTTCAACTAAATAGCTATGAGAGGCAGGGCAATCTGGGACAGCTAGCAGGATCCACATTGCTGACGCCTGATGCAGATACTTGTCAGAAGTTATAAATGAATACAAACTCTGAAGACATTTGTTAGCTTTTCTTAGCTTTTTTTAACTGAGATTGAACACAGAGCCCTGTTTTTAGTAGTCCTGTGCTTGATTCTGGACATCATAATAATTATTAAACTGTTAGCCAGGCACTGCGGACCTCCACCACAGTATAGAAGTTGTCTGCTGATTTTTGGAAGTTCCAATTCTTTTAGCATGGAACGGAACTGTCAACTTTAATTCTTTTATATGCATATCTTACTTTCCTGGGGGTGCCTTCATATTTTGTTCTTGTGATTTTGTTCTGTTTATTAGAATCAAAATCTTGAGGTCAACAATTCTGCACTTAGAAAGATGCACAGAGGTGGGGAAAGAGGAATGGGAAGCAGTGCCCGTTTCATGCCAGGTGTTTCTGCATCCATTATCCCTTATCCTGAGATGATGCCCAACAGACATGGAGGAAGTGTCTTCTCCTGGTGTAACAGCTAGATCGTTTGAAAATTGGTGTCCCCAAAACATTGGTATCTGCACTTAAAAGAGAATGAAATATAAGAACTGATATTTATTACATATATGTGTATTATACCACTTATTATCAGTTTTTATAGATATTATATATTACTGATATATGTATATATCAGTTCTTATATTTCATTCTCTTTTAAGATATATAATATATACAATATAAAATATATATGTATAGCTATATTACATATCAAGTATGTATAATATTATGTGATATATTATATAATATAGATAACCTTCCAGATGTTTTGAAACATTATTTTTGCTTGCTATCATAGGGCGAGAGTAAGTAGTTATCTCAAAAATCATCAGTAAAATGCCCTTCATAAAAGGGACTATGCTAAACCATCTCTCTAAATCAAAGGGAAGGTGTTTCAGTCTGAGTAAATATAAAGAAGATCACAGCTAACACACACACACACACACACATACACACTGATGCAGGGATAAAAACACATTTATGAATCTCAGAGATAACTAACTTTTGAGATTTTAAAATGGCAGATCTGTGGTATGGAAGAAGATGCACTCATCCTGGTGAGGATGGGTCATTTCAGTTCAGCTTTGATTGACTGCCTACCTCTGTGTCTGCAGGCAACGTTACCGCTGACCCACAACGTGGATCTGCAGTGGTTGGTGGAATGGAATGCAGTCCTGGTCAATAGCCATTATGATGTAAAGAGCCCTTCCCACGTCTGGATATTTGCACAGTCCGTCAAAGACCCCTGGGTCCTCTGCCTTTTCAGCTTTCTCCGGCAGGAGAACTTGCCCAAGCACTGCCCCACAGCCCTCAGCTATGCCTGGCCTTATGCCTTCACTCGGCTCCAGTCAGTGATGCCTCTGGTGGACCCCAAGTAAGGCAGCTGTGTGTTTTCCTCTGTTTTGCTTATTTTACCATTTGCTCTCTTAAATTTTTATTTTATGTAAGAAAATGGAATAGTATGATCCTTTCTAATTTCTAAGTTTCCTACCCAGGATTCTTAACATTGAGTAACAACAGATAAGAAGTCTTTCTCTAGAGCAATTTTTTTTCCCTTAGTAATCAGTATGATTATCTATGTATAGAATCTTAGACTCTAAATGATGAAAGGGGCCATAACTTTCTATTCGCTCAGCTTCTCATCCTGTGCAGATATTCCCTGAACAACATCCTTGACAGACGGCTGTCTAGCTGAGTACTTCTTGTGATCTTTCGTTAACAAGTGATATTTAAAATCAAGGGCTTAGTTTCACTCTTGTTTTTGACTCCCTGATTCTAGCAGCCCAATTAATGCCAAGAAAACCAGCACTGCGGGCAGTGGAGACAACTATGTTACCTTGTGGAGAAACTACCTTATTCTCTGTTTTGGAGTCGCAAAACCCAGTATTATGAGCCCAGGACATTTACGAGCTTCCACTCCAGAAATAATGGCGACCACGCCTGATGGTACAGTGAGCTACGATAACAAGGTGACATGACATGCTTCAGAAGAATTATTCTGTAAGGTTTTTTTTTAGCTTGTTTGTCTAGAGTTCCCAGTGCAAATTGCACTGTGCCTGCCATCTGGAGTATTATGGGATCAGATTTTCATCCTACACATTTCTAAATTCCATTGAGTGTTTATGTGAATAATTTATTACTCCTCTCTGGCAAGAAGGGAACCGATGATAAAGAGAAGTTGAGAAACTTGCTTAAGACCATTCAGTGACTTGTATTTCTGAGTGCCCTGAGGTCATATTTGTTTTCTACATACCATATTTCTCTCACTTCTCACCAACTTTTCACCTTTAAACCATGCCTTGATTAAATGGTGTTGTTCCAATAGTTTTATAGACTTATATGGTTAAAAAAAGATGATGACTGTTATAAAAAAAAAATTGTCTTTAGAATTTTGTGTCCCAGTTGGGAATTACCTTCCTTGTTCTGTATTAAATTCGTGCATTTTTTTCCTGTAATGATGGCAGTGCCTTGGGATGTGGCTCAGTACTTTGAAACTGTTATAATGGAATCCTCATGTGATGAAAGGAACCATCAGTTACCATGTTACCTCTTTTTCACTTTTAATCAACTTGTTTCAGGCCATAGGCACCCCATCGGTGGGAGTTCTGTTAAAGCAGTTGGTGCCTTTGATGAGACTAGAGAGCATTGAGATCACAGAGTCCTTAGTTTTAGGATTTGGAAGAACAAATTCCCTTGTTTTCAGGTACAGTAGTCTTAATGACTTTTTCTACATGCATACATGCTGCTGCTATTGTAGTTGCTTTTCTTAGCTTGAGTTTGCGTGTATGTATTGGTGTGCACCTGGAGAATTCGTAGGCTTCGTGCGATTTCCTTTGTCTTCTTTGGTTGATGTGCACGTAATGAGTGTTCCTTGCAACTGCCTCACATTTCACTTTTAGTTATTGCAGCTTTGATTTTTACCTCTCAGATCTGATTGCACTTGCAAGCTTTGTTTTAATTAACTATAAATGAATACGACTCCCCATCAATCCCCAGTTTGCCAGACTGCTCAGAGGCTGTGATATCAAATAATAACAGTATCTGTTCATCTGCCATTTATCCAATAGACTCTTAAAGGTGATGCATGGGTAGAACCCTTTTGAGTGTTTTCAATTTGGCTGGCTGATTTTTCTGTAAGGTACTTTCTCTTGCCTTAAGAGCAACAGCAAACCTGATTTTCTGGATTCCTTTATTTTGCATCTTGCATCGGCAATCAAATAAAAATTCCAATGAGGCAGCATCAAAGTATTTTGAAAAAGGCATTGTAAAATGTTCCTTTGGGCTGCTTCTGATGGTATTAGCTAAGCAATGAAATCCAACATGGACAAAAAAATATGTATCAAAATTTTCCATGCAGAGGGAAAAGGGAAAACTTCAAATATCTAGGAGAAACTCTATTTGAAAAATAAAGATTATTGAGATGTTTCAGAAATAACTGAAAAAGACCCATTAAGTTATTCACTGACAATCAGATTTTTATCCTTAAAAAATAATAAAAATTTGGGGTTCTCATTTCTTGAGTTCCAGTGAACCAGCATTTTACTAGTTTTAGTTTATTAGCTAAAATTAAGCTTCATCTTAACATATTTATTATAAAAAGATATAATAACAATAATATTATATTATATATAATATAATATATAGATATATATTATATAGATATTGTAACTATAATAATGATGAAATGACCTAAAGTTCTTTCCCATAGAACATAAATCTTTTTGCATATTTTGTCCTTTCACTATTCATGGAGGTAGGTGACATTTTTTAACCCCACCACCATGTGCATCTGGAAAACTTAATGTCCCTAAGCCTCAGTCTCCTCAACTGTAAAGTTGGTATAACAAATAGAAATAAAGTGCATCTCTTTAATTTAAAAAAAAAATGGTATAATAGAATACATCTCATAGATTTCCTGAGACGATATATTAAATGTAAATAGGCACTCCATGCACATAAGTAACATTTGGAAACTAGAAACTGTTCTGTAGAGGAGACTATTAATATGATTCGTATTTTTTAGTGCCTTAGTTTTATCTGTTTATTTTTATGTGGTATAAGGATCGAACCCAGTGCCTCACACGTGGTAGGCAAGTGTTCTGCCTCTGAGCTACAACCCTAGCCCTTATTCGTATTTCTTTGATAAAGAAATCCTAGCATATGTATTAGAAAAATTAGGACTAGAAACCAGATTTTCTGTCTCTCAGTGCAAAATGCCACTGGGTTTGTGCCTTCCTGTCCTTGGATTTCCTTAGAGGGTGATGGCAAGCAGCATAGAATATCCTACCAGAAACTGCAATTTTCAACCATGCCATATATTATAGACTAAGTTAGTACTAGTCTGGTGACAAGCTGGAACTCATAATCTTGTGTTTTGACATAGCAATTCAGAAGTTGTTTCTGAAATTTTTAATTCAGAAGTTATTTCTAACTATATAGGTTGACAAGTATAAATCTAAAAACTAGAGATTCTGGGGACAGGTGAAGGGTATATATGTATGATATACAATGTATGTTAAAATGATCAAACATATTTTCACCACACAGGAAAAATCATTTTGATGGCAACCTCACTAGTTTAGTACCTGTCATAATTTTTATTTATCATATAGCTCAAATAAAGAAATTTAGCTCTGAAATCCAAGGATTTCATATTTAAAATCAACTGAAAATAGTCTCCAGAGCATGTATCCCAATGTTAGCTCAGAACAATTACACCCATCTCTTTTCTCTAATTGTCCTGAAATTTTCTTGTGTATAGAGACTCAATTATATTTATTTTCAGTTTCATAGCTCATAGTAAATTTAGTAAGCACTCGAAAAATATTCCTTGTTTAATTGTTCAGATAAGGTTTTTTTGCCAAAAGGATCACCAGAATATTAAATCACAACCAAGTCAACAGGTATATATTAAGCCAAAATTACATGCACGGCACTGGGATTAAGACCAGTAATACAAAGTATAGACCAGTACCCTACAGTTCACCACATGATGGGGAATTTTGGAGCAGTCAGAAAATTATTATATCAGAAGCAAAATGAAAACAAAGCAAGGAATTTAGGATTGAATGGACATATTTGGTGACAATTTTTGTATCAATAACAATGAATTTCAAATGGAATCTTTTGCCTCCATAGAGAATTGGTAGAAGAACTTCATCCATTAATGAAAGAGGCTCTAGAAAGAAGACCAGAGGTAGGATTTTGAATTTCAATAATTAAGACTTGGCTTATTTGGACAGTGGCATGAATTTAAATCAATTCTAGTAGCTTCTCCTAAAGAATGCAAACACCGCCACATGCCTTTAACAGTAATTCTTAATATTTTACCAAAATTTGTCATTTTCCTTACTTTTCAATATTCAAGTATTTAGTATACTATGGTTCCAATTTTAAAGCATGTTATGTCCTAACTATATAATTCAAAACAATTTAGTCTTGTATATATTGTTTTATTACATTCTTTTGCAAAAGGTTTGAGTTAAAATTTAAGTCGGTTTTTAGTTTGCTCGTTTGTTTACAAGAAAGTCAATGGCCAAGAAAACTATTTGTTTCATTTGGTATCTGATACATTATTTTCCCTGAAGTGAGTCCACTTCAAAGTTCACTTATGTACCAGGATTAGTAAAATGACCAAAAAAGAAGCTTTCCATACAGTAGATATGATGATAACAAATGGCAAAAATTCAGCAATTAGACACACAGTGTTACGTCTATGACCAGACTTGATGGGATTCTCAGTGTCCCCTGTCCCACTCCACTAGTTTCAGGGGTTCAATCTTTCACCACTGGGAACATCTGGGAAACGAGGCTTGTTAGTTCTCAGCATTCTCCCCTTAGGTGTATTTATTGCCTCACTTCTGATCAGCAAGCATTGTGTCTAAGCATGAGGAATAAGGAAAATGCATGTTGTCTTTTATGTTTAAAAAGTGAAAGTACTAGACGCTGCCTTTCTGTAGTAGTCTCCTAAAGTATAGTCCCCCGACGTCTTTGCCTGTGACTCTGAGTGCTATTACCTCCTTCTACACAGAACAAGAAGCGCCGAGAACGGCGGGACTTGTTAAGGCTACAGTTACTTCGCATTTTTGAGCTTCTGGCTGATGCTGGTGTCATAAGTGACAGGTAGGAACAAAATTCTACTGAGTTGGTCTCTCCTCACCAAACTAGCCTTTTGGTCTTCTGTTTCATCTCTCTCTTTTCTCTTACATATATTAACTCAAAAAAGTTTTTTTAAAGCCTACTTTTTCCATATTCTTCTTACACTGTATAAACAGAACAGATTTTACTCCACGAATCCTGATGTGAATCTTATTTTTCATGACGCCTGTGCTACTTTGATGTAAAGACTTAATGGTCTAAAAGTTTGATATTTTTTTTCTTTTATTCCAGCACAAATGGAGCCTTAGAACGGGATACATTAGCTCTTGGAGCGTTGTTCTTAGAATACGTGGACTTGACCCGCATGCTCCTAGAAGCTGAAAATGACAAAGAAGTTGAAATTCTTAAAGATATCCGGGCACATTTTAGTGCCATGGTTGCCAACTTGATTCAGTGCGTTCCAGGTGCAGTGATACATCTTTACAAATTACCTTTCATGCTTGGAAAACCACTTGTGCTCCTTAGGACTCTGCTTTCCTCTTCAATTCTCGTAGCCCGCATGCCCATCTAGGATGAGATTCATTGTTTGTTTTGAGATACTTGGAAATGCATGTTAGAACAGGTTGTCATAGCTCAGCACAGAATTGGAAAGGGAATAACAGGAATCAGACTGGGTTTTGTACTTGTCATTTCTATTTTTTGTTTGGGTTCCCATCTGAAAAGGAGCTCTTATGATTTTTATAGGAAGGAGGTAATTCAGAGGAAACATTCATACAAGCTTCATTTTATCACATTGTCTCTGTGCTAATTGACGGACATATAATTTCAGCAATATTCCTGCTCTCTGCTGCCACCTCATCAACACATGGAGTAGAATTCTACATCACTTTAATATATTTTACATTTGATTTAAGTATTACATTATTGAGAGAAGTATCTTAGTTAATAATGTAATTAAGTATTACACTATTGAGAGAACCACAGGGCAAATGGGTATGAAATATTTTCATTTGTCAGTTTCATATAAAAAGTGCTTTTTTGTTTAATTACAAAAAGCTGAAACTCAAGTCATGTGGCCACTTTTCATTATTTTGGTGTTACTAACCTTCTTACCACTGTTCCTCATCCTTGAAGATCCTAAGTTAGGATTTGGGTTACAGTCTATACTGCATTTCACAGTCCTTCCTCACAACAGGGAGCAGCAATAGGAAAAGTTGTCATCTGTGAGAAACAGCTGACTAGGAGTCATCTTAGCTGTCAGTGTGAAGAGAGTGTCTGCAGGTCCTGTGGTCTGTCTCTCCTTCCCACTCTGAGTCAAGGTGCAGTTGGCTGCAACATGAAGGGAGGAAAAGTGCACATGTAGAAAGAAATGATTTTAAAAACTCAAGTTTCATTACTAAAGAAAACCGGAGTTAGGGAGCTGGGAATGTAGCTCAGTGGAAATGCACATGTTTAGCATGCGTCAAAAACTTTAAAAAAAATGGAAGAAAGGGAAGGGAAGAAAAGTGGACTTAGAAAATGAGAGTGTTCCTTTCACAAAACTTGAGAACCTCACACGGTCCTGATATAGACTGCACCCAGTCAGTACACCCTGACTCTGTTTTCCTCCCCAGTGCACCACCGAAGATTTCTCTTCCCCCAGCAAAGCTTGAGGCACCATCTCTTCATCTTATTTAGCCAGTGGGCAGGACCCTTCAGCATCATGTTCACACCTCTGGATCGTTACAGTGACAGAAATCATCAGATTACAAGATACCAGTATTGTGCATTAAAGGTAGGGGATGTGTCTTCTTGCTGAATGGCATTGGTCAGATCAATGATCTCCATCCTTAAACTAACAGCCATGTCTTGAAAATAAGGGCTGGGGGTGTAGCTTAGTAGTAGAGCACTTGCCTAGTGTGTGTAAAGCCCCTGGGCCCAATCCCTACGATGACAAAAAAATAAATACAGTTAAAGTAAGTAACATGATGTGATCTAACAAAATAGAAATGTACATGCAAAAAAATGGACACACACATATAAATACATAGATTGATCTCAGAAACTTCCAAATATACACATTAACATAGGTCAATAGGTAAATGTTAATATTCCACCTGGGCTCACACTTCGAAAATGTTAAGCTTTTTAAAGCTCTCACTTTTATCCAGTGTTTCTCCTATCTGAGACCATATGGTTTTGCTTACTTACTCTTTAAGTCATTGTTTTGTCAATTGACTTCCAACCTTAAAAAAAAAAAAAAACAGATTCACCTCAGGTTCAAATCCCCTTTTATTCTTCTCCTTTCCTTAGCACACTGCGAGAAATGTTTCCATACTATGAGGACTTTTCAAAATCAGCAGAAATATGATCCTTATAGCCTAATGTCTTTTAGAAAAGTAACTGCCTATCAGCTCTGTCATATGCACCATAACTGATTCAGGTGAACTTTGAGCTCAGCACAGTTAATGGAAATGATGAACTTGACAGACATCTGGTCCTACCATGTTTAAGTCAGAATCCTCTGATTCCCCAACCACTTCAAGGAACCAAAATTTATAGTCTTTTTATTTTATTTTTTTACCTTTGATTAGGATCATAATTATTTATTTTGCTGTTTCATAGGTTTTCAATGCAGTACATTAGTCTAATATCTGACATAAAAACAAAATTTGAAGATATAAATATATCTTATAAGCAGAAATTGTTCACTTGAAATCATTGAAAGAAAGTTTATTTTACATATTATGAAGTGTTCATTTTGTTTTAAATACTTTTCATCATATAAAGATTTGTTGTAATTGTAAAAATCACATAGCTAAATTGATAAACTTTTAATGTTTATTTAAAAACCAAGTTTGGAATATGATATTTTTATTGATTTGGCTAAAGAATGCTTTAAAATCTTGGAGGAATAACTGCCTTCATAGAACCTCATCATCTGTACTTCTGGCAGTTACGTCTTATAAAGTCAGCTGGATGTAATACCATTACAGTTCCAGGTTTCATGTCCTTGTTTTATTGTCTTTTATTATCAGGCAATGTCAGCAGTATTGTGTTGTGGCCCTGTTTTCGACAATGTGGGCCTTTCCCCAGATGGATACCTATATAAGTGGCTTGACAACATTCTGGCTTGTCAAGATTTAAGAGTAAGTAGTAGCAAAAATATATTGTTTTTAAATGTCTTTGGAGTTCTGCCTCGTTGAATTCCTGAACTCTGGAAGCATCATTTACAACACAATTTCCTCCCACGTCAGCTATGCTAGTGTAGGTTTATGGGTTGTTCACATTGCATTATGATACACCAGGATCAAAAACACAGTAGCATTTACCAAAATTGACCATAAACTGGTCATAAAGCAAGTTTCACATAATTCAGATCATTAAAATGATACATATTCTGTTATCTATTCCTAGTAACATTAAGCTAGTAATGAATAATAAAAAGATAACTTAAAAAAACACTTCCAGATAACCAGTGGTGAAAGAATAAATAACAGTGGAAGCTAGAAAATGTTTTAAACTGAAGAATAATGAAAATACTACATACTAAATTTGTGGGCTATAAATAAAGACTTGCTTAGAAACATATTTGAAATATATTGACTTAGATGCATGTAGGAGAAAGAAAAAAGGCAGATAATCAATGACCTAAGCATCCATCATAGAAAGTTAGAAAAAAAAAATAGCATATCAAACTCAAAATACAACAAAGAAAAGAATAGAGATAACAAAAATTAATAAAGAGAAAAAAATTAGTGCTAATGATCATTAAAGTAAAAAATTGAATTTGTTAAGACTAATAAAATTAATAGAGGGCAGATCTGGTCAAGAAAACAGTGAGAGACGTCTAATGCAAATAGGAGCATTACTACAGATGCTACATAGTAGAAGTAAAAGGGAACACATGAATATCTTGATGCCAATGAACTTGAAATTTTAGATTAAATAGACAAATTCTCAGAAAAACACAACAGAAGAAAATCATTCCTCACTAATGAGGAAAAACTAGCGCAACCAAGAAAAGAATGTTTGATAAAGGGTGTCTGTTTAAAAAAATACACCTTTGTAGTAAACATCATGCTTACCAGTTAATATAGAAAGTATTCCCTCTGAGATTAGAATGACCAAGAAAGTCCACCTTTTACCACCTCCATCACTGTTATACTAGAGATCCTAGCCAGTTCATAGGAAAAAAAATACGAGAAGTGAAAAAGAAGAAATAAAACTCATTATTCACAAATGACACAATTAGGTATACAGGAAATCCAAAAGAATCTATAGATTTATTTAGCAAAACTGCTGAATGAAAGATAAAAATGAAAAAAAAAATCAGTTATATTTCAATATATAGCACTAAGCAATTAGGAAAAAAATTGTAAACATTATACCATTTATAATAGCATTTTTAATTAGGAACTAACATTAAATACTTAGGAATACATCAAAGAAAAATGTATAAAGCCCTTTTACATAGAAATATATAAAGCTTTAATGAGAAAAATTAAAGATCTAATAAATGGTAAAAGGACCATATGTATGAATTAGAAAATTCAATATTATAAAGCTGTCAGTTTTCCACCAAAATGATAGAGACATTACAAACCCAGTCAAAACCCTAGCAGGATGTTTGTGGCAACTGACATGTTCTTTTTAAAATATATATATGGAAAGGTAAGATAATTTTAAAAAACATAAGCAAAGCAAGAGGATTTACTTTAGCAAAAATCAACACTTATCATAAACTTATGGTAGTTAAAACACTAAATATTGACCTGAAAATAGATAAATATATAAATGAAGTAGAATAGAGAGGCAAGAAATGAATCACGTATATTTACATTTTATTTACCTCAAAGGTGGCACTATAGAGGTGTGGGGAAGGGAAGTTTTTTTCAATAAGTGTTTTTGTCAACAAGTTATTTGATTGAATAACCATATTTTTTAAAAAATTAAAAAGCGTAATTTGATTCCTTCCTCACACTATATCCAAAACTGCATTATAGGTAGATTGTAGATCTAAATGTAACATCTAAAATACTGAAGTTTCTTGAAAATAATATAAAAGAATATCTTCATTCTGGAGTTAGGGTTAGATTTCTTAAACAGGATGCAAAAAGTTCTAACTATAAGGAAGGACTGATTAATAACTTTTGTCAAAGCACACCATTAAATGCATTACTAATAGAGATGTTTGTAACACATAACTAAGAAGGGATTTTTATCTAGAATATATAAACAACCCCTACAAATAGATATATACAAACTCAATAGAAAAATGAGCAAGAAATTTAAGCAATTCACAAGAAGTTATCTAAATGTCCAAGAAGCATAAAAAACTCTCCAGCCCATTAACAATCAGGTATCTTAGTCCATTCAGGCATTTTTAACAAAATACCATAGATTGGGTGACTTAACAACAATAGAAATTTATTTCTTACTGTTGTGGGGACAAGGGACTCTTAAGATTAAGATGCTGGCAGATTTGGTGTCTAGTAAGGGCCACTTCCTGGTTTTTAGATGGCCATCTTTTTGCTGGATCCTCAGGTGGTCGAAGGAAGTTATGTGGGATTCCTTTTATTAAGATAGTTATCAGATTCATATGAGCACTTAATGGTAGGACTCATCACCTCCTGAAGGACTCATCTCTGAATACTATTACATTCAGGTTTAGGATTTAACACATGAACTCTAGTCTGTAGCATCAGGGAAATGCAAATTAAAATCACATGAGACACAAAATTATATACTGTATAACTCCATTAATATAAAGTTGAAAAACTGAAAAAAACTGCTCAAACTAATTAATAGTGGTAGAAGTCAGGTAGTGGTTGCATCGGGGAAAGAGAAAGAGGCTATTGATTAAGAGAGTGCTTACAAGAGTCTTCAGTGGTGTGGTAATATTCTGATCTGATCTGGTGGTGGGCACACTTGTGTGTTCAGGATAATTCATCATATACTTATATACTATCTATGCATTTTATACTTCAATGTAAAGTTTCTAAAGCACAACAAAAACTTGCTGATTTTCTTTCAAGTCAAACTTAACTTTGAAGTTATCTTCAGATCCTTTGCAGTACTATCATCAGCTTTTATCTGTTGCAAATTATATAAGGGGGATGGAGACAGCTAGGTTGGAGTTGCTTGTCCATCCAATTAGAATATCATTCCCTTCTGGACCCAGACCCTGCAAGTAAACAAACAATCCAGATTATTTGATTTCCACATGGTTGCAACTGGCAAGGAGACTGGATAATTTCAAGAAAAGATGGGAAGATGTTATTTTATGAGGGGGATATAGCCTTGAGGCACCAGGCTTCTCTTGGATGAACGTGCGTGTTCACTGACCTTCCAATATTTTGACAGTAGCTTCAGGCTTTCCATATGAAAGCCTCTGATTACAACTAATCTATTGAGACTATATTTCTTTTTTCTCAAATTTATATTTTAATTAACATATAAAATTGTATTTATCATATACAACATTTTTAAATATGTAATATGCATATGATTTACGTATATATATTCTGTAATGTTTAAATCTAGTTCCTCTGTATTCGCTCATATAGTTATCATTTGGAGCATGAGAAAACTTAATATGCACTCAGCAATTTTCAAGAATATGGTCTATCACTATTAATTGGTGTTCTATAGTATATCTTTTGACTTATTCCCACTAAGAGACTATAACCCTATTTGAAAGATTGGTAGCTGAGCTTCACACAGTATATTTTATAATCAAGACTCATAATCATATTCTCTGATTTTTTTTCCTTAAAAGACTTCATATACATGAAGATTATCCATTTTTGTATTTGATTTAAACCAAATGAATATATTTCTCAGAAATATCTTAAATGCAAAAAAGAAACATTACCAATAACATAACCTTTTCAGGGTTAAAAATTTGAGAATGAGTGTATCCTACATAATAGATTTCCCTAGAGTTAAATTTAGAGTTAATTAATTTATTACATGTCAGTTCTGTTTACAACATAAGATCCTCTTAGAGAAAAATATGTGGCATGAAAATTAAACAAAATGAATGCTCTGTCTCCACTTTTGTTTTACCCAGTTTATACTGGCTAACCTTAATCTTGTGTCTTTCTTAGAACCTTCTTGCATTAAGTATGAGTAATTGCTTTGTTCTGTGTATTCAGGTTCATCAACTTGGCTGTGAAGTTGTTGTCTTGTTATTGGAACTTAATCCTGATCAAATAAACCTTTTTAATTGGGCCATTGACCGATGCTACACAGGTTCCTACCAACTTGCATCCGGCTGCTTCAAAGCCATAGCAACTGTATGTGGAAGCAGGTATGAATTTTTGTAATTAGAGGCTGGTGGCAAGTATAGTAAAGGTTGCTGTTCACAATATGAATGATTGAGAGCTGACTGCTTTGCAATTATCTGAGTAGAGAAAATCCTATGAGAATACAAAATGCCTTACTTGTCCCCAGCAGATAAACTACCCCCTTTAAAATTGAAGTTACATTGATTTCTCTCATTTGATCAGGAGACTGATTTGTTGTTATAGTATCCTTTTGAATTGTTCACAAATTCACAGTGAAGTATGAGAGCTGAATTTGAAAATGATAAAGATACATTTAAGGAGTTAAAGGAATGTCTAGAAATGTCTATGACAGGTATGAACTGTCAGCTCTTCAGCCATCTGTAGACTAAATCAAACCCAGGAAGCAACCTAAGATATTGAAATCTTCATCCAAAACTTCAGAAATAGGGCCAGGATAAGGGTGCAGGAAATGACAGAAGGACCTGTGACACCCTACACTCCATAGATTACACTTCCTTGGGGAGGATTAACCCCAGGACTTCCATCAAGCCAAGTATACACTCTACCTTTGAGTTACACCCCAGCCCCAAGACTAAAACAGTAGCCCTTGTTATATAAATGAGTCATTTAATGAAGTTCTTCAGCACTACAATTCATTGAGGAAAATAATTTTATAGCTGAGATGAAAGGGTTAATAAAGAGCCTCCAGATCACAAATCCCTAAGGAAGAATTTGTATCTTGGAAAATTTAAGAGAATGCAATTCAAGTTTATTTTTGAAAAGACTCACATAGAACATCAATTTTCCTTTTTAAATTAAATTTTGCATTTTAAATAGCCATCTTGAACTAATGGATCAAGGGAATAAAAGTGAATTAGCTTTAAATTTCAACCTATTATGGATCTAAATTAATAAGACCAGTATTTTAGAAGACATCTACTTTCAATGTACCCAAAATGAGCATGATATTTAAAGAGACAGATTTCTCTTAAAATTCTTTTTCTTTAAAAAAAATAGATAACTTTTTGTGTCTAAAGATTTTACTGTCCATAATCTGAGTAGCAGAATTATTAATATATATATATATATATATATATATATATATATATATATATATATTATTCTCCATAAAAATTATAGCATGTGACAAAAACCTCCACTGTCTGATTTCCTATCAAATTTTATTTCTTGATATAAGAATTACTAAAAATTATATCTACTAGACATTGCCAAAATAACATTGTTACAAAAAAAAATTCTTTAATGTGTTTTTTTTTTTTTTAGATATTTCAGGGTTCTAAAAGTAAAGTTTTATTTACATGATTCTCAGATTTTTTTAAATTGTACTTCAATCTGAGACTAAGACCTCTTTGATTAAATGAAGGGAAAAAAAGTAACAGTTTTCCTCTCTTCACTGCCATTTTTCCCAACAGTCTTGATATGAACTATCATAAGTCAAATTTATTTCACTGCAAAGCCATCTCAAAAATACCACACCACATGCCTCTGACTAAAATCTAGGTATTTTTTCCTTAGGGGACACAAAGCAATGCTTCATGAATTTATCAAGATAGTCTCAACTTCAGCAATACTCCTGGTTACTGGCTTATAAAATCCTGTGTTACTGGTAGATGTTTGAAGACATCATCCTCAACTGTTTTGTCTCGCAGACCATTCAGACCACAAGACAGTTTCAGAATTTAAGGAGTTGGCTCTCCTCCCTTTCTAAATTCATTCTTTCTCCATAAATTCGCCTGGTAGTCTAGACAGGCTCCAGAGGGGCTGAAGCAATCTTTGTGCTCATGTTTTCAGCATTTCTTTCTTTTCAAGAGCAGTTCTGGTGTTTCCAGCTTTTGCTTTGTTTCTGTAAATTTGCTTCTGAGATAAGCTATTTGCCTTATCTTATGAAGTATGTTCCCAAAAAGTCTTATACAAACTGAGTCATATTTTAAATTTCTCAAGTTCTCTGTGTAGTAACTCCTACATGTCATCTTCTAAAGCAAAGAATCCTTCTTGTAAAATAAATAATTACCCCCTCCTTTTCCACTGAGGATGATCATAGGCCGGATTGATTTTTAGAAGAATATTGAAGTTTCATTTATTAAGGTTCAGTAACAATTGTCTTTTTATGTGTTTTTTTTTCTTTTTATTGATTCTTTTTAATTATGTATAACATCAGGATTTATTTTGACATAATTATAAAAGCATGGAATATAATTGGTTCTAATTCAGTTTCCTGTATCTCTTCTTTCCCTTCCCCCCCCCCCCCCCCCCCTTCCCTTCCCGCTGATCTTTCTGCTATTTACTTATAGGGGTTTTTATTAATGTCTTTACACAATGGTGAGATTCACTGTGGTGTATTCATATATGTACATAGGAAAGTTAGCTCAGAGTCTTTCCACTGTTCTTCCTCACACTGTCCCTCCTCCCTCCCCTTCCTCTCTCTCTCTCCCCCACCTTATTTTGGACTAGTTTCCTCATATCAGGGGAAACATTAGACCTTTGACTTTCGGGGTCTGGCTTATTTCACTTAGCATGATAGTCTCCAGTTCCATCCATTTACCATCAAATGCCATAATTTCATTCTTCTTTATGGCTGAATAATGACTGACTTTAAAATACCTAAAAGACTGAATTTTTTTTTAAATCCTCTTGTCAGTTTCAGTTTTCTACCTTGAGTTTTTTAAGAGGAAATTAGCCATTTTGCATAGTTAAATTTATCAATGCCTGTATTCATTAGCTGAGATAATGAGTGGGAAATCAGTTCTCCACATTGTTTGTTTTGGTTTCTTTACTAGAAGTAGAAGTAGGTGTGTACGTGTTTGTGTGTCCACTGTGAACTTACAGTCTCCAGTCAAAACAGTAAAGCTGTGGGCTGGGGCTGGGGTTCAGTGGCAGAGCACTTGCCTCGAATGTGTGAGGCACTGGGTTCGATCCTCAGCACCACATAAAAATAAATAAACAAAATAAAGACATTGTGTCCATGTATAACTAAAAAACAAAAACAAAAAAACAGTAAAGCTGTGCTGTGCTATGCCTCTGGCGATATTGAAAACAGGACCAAGAGAAGTGAAGAGAAACGTGATAGTAGAAGTGACAATATGAATTCTGAAGAATTTTTTCCAAAATATGTGTGAATATTTGATTAAGCTATGAAGTGCAGCTTAGTACTATAATTTAGCACAAAAGAAAATAGCTGACCTGTCAGGCGGTTTTAATTCCAATAACTCGTTAGCTTCTGTGCATGGACTTATTAACCTTCCCCTCAAGTGCAAATGAGACCAGTGTGCAACAGATGGGAAACGTGTGCACGACCAACAGGCTTTCTGTGGTTGCGGGTCAAGGTGAACACACTGCTCTACGTGGGCACAGGCCATTTCCAGTTGTGGCTTAACTCATCAGTTCGCTCTTCACATGCCACTACTTGAGAATTCCAATGTTCTTATTTTGGTCCTCCAACATAATCTGGGGTCCATTTTGTCATTGTTGGTTTTGCCTTATCTTTAATTCTTTCCTAATTTTAATTGAACCTAGAAAACTTGAATTCTAAAAAGCAAATGCCCATTTCTTAAGGGAATAACATCTATCTATTAAAAAGAAAACAAGTGGAGCTGGGGTTGTGGCTCAGTGGTACAGCGCTCGCCTCGCAAGTTGGAGACCCTGGGTTTGATCCTCAGCACCACATACAAAAATAAACAAAAAGTGGAATAAAGCTGTTGTGTCCAACTACAACTAAAAAAAAAAAAAAAAAAGAAAGAAAAAGAAAACAAGTTCAGCTTATGATTCACAAATGCCAATCACACTTCTAACAAGTGATGAGTAGCCTCATTTGGCTAGGTCTGCCAGCTGGAGTATTTCAGGAGAGCACAGAGTTTGGCAAATCCAGCTCTCAAACAAAACTATCTTGGATTCAAATCCTCCCTCTGCCTCTAATCATGCTGTGTGCACTTGAGCAAGCTACTATAAATGCTTACTCGTTTATGAAATAGGAGTGATAATAGAGTAAGAATTATATAAAATCCGATCTCTTGGTCTCAAGCCTTGCACATAGGAAGCACTCTATCAACACTGTTATTAGTCACTGGCTGTTAGAGGAGCAAAGTGTGAAGTGATCCCCTCTACCAACTAGTTATCTCTGTTTCTCTTCAGAATGCCTCAAAGCCATCCTGAGCTTTGTTACATAGTTCTAAATGGCCAAACCAGTTGGCATTACCCAAATTTTTCAAAATTTCTTTTGTCTACATAGTTTTATATCTCATTTAACTTCTTTCCTCATATATACCTTTTACATTAATTTTATCATCTATTTGTATCCCATATAATCACAGCTGTTTATTCATTTTACCCTCTGACCATGTTGAATAACCTAGAAGATTCCATTTCTAAACCTATTTTAAGCATATAGGTATAGATGTTTTATTGTGCCTGTTTGCTCTTGGAAATCTTTCTGATGTATTCCTTCTCTGGGTTTCTTCCATTTCCTGTATCTATTATTCCTTTCAGTGTTTTTCTGCATGAATTCCATATGTCTGTCTTAAGCGACTCAGTGAGTGCCCTAATTATATGTCAAGTGCACGGCCCTGCATAAGAGGGAGGCTTTGTCTACCTCCTTCCTGCCTCTAAATCCCCAGCAACCCAACAATACTTCCCTGTGCTTCTTGATATATCAATATTTTTGTGTGGAATCTCAGTGTTGTAAGGCAGAGCTATAGGTGACATGGGTCTACTGCTGGGGGACTTGGAGGGAGTTTCCTTTCTGCTTCCACAATGAGAAAGGTGTGTCTCCAGATGCTGCAGTTTGTAAGAATTCCAATTAGTCCGTCTATGGAGTGCACTATTGCCAGCAGTCTAGGAGGCCAATAATGCTGGAATTCTTTAAGAGTTAAACATATTTGAACTCACGGAGAGCTCAGAAGTAAGGGACTCTCCATGACCTCAGGCAAGTATTTAACTTCTTTAAGCCTTTCAAGCTTTTTGTGAAGATCAAATAACAAGCTAGGTCAAAGCCGTGGCCCAGTACCTGGCACAAAGTAAGCACATCATGACATAAACATTAGGCACTGTTTATCATTCTCACCACCCCCGTCCATTCTCACTCCACATCTGTGAGCCTTCCCCAGGTTCCCATCAGACACATCAACTTTATGCTGTGTTCATTTAAAGATCAAATGGGCTGGGGATGTAGAGGAAAGAGTGCATGTGTAACATCCCAATACCAAAAAAAAAAAAATCTAGAAAAATACTTATTTTAAAGTAATCATTTTGAAAGACAGGATGTATCAGCATCTGCCAAAAATTTTAATGTGCCCTTTGGTCCTCCATGAGCTCTTCTAGAAATCTTTTTCAAAGAAATATTTGCACATTGGGTATTTGTGGCACTATAATAATGGAAAATTGAAAAGAGATTTAATGTCTGTCATCATCAGAGATGAGATTCCCCAGGAAAGAGATTCTGAGATGAGGATTCTGTTCTTAGTGGTGGAGATTTTATTAGAGGTGCCCTTAGGACCCATGACTATGGGGAAGTGAAGGACATAGGACTTAGCAGAGTTGAGAACCTCAGTTAGCCCCACAGGGACTGCTGCTGGGTAGCAGGCATGACCTTGGCCCAGGAAAATTTCCTGGGCTGAGAGCAGTGTTCAGAGAATAATTCAGCTCAGGAATATCGGCTGCCAACTCTTTGGTGGAGGATGGAGTGCCTCAGCCTAAAATGATACTCACCACAGCATCCACTGTGACAATGGGTACTTATGGTATCTCTATCCTGGGTAACACTATGCAGCTGTTAAGACTTAAGTGAACCATAATTCAGTGACAAAACAGACCATCAAAAATATAGCAGCATATTCACATCATGTTTAAAATGCTGTGCACTGGGGAAGGGATATTTCAATGTATACATTTGTGTGTGTGGTGGGGTGTATATATACATAAACAGTAATTGTCTCTGATGTAGGAACAGCAGGGAGTAGAGGAGGAGGAGGAGATGGATTTATTTCTGTATTTCATTTTATCCACCTATCTAAAGCCAGCACCAACTTGCCAGCCATGCAAGTGCACCATCTTCAGACAGGATCCCTCAGCCCTTTGTGTTACTTGAATTATTTAGAAGGAAAATGTATTCAGAACCTTTTTCATGTGCTTGACCAATTCTCACTGTAAATTCTTATTGAAGATGTTGTAAAATGGGATTCCCCCAGAGTGGAACTATGTCTTTCTAAAAGGCCCATTTCTCTAAACAGAACTTCCAAGACAGTGTAATTATATAGATTCAAAAAAGGAAAAACAGTTATGCTTTTCACTTCCTGACTCTCTTTTGCTTTCTGAAGGTTGCCCAAAAATAAATACCAGTCACCCACCCTTTGATAGAGACTACATTCTAGTCACTAATTTTTCAACTTACCGGGAATTTTCTATTTATAACCTCTTTTCCACAATAAACTAAGGCAATATATATATATAGGGAAAAGATGCCATCTTAAATAACACTATATGGAAAGAAAAAACGGATTTAATTTCCACATCCCACTTGTTTATACTGCTGATGGCCCATCACCTGTTCTCTGTGCTCCTATTTCCCCCCAGCTCCCACCCCACAGGTACAATTGCCAGGTCTTCCTGATGTTGTCTCCTTAGTGTTTTTTGTATGTAGCTTTTTCTGGCTCTACTGTCCCTGCCCCAGTTCCACCCCTCGTCATTCTGTATTTGGATTCTCAGAACAGCTTCCACTCGTGGCCCTAAACTCCATGCTCCACAAAACATCCAGGGTGATTTTTTCATAAATGAACATCGTTCCCTCCCTCCCTAACTGTGAATCCTGCAGTGATGCTCTTCCCCTTTTAGGGTAAAGTTGGCTGGTCATCTTTGGCACCTACCTGCTCCCTAACCCTATCCCCTCCTTTTCCTCTACTTAATTTCTTCGTTCAATCCACGACACGTAGATTCTTTCCCCTTACAGAAGGGGTCTTGCTGTTTCATTCTTGTGATCCTTCAAAATGCTTTTTTCTCTGCCTAGTTTCATCCGTTCCATGGCCTGGTGTCTTGAGGTGCTTCAACACGTGGTTTCCTTGTTTCCACCTCAGAAAAGCCTTTCCCAACCCATAGGGACGTAGGTTTTCCTCATCGGGATTTTTGTAACATGCGGTGGGTTCCGCCACCATGACGCTCATTAGAACCACACTGTACGGTTTGTCCTCCCAATTAAGCTGCAGTCCAGCCGCTCTAGCTTCCTAATTATCAGTGCTTTGCACATTGTCCCTCATCATTATTTGGTTTAGATGGATCAAATGAAAATCTTAATTCAATGGGTTATTGAGAAATTTAGTACACATGACCTCTTCTGTCCTTTCCATTATGTTTGGTTTTCATGAAAGTGTATCTGCATCAGATAGAGTTCTGTGTGCTTCATCCTGGTGTCCCAACATTCCACTTAGTACAGGAAGAATCATTTTCCTTCCTTGACTAATACATGGCAAAAGAAGGAGGCTGAAACCAGCCAAAGGGGCAAGGAGTGTCAGTACGCGTGATTCAAGCCAGTGTGGCATCTAAAATTGTGAGAGAGAACAACCTATCAGGATTTCTAGCCAAGCTGCCTTACAGACTATGCTGTGTTCTTGTTTTTAGGAACTATCCCTTCGACATAGTGACGTTGTTAAACCTCGTTCTATTCAAGGCTTCTGACACCAACAGAGAGATTTATGAAATCTCCATGCAGCTCATGCAGGCACGTATCATTTTTCTGGCATGGAAAATTTTTATCCTTGAGGATAGAACACGTTTGTTTCTGTGTATCACTGGTGGATGTAAAGAGTGGAAAATATATATATAATGTTATGTAAACATCATAATTAACTGATAGCTTCACCTTTAATCCTGTCTTCAGATACGCATTAGTCAGTTGTTACAACTTTTATTAAATGCTCCTGAGATGTCCAGCTAATGCTTTTCTCATACTGTTTCTTAAACTTTCTTTTTATAGATTCTTGAAGCAAAGCTTTTTGTATACTCTAAGAAAGTCTCTGAACAAAGACCCGGCAGTATTCTGTACGGAACGCACGGACCATTGCCACCCCTATACAGTGTGTCACTCACCCTCCTGTCCTCCGAACTGGCCAGGATGTACCCCGAGCTCACTCTTCCACTGTTCTCAGGTACTGTGCGACAGTCTAGAGTGACATGTCATCCTTTCTTCTGTTCTAAGTTATTTTCCTTTTTTAATTCTAGGGTAATTTTATCATCAATATTATTGATGCTAAATTTGTAGATCAGAATTGCTTTAGGCCAAATCCACCTATATATAAAAATAAATTCTAGAATTTTTTTAAACATAATTTTCTGTAAAACAATATAGTTATAAATGTACACACATGACAAATGCAAAGATGCTCAGATTGCTTTTAAAAAACTTCTACATGTATTATATATGTGCATTTCCCAAAGAAATTAAATATAGGCAGTATAATATACAATACCTACAGTCACTTTTAATTGCTGTGAGATATTTGTTGGTAGTAGTGATAGTGGTGGTGTTTTGAAGCTAACATGTTGCTACATTCAAAAGTTGAGGGGCTAGGGTTGTGGCTCACCTAGGTAGAGCGCTCACCTAGCACATGTGCAGCCCTGGGTTCGATCCTCAGCACCACATTAAAAAATAAATAAATAAATAAAGGTATTGTGTCCAACTACAACTATATATATATATTTTTTTTTAAGTTGAGAGTTTAATTTTTGGCACTTTTTTTTAGTTATATATGACACTAGAATGTATTTTGGCAGAATATACATATATAAAGTATAACTTATTCAATTAGGTTTCTGCTCTTGTCGTTGTACGTGATGTGGAGTTACCCTAGTCATGTATACAAACACAAGGCTAGGAAAGTTATGACCAATTAATTCTAATGTCTTTTCTATTCCCCTCCCCACTCCCCTCTCTCTGTTACCCTTTGTCTAGTCCAGTCTATTTCTATTCTTCCCCTCCCCAGCCTCCCTTGTTTTGGTTAGCATCCACAAATCAGGGAGAACATTTGGGCTTTAGTTTTAGGGCATTGGCTTATTTCACTTAGCATGATATTCTCTAGTTCCATCCATTCACTGACAAATGCCATAATTTCATTCTTCTTTATGGCTGAGTAATAGTTCACTGTATATATATATATTCCACATTTTCTTTATCCATTCATTCATTGGAGGATAACTAGGTTGTTTCCATAGCTTGGCTATTGTGAGTTGAGCTGCTGTGTCGTGCACATGGATGTGGCTGCATCACTGTAGTATGCTCTTTTTAAGTCTTTTGGGTATAGACTGAGGAGTGATATACCTGGGTCAAATGGTAGTTCTATTCCAAGTTTTCTAAGGAATCTCCATACTTCTTTCCATAGAGTTGCATCAGTTTGCAGTCCCACCAGCAATGTATGAGAGTACCTTTCTCCCCACATCCTCACCAACATTTATTGTTGCTTGTATTCTTTATAATTGCCATTCTGACTGAAGTGAGATGGAATCTCAGTCTAGTTTTAATTCGCATTTCTCTAATTGCTAGAGATGTTGGATATTTTTTCATATATTTTTCAACCATTTGTATTTCTTCTGTTCAATTCCTTTGACTTTGGGCACATTTTTATAAGCAATCTTCACAAATAACTTTTATGAGAGTATAAGAATTGCATTTGCCAGTTCGCTTTTTGTCTAAGCTCACGTGACACCTTGACGAGAGGCAACACTGGTCTCTCACATTCATCCTTCTTTTACACCTGCATCTCCACTGCCTTGGTGCAGCCCCTCCTGGTCCTCTTGTCACTCTACACCCCTGGGTCCAGCGCCTCCTTCATGCTCCACTGTGCGAATCTAGATTTATACAGCATTTCTCAACTCACACTTCTCTGCCCAGTTGTCCTAAAGATAGTTGCTGTAAGAGACCCGTTTCCATCTGTTGAACGGTGAACCTGTGCCAGGCTGTATCCTAGGCACTGTATTTATCACTTCATCTTTACAACCACTAGTGTAATTGAGTAGTTAAACAGAGGCTCTGGAGTTGGATCCCCTGGCCCTGCCATTCCCTAGCTAGTTGGCCTTGGGCAAGTCACAGAACCTCCAAACTCTGCTTCCTTATCTGAAATACTAAGAACTACATGGTAGGGTGTGTGGTTTAAAATAAGCTAATGAAAACCAGGTAACTGGCCTAGCCCTAGCATGGCATTGTCACCCCCCACCGCCACTACCATCATTCTTGTTTTAGAGGGGAAAACTAATACTTAAAAGATTAAAATACGGGGCTGGGGATGTGGCTCAAGCGGTAGCATGCTCGCCTGGCATGCGTGCGGCGCGGGGTTCGATCCTCAGCACCACATACAAACAAAGATGTTGTGTCCGCCGAAAACTAAAAAATAAAATATTAAAAAGTTAAAAAAAAAAAAAGATTAAAATAGGGCTGGGGCTGGGGCTCGGGGGTAGAGCGCTTGCCTAGCACATGCGAGGCCCTGGGTTCTATCCTCTGCACCACATATAAATAAATAAAATAAAGGTATTGTGTCCAACTACAACTACAAAATAAATATTTTTAAAAAGAGATTAAAATAATTTGCTCAGGATGATATAGGTAGGAAATTGCCAACACATAATTAAATCTAGTTCTGTCTTCCTCCAAAGTCAGGGCTATAAATTGCTATTTTAGAAAACCACCTTCTCCTAACACTTGCTTTTCACCTTTCCATCCAAGAACGCATCTACTCTCACTTCATCTTTGACCAACACGCCAGGCCCTCTCTGAAGTCCTTGCTTCTACGTATGCTTTTTCCTTCGCTGAGAATAGAATGGGCATCCTCCCCCTCTCCCTAACTTCCAGAATTCCTTAAAACCTAACTTATAATCTACCTCTTCAGTGCACACCTCACCATCATTTCCTTGAGTTAGAGTTAGTCACACCCTTGTCTAGTACCTGAAACAATGGAGAGACTCAACTAAAACTTATAAAGCTTACTAAATTTATCTAGTAAATAAACTCTCTTGTCAGAAAACTACAATTTATTTTGATCCACTTCAGCCAGGATTGGAGCAATGCCTGTGTGCTGTGCACTCTTGTCTGGGTCCTGGGAGTACAGAGGAACATAAAGCAGTCTCTCCCAAGGAAGGTTCAGTCTAGTAATAAAGATAGACGTGCAATCGTGATTATGATACGGTGTGGCAAATGCAGTTTTATTCAAGAGTATACTCAATGGCTTTGGTGGAGGTGGAAGCTATGGGAGGCATCAGTGGTCGGGCCAGCAGTATCAGGAAAGACTTCCCAGAGGCGCAGATGTCTGAGCTTCAGTTTGAAAAAACTGCAAAGTAGACAGTAGTCAATGGGCACCACAGAGACGAACAGTGTATGGTTTGGCTTAGAGCAGTAAGACAGCGTGATGCATTTGGGAGGTCATGTATAGGTCAGTGTGGCTAACAATGTGCAGAAAAGGGAAAAAGCTAGACACGGCCTTAGGCAGAGGAGGAGGCAGGAGCCAAGTCCTCAAAGGCTTTATATTATCCTCTGAGGAGTTTGAAGGCCCACATTCTCTTGACCCCCTCAGAGCCCTTTGAACACAGAGGGCATCCAAGCCAGCTGCTCAGGTTCTGAAAGCCACTGATGAGTTTCAAATAAGAAGAGGGCTTGACAAGATGAGCATGCATTTCAGAAAGACAAGCTGTGGTGTGGAGGGTGGATTAGAAAGCGTCCAATCAGAAATGATGACAGTAACCCTAGGAGGAAATGAAACATGTAAGGGCCTGAGCTAAGACAGGCCCGTGAGAGTGCAGGGAGAGCCTGGCATGAGGCCTGTGGCCACCCTCCCAGGGAGCCAGTACGGGAGGATCCCAAGGTTTAGGACAAGACGGAGATCATGAGGGCAGCCTGGGACGTTGGGTGTAGGTCGCTGCCAGATGTCCCCAGGTATGCGCAGGCTGGAGTCAGGAGAAGGCACCCCCAGTAACTCTTGGAAGGACAGAAGGGCTGGAGCCAAGAGCACAGCTGAGATCGGGATCGGAGAGAGCATGGAGTGAAAGGAAGGACCTGGCTTTGGCGGATTGGGCAAGGGGCAGAGAGGAATGGAGGTGAGTTCAGAGAAGACAGAAAATACCTAGGGGGTGAGTTTCATGGAAACCTAAGAAATGAGGATTTAGGAAGAAGGAATGAACCGTCCACAGCCTCCAACATCATAGAGAGATCACAGAAGATAAGGTCTAAAAGCCATCTTCAGTCTGGCGGGCTGGCACAGACCTGAAATCTCAGGGACTAGGAAGCTTGAAGCAGGAGGATGGCAAGTTCAAGGCCAGCCTCTGAAACTTAGCAAGACCCTGTCTCAAAAAGAAAAATAAATTAAAAAAAAAAAAAAGAACTGGGGCTATCGCTCAGTGATAAAGTGTTCCTGGGTTCAATTTCCAGTACCAAAAAATAAAAAGGATAAGCCCTCAGGGCTTCATGATTCATTGGTAACTGTGGATAGTTCCCACGGGGAGGTGGCAGCAGGAACCAGACTGCAGTGGTGTGGCTGAGAAAAGGGAAAACAGAGACTGGAGCCAGGGTGGGATGCAGTAACAAGGGGGCGGGTGTTAAGGATGAGAAGAAGAAGCTGGTAAAGTAGGAGAGGGTGACAGATAATGAGGGACCAGCATGCCTACATTTTCTTCATGAATTTGGCTATTTGATTTATGAAGAATTTTCGAAAATAACATGAAAAAACTAAGAGGGCACAACAGATTCCTCTTGTCTTTACTCCCAGTACTATTATAAACCCTGTGGTGCAGTCCTGATTGCTTGTAATTTCAGGTGACCTAATTATTCATAAGCAGCTAGGCCCCTCCCAGAAGAGCCGGGAAACACGCATACCATCCCTCTGACATCACTACACATTTTATTTAGATTGTTTTGGGAGGAATAACTAAGGACTTGTTCCCATGGCTGTGGCATTTTTTTTTTTTTTTCTTTTCAAAAACTTGTCTACAACCCAGGTGCTGATCTAGACTGTGAATACCGCAGACTTCCCTACCCTCTTGGACTCTGTGTCCCGCAGACAAAATGCAATAAAGATGATAAATAAGCAGATTATGTATTATGTTAGAAGGCCATGCTTGCGGCTAAAAGTCTGTAGATTTTTATACCCTGTAAAAAAGATCGGTTTAGGGCTGGGGTTGTGGCTCAGTGGAAGAGCTCTCACCTAGCACGTGCAAGGCCCTGGGTTCGATCCTCAGCACCACATAAAAATAAATAAATAAAATAAAGGTATTGTGTCCAACTACAACTGAAAAATAAATTTTAAAAAAAGATAGGTGTAAAGATAGATATTTTTTAATTGCTAAGCACCTTGGTACATGTCTGTAATCCCAGCTACTCAGGAAGCTGAGGCAGGAGGATCACAAGCCAGCCTCCTGAGGCCAGCCTCAGCAACTTGGAGGCCGCCAATAAATAAATAAATAACTCATAAAAAATAAGTCAATATACAAAAATAAAATAGGTATTCTTCAATGATACTTTTTCTCTGATCAGATTTTTTTCCCCTCTCCAAAATATCAGTCTTTTCTACTGGAGCTTAAGTAGTTCTGCCATAAAACTGTCCTGAATCTTTGAAAACAACTGTCATTTTCCTCCACTAAACCCTCAAAGTTTTGTGCCTTTTGGAAGTCATTTGTCACTTTCTCCCTAGCCATAGAGTTACTTGCTGGCATAGTATCAGAGTCTCCTTCCCAGGAGCAGGAACCATGATTCTAGACTTGGCAGTCTCCATCATGCCTAGCATGGAGGCTCATACTAGAAAATGCCCAGTACACGGGAATAAAGGAACACACTCGTTGTACAAGATTCTAAGTCTGTATCTTCACAGTCCATAGCATCAGATGTGATACCTAAGCTTGAAACTAAGGACGTTTTGGATTTCTTTTTTGGAGGGGGGTACTGGGCATGGACCTCAGGAACACTTGACCACTGAGCCACATTCCCAGCCCTATTTTTGTATTTTATTTAGAGACAGGCTCTCACAGAGTTGCTTAGCACCTCGCTGTTGCTGATGCTGCCTTTGAACTCACCATCCTCCTGCCTCAGCCTCCTGAGCCACTGGGATTACAGGCATGCACCACCACACCCAGTCATTTTGAGATTTTAATCCATATAAAACAGCAGCTTTGTGCTGTCTGATTATTGTGGCACATTATTCTTCTTCAAAATGGAAAATAATAATTTTAGTTGAAGGAAAAGGGCCAAGTCAATTAGAGTTGCCATTTGAGGGATCTAGTGTGTTATCTTAGTGTCACTCCTGGCATCTGTGTTGTTCCGTTCAGCAGTCATGAGTGCTGCCGGCGAGGTTGTGTCACACTGGATCACAACACTTGCACAAGACCAGGCTTGCCAGCTTCCTCCTCTGGATAAAGCTATTTCTTGGAGACAAGCAGAGCCTCGTGCATAAACATAAAGCTGTGCTTCTTTCTCTGTAGACTGCTTATTCAGATTATAAAATTAAATGCTGCCAGCAGTGAAACAATGCAGAAATGTCAACAGAGAGAATGATGGGGAAGTGGCTCAGCTGGATAGGAGCTTTGACTTTGGTGCACATTGTTCCCAAGGTGAAGTGCAGCCCTTGGCAGGCAACTTCCATGCTCTGGGCATTTTTCAGGTAGACTCCCCAAGCTGGGTTTCTTCCTCTTGGGGGTCCACATCTCACTTTTTAACAATTGAAGTTTCATGGAAGACACTTTGTAAATCACTGAGTTATTGGAAAGAGAATGATCACTGGCAGAATAACCCTAATCACCACTGGTCAGAGGCCTGCTGGTGTCAGGCACTGTGCTGAGCCGGCTATATACGTGGTGAGTGTATCTTCTAGTCTTCACAACAGTCCTGTGTGTGCAAGGGGGGCCCCGTTGTACACATGAGTAAACTGGAGAGCAGAGAGGTTGGATTACTAGCCGAGAGTCACAGGCGGCTATTAACGTAATGGAACTAGAACCCAAATACACATCCTTCTGCCTCCAGGTCCCTTGTTTGTCCAAGGGACAAATAAGCCCTCTTCCACTAGCAGTGTGCTTGAACTCCTGAGGCCTCCCATCTCACTCCATTTTTACCAAGCCTGCCCTGTCCCCATGGTGCAGTGCCACTTTCCCACACAGAGCAACAGACATGAAATGACAGGTTTGAGAACAAGCTTTGTTTTTTTTTTTCATTTTTGTCGCCTTGGGGAGCTACTGTATGTGCAAATGTTTTCTGTAAATGGAAAGCATTGTTTAATCATTAAGATGGTGTTCATATTTTAACATAACGGCTCTCCACTGCAATTCTCTTTAGAGGTAAGCCAGCGGTTCCCCACAACACACCCAAACGGGCGTCAGATCATGCTCACCTACCTGCTGCCCTGGCTGCACAACATCGAGCTGGTGGACAGCAGGCTCCTCCTCCCTGGGTCAAGCCCCAGCAGCCCCGAGGACGAAGTCAAGGACCGAGAAGGAGAAGTGACAGCCCCTCATGGGCTGAAAGGGAATGGCTGGGGCTCTCCAGAAGCCACATCACTGGTCCTCAATAACCTCATGTACATGACGGCCAAGGTAAACTCCAGTCACATGGCTCCATCTTCAGAAAAAAGCAAACCCTCGTGCAAACCTAGGGAAAATGGTATTTATCCTTTAAAATCACACAGAAGGAATGGACAGTGGTGCTGGCCACACAAGAGCATAAATGATGTCACTAAACTCCACACATAAAAATGTTACGGTGAGGGCTGGGGTTTATAGCTCTGTGGTAGAGAGTTTGCCTAACATATGGGAAGCCCTGGGTTCAGTCCCCAGCATCACACACACAAAAACCAAGGTTATAATGGCAAACTTTGTATTTTACTGCAATTGAAAAAATAATAAGAAGCCTAACATTTTTTAAAGTTGATGTCCATAGGTATTGCACATGAATGATTTCTGCATTATCAATTTCTCTCCCCTGGAAAACAAATGACATCTTTCTGATAAACAGCCGTTTCCCCTTTCTTACTATTTTTGAGATGGCCATGACCTTCAAAACCACTTTGCCTCAAATGTTCTTCCCACGTCACGAGGGCTGTTTCCTATTTTGTTTGTTACAGTATGGAGATGAAGTTCCTGGGCCAGAAATGGAAAATGCCTGGAATGCGCTCGCCAACAACGAGAAATGGAGCAACAACCTGAGGATCACACTGCAGTTCCTGATCAGCCTGTGCGGGGTTAGCAGTGACACGGTTCTCCTACCCTATGTAAGTGTGTCTCGGGTTCTCAGGAGGCATCATTCCCGCTGGGGCTTCCATGTACAATTTGCGAGCCAAAATGTGCTCCCGGCTCCAACTAAAATAGAAATGTGCAGTTTTGCCCATCACACTCATCTCCTGAGAGCTCTTCCAGATACTGCATGAAAGTTCCTTTAGCCCCCAAGACACAGGCTACACGTGCCAGTAACAACTGTCATCCCCTCACTCTAAGCCTTGGGACACAGACCTGTGAATTAAGGAGCAAATATTTTTCTAACAGTTACCAAAAGCTGCCTTCTACAGACGTTAGTGCCAGAATGTGAGAGACACTGGATGCTCTCAAAACAGAATTAAAATACAGAGAATCCTGGTTTTTCTCTTCAAATTCAGGTGGTAGGAGAGAGAAACAAGTAAAGCTGTCTGATACTTGCTATTTATATTAGAAGGAGATGGGATCAACAGAAGGACAGCATTTAAAATTCAAGCTCACTTGGCATTTCCATACTGGTTGCTTTTGCAAGAGAGTTGATTTCTTCCTGCAGTTTGACTCATATGAGCCTCGTAACAGCACACTCGCTTCAGGCTGGACCATGAGGTCTACGGCAATGCAGAGCATTGAATTCAGAGATATTTTTAAGATTTTAAACTACTCTGGGCATGGTGGCACTCGCCTATAATCCTAGCCACTCTGGAGCCTGATGCAGGAGGATTGCAAATTCAAGGCCAGCTAAAAGTCATTTGTTTCTAGGGGAGAGGAAAATAGAAAGAGACCGGATTCCTTTTTAAACAAAAATAACTAGCAGTTTTCCCCCCACCCCACCATGGTTTGTATAAATAAAATTCTTTCTGAAGATAGGACCTTTAATGGCAAGTTGGAAGCTTAGATTGAATCAATGTGCCCAGAGGGTAACTTTAAAAAATTAAACCATTAGAAAAGGTAAGGCCTTCAACACACACAGTCCTAATCGTCCACGTGGCAAGGTGAATTCTAACCCCACCTGGATTAGCCTAGGAGGGCACCAAGATTACCCTGGGACTGATGGCACCCGGATGGTGGCATGGGTTACCAGCCTGCAATTCTTGTGGACTAGGTTCTGGAAAACATCTCTTGTTTCTTCTCTTCCTCTCAGATTAAAAAGGTGGCCATATACCTATGCCGCAATAACACCATTCAAACCATGGAAGAGCTTCTTTTTGAGCTGCAGCAGACTGAGCCCGTGAACCCCATTGTCCAGCACTGTGACAACCCGCCCTTCTACCGCTTCACCGCCAGCAGCAAGGCCTCCGCAGCCGCTTCCGGTAAGGACCAGGGACCTGGGCCGACTTCTTGTCCTGGGTCTCTGGAATTTTCTTTTGGCGGAGCCTTAAAAGTGTGTGAATATGTGTCTGTGGCTTTTTCTTATTCCTGTATGTACATTCACTTAAGAGACTTGAAAACAGCTGAGACTCTGGGTCATTATTGGATAAATGAAACTGTTTTGTAAGAATGACCATGGAGCTTTTTACTTTACGCTGATTTCAAGAAGAGCCCTGAAATCACTGAGGAGTCTCTTCTGGACCTTCCTATTTGTATCTATGGGATTCCTGTTGCTAATATTGTCCCAGGACTGACTAAAACGCCCTGCAACAGTACAGGTTGTACAAACCTAATCCCAAAATCCAAAACACTATTCAATCTGAAACGTTTTGAGCACTGACCTGATGCCATAGGTCTGATGGTTGAATGTACATGACATAAGATTATTTAAAATGTATAAAATTAGGCTGTGTGCATAAGATGTATGAAACGTGAATGAATTTCATGTTTAGACTGGAGCTCTATCCCCACGATATCTCACTGCATGTATGCAAATATTCTAAAATCTTTTAAAAATCCAAATTTGGAAATAATTCTGGTTCCAAGCATTTTCAATAAAGACACTCAACCTGTATTATCTCTTTCAGTAAATAGGTATCAGCGTCATTTCGTGAAACATGTGCCCTCCTCCTCCCCCATGGCCCATTCCCTCTCTTTGCCTTCTTTGGTGCCAGAGCAGTGTTCTTGCAGAGAAGTGTCAGATTAGGAATCAGAAGCTCTGGCTACTTGAACTTGCTTTCCTAGCATTGGTCAAATAACTCCAGAAACACTAAAACAACTTACAGCAGGGCCAGCTGCTATAAATAAGCTCATTTCCAAGTGGCCAGGAGAATAGGTTCCAAGAATGTTGCAGCCTCACTTTACAAGGGAGTTAAGGAATCTGGTTTGACCATAACAGATGTCTAGGATTCTCCTGTTTCAGTGGTGCCCGCTTAAAAGGTTGTTTAGAATGTCTGAGATTGTACAAAAGATGTGAGGAATCTTGCAAACAGGGATTTTTACAAGAAATCCGTTCCTAAAATTAACTGAGACTTGAGCTTGACTCCTCTGCATGTGTCTTTTTCTAAGCGTCTTTCTTCTAATCCCATCTACAGGAACCACCTCCAGCAGCAATACAGTGGTTGCTGGCCAGGACAGTTTCCCAGATGCCGAGGAAAGCAAGATATTGAAAGAATCTGATGAAAGGTTGGTGCACAAATCTGGCCTAACACCCAACATAACTTTCAGCAGTAGCCTGTACAAAGGCATCAGTAACAGTTTGTGAGGTTTCCTAAATTTCACAGGCACACCAAAGTCCTCCTTTATTCTTAGAACACAGACTAACTTTCTAATTCTGTCCTGTAGATCCCTGAAGTTAACAATTTTTTCCTATACAAAGTCAGAGAACAGAAAGATAAAGAGGAGACAGTTTTGGTAGCTGATTCCCACTTACCTCAGGGCTTCATAAAAAGCACCAGTCATTCTGCTAATGGGTAAAACCATCTAGAATTACAGGGGATTTGTCATGTGAAATTTTCAAATCTGATTACTAAATAATTTCTTAGAGTAGTTGTCTTGAGGTGGGTTTTATAGAATATCATTGTATTTATCAGCTTTTTGTTACTATTAGAAAATATCTGAGGCTGACTAACTTTTGAGGAAAAGAGGTTTATTTAGCTCAGGTTTGGAGGCTTTAACCCCAAACCATATGACACAGATTCTAGCAATGGCCCTGTTGGCTACATCACATTGTGGTGGGAGCATGTGTGTCTGTGTGGTCTCTGTTTCTTCTTATTCAGCTACAAGGATTCAACCATGAGAGCTCCACTGTTATTACCTTGCCTAACCTAACTGTTTTCCAAGGACACTACACCATAGTGGGATTAAGTTTCACCCTCTTAATACCATTTCCATAAGACTGGGAATTAAGTTCTTATGAGTTTAGGGGGACAAACTTATTCAAACCATAGTAGTAATCATTCTTTTACCCTTACTTGACTGTGATAACATCTCAATTGACCAACAACACTGTCTTTTCCTGCTAGGCAAAGTCTCCATTCCCTTCACGACCACGCTGGTGGTATTTTCTTACCTACACACTTGTCCTCAGATTGCCTGTGAACTACTCTGGGTAAATAAAATCTGAATTGCTCCTCCCTGCAGATTGTAAAGAGCACACTCTGTCCCTGAACTACATCCCAGCCCCAAGTGACAATGCTAACAAGCCTTAGCATACATTGATATATTATCAAGACAGCTGCCTAGGTGTTCATTTGAGCCAAGTCAGCAAGAGAAAACTCAGGGAAACATTTTATCCTTTTAGTTTTTCTCTTATCAGGCTGTGTTCACGGTATATATTTTAAGATATGAACCTTTGATGTGAAAGGATTAGGCAGTCAGCCTGGTCCTTCAAATTCCTCTATGTCCCAAATCCAAAATTCGTTTCCCCAACCCAGAAAGGCAAAGAGAAGTAGCAGATTCCTCTCTGGGGAGTCAGGTTTTCCTTTTCTTTTGCCAAGGAGACCTTTGCTGCTCTGTGGCTTCAGTCAAGAGAACAGTCTGGAAGGGGCTTGCTCCTCCCCTTCACCCTACTTAAGGCCCCTTTAGAGCTTTCTCAACAAGGAAAAGAGAAGCATTGCCATCCACTCTTTACTTCTTCACCGCCTGGCCCTCAGAGCAGCTCTAAATCCTGCACACTGTGGGCTGTAGTTCATCAGTCGCCGAGTGCCACGGAGCTCCCCACCCAGCAGAAACCTCCAGATGGGGCATGATTTTTCCAACCTACTTTCATCCCTTGCTGAATGATGTCTGGGCTCAGCATCCACTTTTTATAACACCACATTTATCAGCATAAACATGATCAAGGAACTTCTTCAGAAGGTGATACGTCTGTCACTCTTTAATTTCATAAGTACCCATCTGATTTAGACTGTTTCATGGCCTAATTCATATGAAACAAAGCAGATGTCCCAGATATTCTTTTATGGATTCACAAAGTAATAGCACAAGCGATACGACTGTGAAGAACGTTTGAAGTTATCTAGGAGTATATGATAGCATCGGGAAGGCAAATCCTAAGAAATGAAGAAAACCAAAGTAATTACAGTCCATTACAATTCCTCACTCCAGCAAATCCAAACTATTGGTGGAATATTCCAAGGTTTTACGCCTAGGAGAAGGTACATAGTTAGTGGCACATTCGGTGCATTTTCCTGAACCCTTCCTGTTTCTTCACACCCCATAAGGACAGCTTCCTCCTGCCTCTTCAGTGTTCCAGAGGGAAATAAGTGCTGATCTGTTGTCACCCAGATTAGAACACAGGTCAGTAATGTAGGCAGACTCACCTATTTGGGCTAGTATCTCCTGCTCTTTTTAAACGTGGCCCTATTTCTTTCCTTTGGCTATACATGTTAAGTGGGTAGAACCTGCTATGTATTATTTTATGTAAAATAAATACAGACATACCATTTCTGTCTGGTGGGTGGAGCTCCGTGGTTGAGCATTTGCCTAGCATGTGTGATGCCTTGGGTTTGATTCCCTAGCACTCAAAAAAAAAAGAACACATGCACACAAGTGCATACGCACCATTGTGCTCTTATTTTGCCCTTATTTCCCCTGAGCCACACCCTGGCCCTAGCATCTTGGGATGATAAATATACTATTGATTTGAATGGTTTTGTTGGTCCTTTGCCAAGACAAGGAAATTCTAGAAATCCAAGGGGAGCATAATAACATGTTATAACTAGAGAGTGTCTTACAGTCTCACGTCTTTTTTTTTTTGATTCCCCACAACAACCCCAATAAAATAAAAGATAAAACACCATTATTATTCCATTTTAGCAATTATAGAAACAAGGTTCCCAGAGAACAGAGCTAGTGAGAGAGAGCTGGTTTGTTTGTTTTTTCAACATATTTTTATTATTAAATTACACATAGTAATTATATATATTTCTGGAGTGCAGTGTGATGTTCCAATTCATGTATACAATGTGTAATAATCGGGCCAGGGAGATGTGCATATCCATCACCTCAAACACAAGCTCAATATTAAAAAAAAAAAAAAAATTCCTGCCTTCTTGGAGGCAGCGTGGCCCTCAAATGTCCCTCCACTGCCACCTCCTTGTGATTGACCCTAGACGACTCATTTAACCTCAGTTGGCATCAGTTTCCTCATTTGTAAGTCAATAATATATATCTCAAAAGTGAGTAAGCCAGGGGCTTACTCAGCAGTAGAGCACTCGCCTAGCACATGAGAGGCTCTGGGTTTGATCCTCAGCACCACATAAAAAATAAATATATATAGTGTCCAACTACAACTAAAGAATAAATATTTTAAAAAAAAGTGAGTAAGCCAAATTAAATAAGGGATGTGTATGAAGTTCTAGACTTCAACTATTTTTTTTCTTTTGATTATTTCAACAAGCCACAAAAGAAACCAGAGAGAAGAGTCCTTCTGATTCTTTGATTATATTACAGACTCTAGTACCTTTTCCTAAAAATTCTCAAACTATGTTAAGGGAAGCTTTAAGTTGAGATTTAGAACAAGATTTTTCTGGAACTATTTTGTGTACTTCCAATTCTTCCCACTTTCACTTGTTCATTTAGCAAATATTGTTGGCCACCCACCTTGTACCATGTTCTGTGAAGAGGGAGTCACATTCAACATCAGGCTCATTTTTATCATTTTCTTTCAAATCAAGTGTAATGATTTTCTAGTTCAACTAAAATATTAGCCATGAAATCGTTATCTTTTCAAGGTTTGGGCTTTTGTTTGTGAGCAAAAGTGACCATTGGTCCCATGCGAGGGGAAAAGAAATGTTTTAGGTACGATCTTCATAATATTCCATTAAGAAAAGCATCATCATCAGAACCAGCTGCTAAAGAACCAACCACTAAATAATAGTATCTGCCATGAGCAACAGCACATGTACACCCCTGTTGCTGTTTCTTAACAATTGTCCTTCTTTTTGAAGGTTTAGTAATGTCATCAGAGCTCACACCCGCCTAGAGTCAAGATACAGCAATAGCTCTGGAGGATCGTATGATGAGGATAAAAGTAAGTACCCACAGGCTGTGGGCTTCCAGATGGAATGCAAGTGGTGGAAGAAAGGATGATGAGCATTTTGATTATTCTTGACCTAATTACTAAGAAGGACCCAAAATATTAAGCCATCATTTAATCTAACTCTACAGAGAAGTATAGCCAGCATCTTAAATGTACAACAAACAAACAAACCCCAAGTGAAACAGTGGAGAAATCAAAATTGTAAAATTTCAAATCATTATACAATTTTTATATTCTTGGCATTTTTTTTATTGATGACTCACAGTCTGGGAAAGGCTAGTAAAAAAAAAAATTCTCCCTTTAGAAGATGATTTTTGCAATACAGCTTTTTAACCTATCTTGGGACTAGACTTAACCTTTAAGTTCTGAGTGTGTGCTTCCCCAGGATGGGATCTGATTTCACATTGAATCTCCCACTTGCGTTGCCTCAGTCACCAAGTAAAAACCTTCTAAACTGGGAGACTTTCTTTGTACCTTGGGCAACTGGATAAACCAAAAACCTCACTGCATTCATTGATTTTATGTGTAAGGCCTAGACAGCTTGTGTTGATACAGAACAGGTGTAGAGTATCAGTTCGTCATGAGTTACAGAAATATCGGAACCAAAAAATCATTCCCACTGTCACTCAGGTATGATAGGGAAATCAGTGAACTCTTTGTGGGATTTATTTTTCTATCTGAGTAGAAATCATAAGTATGGTGATATTTCATGAGTTGGATTCATCTCATCAGTGTCTAAGGACATTATAGTTGTTTCTTGAATTGTTTTGTTTCTATGGGAAATGCACAGTCAGATCAGATACCACATTTCAACGGCCCTTACTTAACTTCCTAATGCATTGATTGCTCTAATTTAGGTTAAGTTTCAGCTGTGCCCCTATAAAAACTTTTTACTAGAACTATCAATAAGAGGTAATATTATATTTTCCTTCCCTTCTATATTCCATCAGAGGACTGTACCACTGAACAGTTGGATCTGGGACTATAGACCACCAACATGAATTCCAGACAGGACCAGATTTTTACACATGAGGGAAAGGGAGAGTAGTTCTAGAAAAATCAAAATGTTGCTTCAGAAGAGGTCTGGACTGTGACAATATTCAGCAACTCAAAATCTGAGGACAGAAAAATTGAACTATGAAGAGTTTAAGGAGTCTAACACCAACTCCCCCAGAATTTGACACAATATAACTAAACCTACCACTGTGTGATAGTGAATTGACATGAGGAAACAGCTATACTTCGGCCAGTTAATGCCTTTAAAGTGTATTTCTGTGTTTTGGGTAAAAGACGTAGACTTTGGTAGAAATATTATAATAGATAACAATCATTTTGAAATTATAGCTTTAGAGTCCTCTGGTATTAAAACCTCAAATTCCTTATGTTCATCAAAATAGAGGATTCCAGAAAGGTCATTGTAATAAAATGGGATAATATGTCATTTTGTACATATAAACCCAGATCACTGACTTTAGAGGCAAAAAGAAAAATAAATAATGGAAGTATTTATGAAGATTAAAAATCCAGATAAGGCATAAAAAAGAAATCTAATGTTATCATATGGCCTCTATTTTACCTAGAAATATTCACAAATTAATTTTATCAGTATGAATAACATTTTGATGGTAAAATAATTTTGGTATAGAATTTGAATTCAATTGTGTGTCAAAGTATCATTCCCATAGTTAATGTTGTTGACCAGTTTCATGGCATGAAGTTTGGACACTGAGAACTTATATGGTCTCTTATTTATCATAAGAGAAAATGAAATCAAGCTAAATAGACAGATGTTCATCACAGGAAGCCCATAAAGTATATATTAAGATCCTTTCCCAGAGTGCTCAAGCAATAGTGCTCTACTCTGGTTGTCTCATAGAAAGCAGTGGGTCTAATAGGACATAAATAATCTCAGGACTTTAGTCCCTGGGACCTCATTGATGTACTTTTGGCTTTGGCTACATAACTGTGGACATGGAACATGCCACAGATAGGGAAAGGTTGATAGACTTAATCCCCAAACTGATGGCTGGGGGTCTGGTACACTAAATGTTGGCTACTTCCTCCCTGAATTCTCCAGGCATCAGCAGAGGTAGGAAAGCTCAAGAAGGGGTCAGGAGAGACAGAGTGGCCCAGTGTTTCATAATGTAGGTTTGTCCAAAAGGCGCTTTATATTAAAATAAAATCTATACCCCCTTGGATAAAATGAACAAGCAAACTGAGGTAAACCTAGAACTACCAGTATTACGTAAGATTCCTTCTAGAAAATTTCTAAATGTCTGGATTATTTTCAAGTTCATATGCTACTGAATCTGGTTTTATAATAAGAGTACAAGTAGTTAAACTGGGTATTATCTGAGTTATGATGGTTTAGACCTAACTGCAGAAAACCAATTTTAGGTCATTGTAATGTTGCACATTTTTGCTGACTGGTTATATATCTAAAGTCATCATTAAAACTAAAGTATCCTTTCCTAACAGCAATCTCACAATTTTAATCCTTCAGCACTCTCCCTTTTTTGCTCTCCTTTCAAGTTTTATTAAGGAATATCTACTGACATAGAAGTGCATTTTGTAACTAACTTATCCTGGTCGGTCATCCAGAAAGTTAATTTACTGAAAGTGAGACACTCTTAGATAATACACTGAGAGTTACAACTAAGATAAATTACTACTGCTCCTGCCTTAAATTTTTTTGTAGATTCAAATTGTTGTGTCCAAAATCTCATGGCACAGGATTCTAAAGTTCCAGCTGCTCATACGTGGGTTTGTTGGAAAGAGCTAACAATTACTTCCTAACTTTCCCCACAAAACCCCCTTAGCTCACATCCTGAAGAAGAAGTAGGGTATTCTTGATTCTAGTGCCTGTCCTTGTTGGAAGCCTCACTTGTCACAGTAGGAAGGATTCCCTCTACCAGTTCTGCTGTTAAGCCAGTATCTCACTCTCAACCAGCAGCATTGAATCAGCTACAGTTGTGCACTTCATAATGGTGGACCACATGATTTCATGCGCCACATAATTTTGGTCAGTGACAGACCACATACACAATGGTGGCTGTATCATACAGCCTCAGCATGTAGTAAGGCTGTACCATCCAGGATTGTGTAAGTACTCTCTACTATTTGCACAATGACAAAATTGCCTAACGACACTTTGCTCAGTGTGTCCTAGACGTTGAGTCAGATTGCTGAGTCATATTCCTGGGTTAGGTATCACACAGCCCCCAGTGGAATAGCTCATCTGAAATGCCAAGGGCCTATATTGAGAGCATAATAAAAAATACTAACATGAAACTTGTTCCTATGCTTACCTGAAAGATATTGTTGATGAAGTTCATTCATTCAGGGATAATTTTGGATCCCTGGCTACATGCTAGAGACTACTGTAGGAATAAGGGAAATGACAAGGAACAAGATGAAGAAGGTCCCAAGCCTCCTGGAGCTTACTTGAGAGCAAGCAGAGGCAGGCAGCGCTGGTAAATGGGGGATCCAGGCAAGGGAGGAAAGCAGAAGCAGTGAGGGGCAGGAAGTGGTCAAGGACACCCTCTGTGATAAGCTGACCTTAGAGCTGAATAAAGCATTGAGCAAGAGCATGCCAGGCATGGGGAAGAGTAGATCTGAGGCCCTGAAGCTGGCCTCATGTTAGAACAGCAGGGAATCCAGGATGCCTGGGGTGGAGGGGGCAGTAGGACAGGGGTAGGAGATAAGACCAGAGAGGAACAAGGGGACAATCGTATAAGGCCTTAAAGGCAGTGGTGTGGCATCTGGATTTCATTGTGAGTGTAGCAGGGGAGCCACTAGCGAGTGTTGAGCAGGGTAAGGGCTGTGACCAGAGTTGCTTTAAAGGGATTACAGTGGCTGCTCTGTAGAGCAGTGTAACGGGACAGGAATGGAAGCAGGGAAATCATGGAGACCAAGTGTGAGAGAGGAGGGGGCTCAGATTCAGTGATGGGGTGAGGACAGTGGTAGGAGGCTAGACACATTTTTTGAAGTCAGAGCACTGACTTTGTTGATAATGACTGTCCTCAGTTTCCCCTCCATAAAGCGGGGATAATAATAAGCACCATTTATTGGGCTATTAATTTGTTGAGTGCATAGAACACCGCCTGATGCCCAGTGACTCTGTGTTAGTTCCTAATGTTGTCATTGTTATAATTACTGTGGTCATAACCGTGATTGTGAGCTGAATGTAGGATGTGAGAGGGAAGCCGGGGATGACTCTAAGGCTCTTGTCCTGACCAAACTGGAAACATGGATTGCATCTCACTGAGGTGGGGGAAATGGAGGGAAAGGAAATTTACATCCAAAGTAATGGAAATTCACATGATTTCCCATTTTTATTTTTATCTGTGTTTTTCTTTACTCTAAAATGAATAACAGTAGTTATCAAGTAATAACTAATCAAGTAATTACCCAATCAAGTAATTCTAACCCATTGATCATGTCATTCATACCAAATTGAGTAATTAGAAAGTTATTTTTACAAGCATGTATTTGTAAGATTCTTTCTAAAAAAAAAAATAAGGAGAAAAAGCAAACGTCTTCTCGTGGAAAATGAAGTTCGCTTGTCTTTCTCACTCTAAAGATGATCCCATCTCTCCCTACACGGGCTGGTTGTTGACCATTACGGAGACCAAACAGCCACAGCCCTTACCGATGCCATGTACTGGAGGATGCTGGGCCCCCCTGGTTGACTATCTCCCAGAGACCATCACTCCACGGGGGCCACTCCACAGGTGAGCAGTGTGCACGGGTGGAGACAGATGATGGCTTGGCTTTGACTGGACATCTCTACCTATTAGAAGAGGAAACCTCTTCCAGGTTTCACCAGAAACATCACTTTTTAAGTCAGAGGGGCCTTGCTTGACTTGTCTGCCGGCCCCAGCAGCTTAGTCAAATATTAACCAATGTGCAAAGCTGCCTTCCAGCCCTTTGAGCTTTCTTTGGATGTAATTCTGTGATGCTTTTTTGACTGTATGCAACTTGAAGAGAGGGCCTTGTCTTCATCTCTCAGTTTTTATTACCTGTGACTTGTAGAATTTCCATTTCTTATCTAACTTAACTGATGTTTCTTCTTGTTGTGGGGCTGTGTGCTATATCAAAAGTTAAACTCTATATATCTGGAATAAGGTTCTTAATATAATTTTTTTCAGCAAGCCATGAATAACAATTGCATTGAATTGTGAGCTAATGGTTTATTTCCACCCGCCTCAGAAGTTGCATTAATCTCATCATTTTGTTGGTTAGGTGCAATATTGCTGTGATTTTTATGACTGAGATGGTTGTGGATCACAGTGTAAGAGAAGACTGGGCTCTCCATCTACCACTATTACTCCATGCTGTCTTCTTAGGTAAGACTGGATCTAGAGGGGATTCTACCCAACAGGGTCAAAAACACAATAGAGGTAATCCACAGAGATTTCTTTTCACATTGACGTCCGCCTGCCCCACTTTTGAAAGGTTTTAGTCTCTTCTGTTTTTCATTGCACTTTTGTGACACCTACTTTCTAAAATTTCAGCTGATCAGTCATTGTTTGAAATTGTCCTAATTCTACAATGTAAATAATTTGGGCTTTTTTGAGGGAGTTTGGCCGAGGAAGTAAATTTAAAGCTATGAGATATGGTCAGTGCAAACAAAAAGACAGTGCGTAGACCATATCAGGCCTAGCACTGAGCTTCAGGTACTCAAGTAGTAGAGCAGAAAGGGAGTAGGAGCCATCCAGAAGATGAGTTAGAGACACAAATAAAGTAGGATCCTTCCATAAGACAGATCCAAGGAAGAGAACATCTTAACAAGGAAGAATGCAAACCACGTCAGGTGCTATGGAGAGGTCAAGAAAAGTCCATCTTATCAGCATTTCATGAGAATATTTTATTTAAGAATAAAGCATTTTAATTTTTTAAGCCCAACTTCTTTATGTTGGCAACCCAAAATATAATAAACTAAACATTCATTTGATGTGTTCCTCCCAGGTCTTTTGGAATCCTTACTACCCCTGGAATCTGAAGGAGCTTACCATTTGGTTATACTAAGTGAGTCCACCATTTTGTTACAGGTTTGGACCATTACCGGCCTGAAGTCTTTGAACACAGCAAAAAATTGCTTCTTCACCTCTTGATTGCCCTCTCTTGCAACAGCAATTTTCATGCCATTGCTTCTGTGCTCCTGCAGACCCGTGAGATGGGTGAAGCTAAGACTCTAACTGTCCAGCCAGCTTACCAACCGGAATATCTCTATACAGGTAAGGAGGAGGAGCAGTAGGCAGCCTGAGACAGAGTCACAGATGGAAGATGATGGGGGGGTGTCAGTGGAGCCCAAGTTCACTTTTCTCATGCTATTGCCTCCAACTTATGATGAAAATCCAATAAATGTGTACTGGTTCCCTTGATGTGAACTTGCCTCTCAGAAGCTTTCCTCATTATTAAATATTTTTAAACTTTATTTTTCCTTGTTATGATTGCTACTCCTATTAACTATGTTCCTATTGTGGCATTGAATTTAAAATACTCAGGGTCAAAAACATCAGTCTAGAACACTGCAGATAGGGTAGACTACAAATCGGTCATGGGCCAGGTCCCAGGTGTATAAATTGTTCTCTTGAAGGAATTTCCACTTTATTGAATGACTATTTTCTAAAAGGCACAATTTAATGGGAGCCTATGAAAAACTATTGCCATTTTGAAATGAAAAATTTCTTCAAAGGAATGGGAACAGAAAGCATTGGCTGAGTCAAAGAAATCACCCTGCCATGGCAAGCTATGGAAAGCAGCCATTAGATTTTCACCGTGAAGGTCAATGGTTGAAGTTAGTCATGAAAACTTTCCCAAAAGAGTTGGCCAGTGGTTTTTATTTAAAACAGTAATATTTGAAATATCTTAAAATGATGATGAACATTACTATTTAGGTATTGTTTTATACATTACATTGATACCAAGTATGCTATGGCATTTCATTTCACAGGGTACTTTCTTCATTACCTTGAATAGGATGTACTTTTATTTCACTTCTTGTATTCAGCACTGTCTTGTCTTCTAATAGAGGTTAAGATTTTTCAGGAAAACAAATATGAAATCATTATTAATTCTGAGATGTAAGCCTCCAGTGTGCCTCGGTTTAAGCTCTTTATTTTGAGCCAAGCTACACTTAATATCCTATCAGCCTCTGAGGGACACAGAACTCTTTATGACAGACACTTAATTTAAAGAATCTAAAGAGTTCTACTTGTTCAAACTTCTATGGATAAAGATGTATTCCATTAAGTATATAGACTTAGGCTGATAAAATTATAGTGTCTCAATTGTACAACTCTGAGTGCATCAGTTTTGCATTTATTATACCAGTGATGTGGTATAAAATGATTTAGGGAATTCAAAAACAAAATGTGCACAGTGTTTATAGGCAAGGCAAACAATTGATAGCCAAAATGATTGGATCTGTCACATAGGAATAGGTTTACAGAGTATAGGAAATGTCCCCTTTTTATAAACCATTATTGAGCATCTAGGTTCAACTATAGTTGCTGTCAAATCCACACTAAAAACTGTGTAATAGAAATCATTGTCCTACCTCATTATAATAGAAAACTAAGATACAGAGGGTTATATAAGCTCCAAGGGTACACTGTATGCTGCAGAGATGCTCTAATAATTAACATTATTCAGATGTACTTTTTATAATTATTAAAAGAGGACAAGGGAATGGTCCCATGTGTACTTTTTTTTTCCCCAAACCCATATAGCCATAGAGGTAGAAGTGTTAACCAAATACATAGTGGAAAGAACATACTATTCACTTATATTTCCTTTTAATACCATGCAATATAGTTTATCAAAATATACACATAGGTGGCTGAAGGGAGTAGCTTAGTTGTAGAGCATGAACTTAACATTTGTGAGGTCCTGGGTTCAGTCCTCAGCACTAAAATAAACACCCACACACATACACAATATTCTAACTTCTAGGCAAATTTACTTAAAACATTAAATATAACTTGCTTATTAGTCAAAGTGACTGTTACCTTTAAAAAGGGGATCACTTTGCATGTTTAAGTTGTCTAACACTGAAGAATAATTTTAAAAAGAATAATAAAAGAAAAAGAGCATTTTTCTTTCCCCTTTCTTAGTTGACCTGTTATAATTTAACTTTTCCTTGGCCTGGCCTATGCATGCATGAAAAACACACACACACACCAGAGTAGAAAATGGCAGATCACCTCTATTCCCAAATGTACACTGATCTACACAGCAGTGCCACTGATCCCATATACAAAGAAAACCTATCAATTTCATTTCATCATAGGCTAGACCAAATCAAGTGCTTTCTCCCCCAAATTTAAATAACTTCATAATTGTTTGTGTTCCCCAGCAGGCCTTATTGAGCATGCTGACAAGCACCCTTCCTAACATATCCCTCCTTAAACATCTTCACCCTCCAGGTGGCTTTGACTTCCTGAGAGAGGACCAGTCCTCCCCAGTGCCAGATTCAGGGCTGAGCTCCAGTTCTACCTCCTCCAGCATCAGCCTGGGAGGCAGCAGTGGGAACCTCCCACAGATGACGCAAGAGGTAGAAGATGTGGACACAGCTGCTGAAACCGATGAGAAGGCAAACAAGCTCATTGAATTCCTGACAACCAGGTAGTTGGGGGTAAAGAGTCACGCTGCTGCGGTTTTCAGGTCAACCTTTTGAAAAAGTGTCAGCCCTTTAAACCACACAGATGGAAAAGTGATCCCGGAGTTCTAACAAAGTTCTATTTTCTCTTCTAATTTGCATCTGCCAGCATAAAAGGCAGACACTAGTAGAGCTTGTCTCTGGTCCCACTGATACAGTGGATGATGGGCAGGGAGGTTTCCAGTAGACATTTCCATGGTGCCACAGATGGAGACAGGACCTGGTAACTGCAGGCTTGACTTTAGTCACATATCAGAGCTGCCAGGATCTGGGAGTTCTGAGACATCGCAAACATCTTCACTCTGGAAACCAATGATTTCAGCTACAATTGAGCCAGGAGCAGCTGCTGAGGGAATCACTGTCTGCGTGTCTGGTCCAAAGAGTCATTTGTAATTGGGAGTCAGAAATGAGAAACTAGGAAGCAGGATGGGAAAGGACTCAAACTAATCATAAAGCAAAATCAAGGAAAACTACAAGTGGTCCTGTTTTTTCAGGTCTTCTGGCTCTTCTAATTAACCATTTCACTTGTAAGACTTCAGAATTTCTAGCAGCCCGAGGTCCAGTGTTTGTATAAAGGCATGCACCTGTGACCTGGAGACACGCTCTCCTTTCGCAGTGAGTTAAGTCCTGGAAATTTAGTTTGTATACATGTTATACAGTATCTGACATGAGTTTTCTTTCTTGCATCAGTTAATGCAAAAAGAGCATTTTCTTTCTCCAATAACTCAGGTTCTTTTACACAGCTCCCAGCTTAATGTGGGATATCGTGTGCAGGAAGCTTAGGAGGGGGGCCCTTCATACAGAGTGTGTGCACAGACAGGGTGCTTCAAAGACCTGGATGATTCATAGAGAGAACAGGTGTTGTTGCCACTTACCATCCAACAATACCACATGTTGAGAAAGGCAGTCAACTGAAGTTCTCTCACCTGGCTCTATTGAGTCTTACTGTTGAAAACCAAGTAGACAATGAAAGCCATATCTTCAGTTTGGGTCCACGGTATTTGGCAACTTAATGATGTGGTTTTCATGAAATCCTTATCTCTGCAAATGCTACGATGTGAACAGTGAGTCTGTCTAAATCTACATTTTATTTAGTATTTTATATTAATTTATTCAACATATCAATAATATGCCTGTACTGTTATGGCAAAATAGGAGATTTTCATTTTGTGAATCAATTTAATTTAAAACATTGAAAAGTATGTCTCCACAAACTTGAAATGTACCCCCAGATCATGAAGTTTTCGAAAGTATTGTGCATCTTCAGAGTCAGAACTCCATGTATAGTTTTTAAAATGGTAAGTGAAAATTATACTTTTGACATTTTGTGTGTTTTGTTCAAGGGCATTCGGTCCACTTTGGTGCCATGAAGACATCACACCCAAAAATCAAAATTCAAAGAGTGCCGAGCAGCTCACTAATTTCCTACGTCATGTTGTATCCGTATTCAAAGATTCCAAATCAGGTACTTCATCCTCTTTGCCCAGATCCTTCTTTCATCAGTTTTCCATAAGGGAGATCACTTCATGATGACAATACACCTTATAACGTGATCCTGACACCACCTGTGCATGAGCATATTCATAGGAGAATTTCAAAGCTTCTTCTTAGTGTGCCCCAACTGAATCCATGCCATCTGCACTTGCACCAAGCCCCATCAAATAACCTTCCCAATCTTGCGTATTCTGTCTCTTAACCTTACTACTAGAATTAAACTCTACCCATAATGTTAATTTTATCTAGAAAAAATTGTGAGGCATAAATTTCATTTATTGGCCAACATCAGTCTCAACTATGAAAAATCGTCAACCAGTTTAATTAAATGACTGATTGGAATTTTTTAAGGGGGGAAAAAAGAAAAGAATTTGAGTCTGGGATGTAGCTCAATGGTAAGCTCTTGCCTAGAGTGTACAAAGTCCTTGTTATAAAAAGACAAAAAGAATTTGTGATGAAATGTTTTTGGCTTTAAGGGTTCGCTAACAATTCCTGTACAAATGACCTTTCAATATTCTGAACACAGTGATTCTCATTGAAACTATAGTAGCATCATAATATTTACAGATTTGCCCACAAGCTGAATTCCTTTCAGATATAACTTGGACTGACTGATTTGTGTGCAAAATTTGAACTTGGTTCCTTACTGTGATATAAAAGCTATGTCTACCCTTTTTTCACACCAGTATTAGATCTGGCTCACTGACTTTCCCAGCTGCTCTAATAATTAACATGTTTCCTACTTTGAAGCATTTCTGATTAACCACATCTCTTTTCATTATCATAAGACACCTACTATAAACCAAAAACTACTGATAAACTGAAATGGTAAACTCATTTCAGGAATAGGATTGCCTTTTGCTTTCTTTCTTCGTGTGTGTGTGTGTGTGTGTGTGTGTGTGTGTGTGTGTGTCCTGTCTAGCAGGACCTCATGACTGCTAGACAAGTGCTCTACCACTGAGCTGTATCCCCAGCATTTTTTTTCCCTTTTACTACACCATGCTTTATCAAGACTCATACAAAATTTGTCTTTATTTTAAAATGGTTCATTCATTCATTTTGGGATGGATCTTGACATGTTACCCAGGCCAGCCTTGAACACCTGGGTTCAAGCAATGCTCTTGTCTCAGTCTCCCAAATAGCTGGGACTACAGGCACCCAGGTTTATGGTCGATTTTTACAAATGGACCACCACAGGATAGCTCTATGCTGCCAGGCTGCTATGACTTTGGTGTCCTGGCTGACTTTGGTGTCCTAGTTTGCAGCACAGAGGCTAACTCGTTCTCTGGCACTAGGTTTTCATCTGGAACAACACTTGAGTGAAGTGGCACTGCAGACAGCCCTGGCGAGCTCCTCAAGGCACTATGCTGGCCGGTCCTTCCAGATATTCCGGGCCCTCAAGCAGCCTCTGTCTGCACATGCCTTGTCTGACCTCCTGTCTCGACTGGTGGAGGTGATCGGAGAACACGGAGATGAGATTCAGGTATAGAAGGGAAGACCACTGAGCTCATGAAGGCTGAGCTCTTTGAATTCAAATGAGAGGAGTTAACTTTCTTTGATCCTTCTCTTTCACTCATTAAATCATCCATTTGAACAATTTAAAAAATTAGAATTTGGCCTTTGTATTTCCAAAATTCAGTCCTGGGGCATTGTTCTAGAAATTCAATGAATACTATTCTGTTTATAAAACAAATGGCTGAAAAATCTGTTTGGATCCTTTTTTGGGGGGGGTGGGGGGGTTTATTTGGCAGAGGGAACATAGGTTATTTTGTATTGTTTGGGGGTTTTACCATCCATTGAGGATGCAGGACTCAATCTCTGCACACACAGCAAGCATCTCCATTGTATCTGTGCAAAGTCCTACCCTTCCCTGTATGGTCATTCTTCAGTAGACTGGAAGAGTTGGAGATGGAATGGGGTCGCTGCCACAGGAAGACCCTACTGTAGGAGACCCAGAGACTGGGGAGCTGAATGGTTTGAAAGCTAAGGGCATTACAAGCTCTGTGGCTTGGGCCAAGCCCTTTTTTCCCATTGACATATTCCTGCATCTCAGGAAACCTGCACAAACCTATGGACTCTACCTTTTTCTCCTCCTTCTGGCAACAAAGTGCAGGCAAATGCCTCTGAGGCAAACCTCTTCTTAGGCACACTTCTTACACCTCATCTCTTCCTATCAGACACTATCCGTTGCCCACGCTATTCCTCAGCAGGGGGCCATTCTTCCCCCTTCCCCTTCCCCACCTCCTCCCGCCACCACTCCTGCCCACCTTGGATTTCAAACCTCATTGAAGCTGTCAGACATAGAGAAATACATCCTTATTATCAGCTAACTCCTAAGACATCTGAATTTCCTAAATAGTCTTAAAAATTTGTTTTTAGATTTTTGTGATTTAAAGCAACAATGATTGTGTAGCTTTCAGATCTAATGATATTACTGGAATAAAGTTTGCATTAATTAAGTTTATCCTCAGAAAGTTAACAGTGACTGTAAGCAGCACAAAATGTAATCTTTGCATGTTTGGCAGGGTTATGTAATGGAAGCCCTTCTGACCTTGGAGGCTGCTGTGGATAACTTATCTGACTGCTTGAAGAACAGTGATCTCTTAACTGTTTTATCTCGGTGAGAATCAGTTCACTGACATTATGTAATCAAATTTACTGCACTGAATATTTGGGAGATGCTGAATTTGTGACAGAGTACAAAGAGAAAATTTCATTTTTGAAGTCTATATATGACCTGAAAAGTATGTATGGTATTTCCTAAAGTTAAAAAAGGAAGTTATAATATACATATATACACATTTTACAAATATTTTTAAATGTCAGAAGACAGACACCAAATATTATCTCTGCATTGATACAAATATTAATGATTTTTCACTTTTTCATGTCCTTGAATACTTTTTGTGGGGGTGGGGGGAGGGTGAATACTGGGGGTTGAATCCAGGGGTACTTTACAACTGAGCTACATCCCCAGTCCTTTTATTTTATTTTTTATTTTGAGACGGGTCCTCACTAAGTTACTGAGGGTCTCACTATTGTTGCCAAAGGTGGCCGTGGAACTTGTGATCCTCCTGCCTCAGCCTCCCAAATTGCTGGGATTATAGGCATTGGTAAACAGAAACTAAAACTAAACAATATTTTTAAATGAACATATACAAAGCTCAGCTGAACTATTCCTATTAAAACTGTTGGAATAAATGTTGACTTTACTTAAAAGAAATTCCTGCTTTTTTTGTTGTTGTTGCTGCCAATATTTAGAAAACTCATTTGAAATATTCATGAACCCAGGTTGTATAATTGAGCTCATCTTTCTTGAAATTGAGCCAGTAAAGGTTGTACTTGTCAAGGTTTGTTTTTCGTAGCTTAAAGTTTAAGGATAAGGAAAAAAGAAATTAGAAGAAAGTAGCATTTATTTCCAAAGAATATTTCCCCTTCTTTAGTGTTTCCTAGGGACTTGAGTGGACTTCACTTTTAGTGAAGCTTGTGGGCACTCCACTGAACGAATTTATTTATTTTGTAATTTGAACTTATTTGTTTTTATACCCAGCTCTTCATCACCAGATTTAAGCTCCAGCACTAAACTAACCGCAAGCAGAAAGAGCACAGGGCAACTAAATGTGAACCCAGGAGCTGCCGGTGGCAACACCACAACTGCAGAACGGAGTCGGCATCAAAGAAGCTTCTCTGTGCCCAAGAAGTTTGGTGTGGTTGACCGATCCTCTGACCCACCTCGAAGTGCCACCCTGGACAGAATCCAGGCTTGTACCCAACAGGGTCTTTCCTCAAAAACCAGAAGCTCCTCCTCTTTGAAGGACAGTCTTACGGACCCATCCCACATAAATCATCCCACCAACCTGTTGGCCACCATCTTCTGGGTCACAGTGGCCTTGATGGAGTCTGACTTTGAGTTTGAGTACCTAATGGCCTTAAGGCTGTTGAATCGACTACTAGCACATATGCCACTTGATAAAGCTGAGAACCGAGAAAAACTTGAGAAACTCCAGGCCCAGCTCAAGTGGGCTGACTTCTCAGGGTTGCAGCAGCTGCTGCTGAAGGGATTCACATCTCTCACCACGACCGACCTGACCCTGCAACTTTTCAGCTTGCTGACCCCAGTGTCCAAAGTATCCATGGTGGATTCATCCCAAGCTATCGGTAAAGCCAACTCACTCACTCTCTCAATGCTCGTGGTGGGATTTATCTTTAGTGGAATAAGATGATATGGATTTACTGCTTTTAATAGTTTTGCTAAGAAATGGTTCTTTAGGAATAGCTACTTTTGTTTTGTATTGTTTTCTTTTAAAATTCCATTTAATAGGGTTGGGGATGTGGTAGAGCACGTGCATGTGCAAGACTCGAGGTTTGGTGGCCAGCACTGTCTTTATATCGTAGAAGATATTTCAAGGCAGTAAATTAAAAGAGCAGTGCAGTGAACTTTCCTCTTAGAACCACCTTCATAGTGTCCCAGAGATTTTGATCTGTTATGTCTCTATTCTTATTTATCTCTAAGTATTTTTTTTATTTCATCCCTGGTTTCTTCAGCTGTCCATTGGTCATTCAATAGTATGATATTTTTAGTCTCCAGGTGTTAGAGCAGCTTCTATTTTTTATGTTATTGTTGATTTCTAACTTCATTCCCTTAGGATCTGATAAAATGCAAGGTTTAATCTCTATTTCTTTGTATTTGCTCAGAGTTGCTTTGTGGCATAAGATAATGGTCTGTTTTAGAGAAGGATCTGTGTGCTGCTGAGAAGAAAATGTATTCAGTCATTGATGAATGAAATATTCTATATATGTCTGCTAAGTCTAAATTATTAATTATATTTTTTAGTTCTACAGCTTCTTTATTTAGTTTTTGTTTGGAAGATCTATTGAGTTGTGAGAGAAGTGTGTTAAAGTCACCCAGTATTATTTTGTTACGATCTATTTGATTCTCAAAGTTGTGAAGGGTTTGTTTGGTATATGTTGAACCTCTTTTTTTCTTTTATTTATTTATTTATTTATTTTTACTTGTTCTTTTTAGATATACAAGACAGTAGAATGTATTTTGACGTATTATATATACATGGAATATTCCTTTGCTCTTATACAGACTATTTTTCCTATTTTTTTCAACTCCCAAATCTTTTAATTATTTATTGCTTTTCTTTTCCTCTTTAAAATTTTATTGATTCCCTATTGTTTTGAATTAAAACAAATCAACACACCAGATTTTTAATACCATGGCAAATAGCCCAGAATTCATTTCATGAACTAGATTTTAACTCAGAGATACTAGGCCATTCCTCATTATTTGAAAAAGTCTTTACTGAGCCGAGCTGGGTGGCGCATGCCTATAATCCCAGTGACTCAGGAGACTGAGGCAGAAAGATTGCAAGTTCAAAGCCAGCCTCAGCCATTTAGTTAGGCTCTATGCTACTTCATCTCAAAATGAAAAATGACTGGGGATGTGGCTCAGTGGTAAAGCACCCCTGGGTTCAATCTCCAATAAGTCTTTATAATTCTGTGACTAAGACTTAAATTGGTTGATCTATGTCCTTTTGTACCAGCTTTTCTTAAAATGTGTTTTGATAAAAATTTCAAATTAGTGTTTCAGCTCAATTCAGTCTGTTCCAATAAAATCTGTGCCGTCATTCTTCATTCACAAAGAATCCATCACAAGATGACAAATGTATGTTAAAATTGCAAATCTACTTTGGTGCCTCCTTTATAATTATTGCCATTGTGATTGTCTGTTTTTCATGGATTTTTGTGTTAGGTCATATTTAAGCTGCTTCCAAAGACTGCTTTTGTATCACTGCAGAATAAAACCTATAATGTGCCTGTCCACTGTCACCAGTTAAAATGTCCTGTATTTAGCTATCTTCATTGTATCTTCTCTAATCCAGGGTTTCCACTGAATGTCTTGTGTCTCCTGCCCCAGCTGATCCAGAATTTTGAAAATCCCAATCAGTTCTGTAAAGATATAGCCGAAAGGATTGCTCAGGTATGAGTTTCAGTTCCACATTCAGGCAAGTCCATATGGGCCTGCAGGAAGGCCCAGTGTCAGTCAGAAATGACCAGGCCCAGGGAAGCCAGTGATTTTTCTCAAATGTGAGTGTCTGATGCATACTGTCTTCTTTGATTATTAAGAAAAACAAGTGGAAAGAACTTTTGGAAATTGTATTAGCTAATTACTAAGTTAAGCCCTGCTGTGACTACCACAAGTTCTGTCAGTCTTCTTTCCAGACTATCAGGATTTATAGCAAAATTTGCTAACATTTCTTCCTTTCATTGGAATACTTTATCCTTAATTGCTTTTCTTATCTTAAAAGGTTTGTTTGGAAGAGAAAAACCCTAAACTTTCAAATCTTGCACACGTTATGACTCTTTATAAAACACACAGCTATACAAGGGACTGTGCCACGTGGGTCAATGTGGTCTGTCGATACCTTCACGAAGCATATGCTGACATTACCTTGAACATGGTCACCTACCTGGCAGAGGTAAGCTTTAAACTAAGGATAACATCCATTATAGCGTCTCTGGTTAAATATTCATATGGAACTGATAATATACCCTCAACTTCTGTTTATTGAGTCCCTGCTACATATTATTATAGATACTAATGGAAGCATCTCAAATCTTCACAACAAGCCAGTGATGTGGTTATTATTATAATAAAGAATCTGAGGCTCTGCCAGGTTAAGTTTAAGGTGGCAGAGCAGGTCTTTGATCCCAGATCTAGCTACTTCCAAAGCTTAAACTCCTGTTTATTAATACCTATCAGCATGACAGAGATGTGAAAATCTTATCCTAATTATTCTGAGTGTTCAAATCTTATTTAAGGAGTTACTGTGTATCTTGATGTGTTTAATGGTTGTTTGCTCTGAAGTAATTAACAAAAAATACCTCCTAAAATAAAAGTGTTTATCATTACCTTTTTTTTTAATCAAATTGGAATGTATTTGTAGCACAAACATTACAACCCAAACTCTAATTTTCTGTTTCTGTTTGTGCTAGAAATATATAGCATTTCACAGGTAGTCCTATGGTCCCAACAAATTTAATATGCAAGGTCATAAAGTCCTTATCCAAAGAGATAAGGGCAATCTATCCTAACTTTTCTTTTAGTTATATCACCAATATAGGTTTCAAATAAGTTAAAAAGTCAACCATTCCTCAAAGCCTCTACAAGACTGAATGGTTCAGGCTGGGGCTGTGTAGTTCAGTGGTAGAATGCCTGCCTCACAAGTGTCAGGCACTGGGTTCAATCCTCAGCACATAAAGATATTGTGTCCATCTACAACTAAAAAAATTTTTTTTTAAATTGAAAGTATCTATGTAGCATAAGGTACAAACCCATAAAACAATATTTGCAGTTGACCCTGCAGGATTCTGCCTGACAGTATGGATCAGCAATCTATGGGCTACATCAGACCATCAGCAGTCCAGGATTTATTTACTCTTTCCCCACCTGCATACCTAGTATTTTAAGGATCTCTCAAAGTGCCACTCCAGTGCTTTTGATAATCACCTGGTCACAGTTGTCCCTACACATACCTCGGCACACAATAAGTACTGGGAGAACTGTCACAAACATCCTGTTTACAAGGCAAATAATGGTGCCTGTTTTAAAAGAAGATATAGTGTGTGATAGAATAGAAAGAGGCAATATTTGTTTGGAATACTAACCATGATAGTTTCAAAAGTGTAAATGGAAGGTGGGACACACACACAATGGAATATCATTAGCCTCAAGAGACAGAAATTCTGACACATGTTTCACCATAGATGAGCCTTGAGTACATAATGCTAAGTGAAATAAGCCAGATACAAAAGGAAAATATCATGATTCAACACACTTGAGGCACATAGATTAGGCAAATCTATAGGAGCAGAATATATATATATATATATTGATTACCAGGAGCTGGGGGCAGTAGGTAGGAGATAGTTATTTTATTGGTATAGAATCTCAGTATGGAGTGATGAGCAAGTCCTGGAAGTACATAATGATGGCTGCACAGCAATGTGAATTGATACCACTGAATTGCACACTTAAACATGGTTAAAATGGTTATGATGTGTACTTCACCACACACAAAAAAAATATATATTAAAATAAGTCACCTAATTTGTTCTGTTCTGCCCTTATCACAAAATTGTCACCAAAAATTTTTATTATGAACTTACCCAACTTTCCATCATATATAATCCAATTAACGTCTGTTTCAGTTACCTGTTTTTTCAGGTCTTAGCCATGCACATATGTCTAACTGTGTGGCAGTGGGCAGTCCTTGCATTGCACCTGCTCTGTTTATGCTAATTCTGTGTATATCTCCATGTGTTGACCTAACTCACAGGATGCTGTTTTGAATAACCCTGGAATTCTGTCAGGTTCATGTAAAACTTCAATCGTTTCCCTTTTGTTGCTTATGTTCATAATTCATTCTATTAGAGGGGGTCCTGTTATGTAGATCTTTTATCAAATGATATTTGATATTTTATCAAGTGATCACTTATATTATCTAAAAATATCAAGTGATCCCTTTTCCCAAAGTATAATTACCCAGTCAAAAGACACGACTATGTGGGTATGTTACTACATTTGAAAAATTGGTCTCCACAGAGAATTTCCTAATTACAATACTAACATGTATAAATATTTTTTGTGTGGCTATATTCCTACTAAATTTTGTCACTGCAGGTATTCATTTTTCTGTATGATGCTTTTTATAAATATTGTCAGATTATTTTCCTTATGTATTTCCTTTCTGGTGAAGATATTCAATTTTCCACACAATGGATTTACGTAACTGTTTACTTCCTCCTGTGTGAGCTGTTCTGTTATTTCCTTTGACCACTTTTGATGTGGAATTTCAGGATTTATTTGTCTCATTTCTATCAATCCTTTATTTTGAATAGCAAACTTTTATCATGATGCCTAACATAAATATTTTCTCACTATTCTGTTTTTCTTTGAGACAATATCATTGGCTTTTTTCCTGATTATAAAAGGAAAAAAAAAAGCTCATAACAGAAAATTTGGAAGGTCCAGAACATTATTTTTAAAATAAAGAAAAAGCATCACCCAAAATTATTTTATTTAGAGAGAAATACTATTTCTGTACAACAAACATATCCATTTCAGTTTTGGCATCAACTGTTGTTATGCAGCTAATCTGTATGCTCTTTGTCCATGTTTTTTATTGGTGTATCCTAGTTGTAAGTAGTGGCAGGATTCATTGTTACATCTTTATACATGTGCACAATATAATTTGGCCAATATCATTTCCCAGCATTTCCCCATTCTCTCCCCTCCTCCCTGCCCCTGATCCCTTTGCTCTCTATTTTACTGAACTCCCTTTGATTTCAACGAGATCTGCCCCCACCTTTCTCTTCCTTTTTCCTCTCTCTAGCTTCCACATATGAGAGGGAACATATGACCCTTGACCTTCTGAGTTTGGCTTATTTCACTTATTTCATAGTGGTCTCTAGTTTCATCCACTTTCCTGCAAATGACATAATGTCATTGTTCTTTATGGCTGAATAAAACTCCACTGTGTATTTTTTTTTTTTATCCATTCATCCATTTATGGACACCTAGGCTGGTTCTGTAAGACAATTATATATGCTTTGTCTTCAACTTAATATCATCTAATATGCTTTGCTGTCTTTAAAACATTATTCTATTAACTACATAATAGTTCACAATGTAATTTACTATTAATTTATATATCAATTTCCCTGATGTTCAATATTTAATTTGCTTGTAGTGCTTTCTTGTTTTGTGTATGCTTTTTTAACCATTTAATTACAGAAATCTCATACATTCACTCTGATTTCATAGTGTTTATCTCTGGTTTTGGAAAGAAATGTTCCTAAGAGTGTAAATATTATTCTAAAAATATGGACCTCTTTATTGCTCATGATCTCAAATAACAAATTATCCAATTTACATTTCTACTGATGTATAAGAATACCTAATTCCTTTTCTCCTTACCAATACTAAATATTGCCAGTTTCTAATCTTTGCCAATTTCATAACTGAAAAATTATATTGCAATTTATAATTTATATAATTTATACAATTTATAATTGTTGATTAATGTTGTTTGATGCTTTCCTTTTGAGATTAATTTTTTTAATATTACATGTGTACATTTTATGATGTCCCTGTGCCTTTGATGATATCTCCATTTCCTCAGAAGTTAGGATCTTTTATTTTCCCTCCTAATATGCAATGGTAAAGATCTGGGGAAACCTGGGTGCTTCTATGGGAAAGTCCTGTGTAGAGCTGACTTCACCTGCACTTTACCTCCCACAGTTGCTGGAGAAAGGTCTCCCCAGTATGCAACAGCCCCTCCTCCAAGTGATCTACAGTCTGCTCAGCTACATGGACCTTTCTGTTGTTCCTGTCAAGCAGTTTAATGTGGAAGTTCTTAAGACTATTGAAAAATACGTGCAAGTGAGTATCTGCATAAGTTTACTTATCAGCAGAGTCAATCCAAAAAGACTGAGACTTGTCTATAATTTGTCCTTGGGTACAAAGCCTTATGGGCACTAGATCATGTATTCATTCCTTGGTATCCATGACAAAGGAAGGGCAGTCCAGCCGGGTGGTTGACGGCATCCTGAGTGGCACTCTGAGAAGACAGATGAGGCCTTGGCACATTCCTGACCTTCAGAGGGCACAGTTCTGCCTACTGGGGCTTGTAGGCTGCATATTAAAAGCACACACCTGGCTGGGAGGGCAGGGGCAGATCTTATTTCTGGTATCTCATTTCAAAGGAGGAGGAGGGACAAGGAACTTGTATGCGTGCCATGTACCAGGTTCCAGACCAGGTGCCTCAACATGTGAAAAGTTACTCAGCAGTTAAAATCCCCACTAAGGTTAAGCCAACTAAGGTTAAGATACTTGCATAAATGTTCTTTAAAACACTCCAACTGTTTATTGAGATCATAAGTAAAATGACAATGCGAATAACTAATAAGAGTGTCTGGAGGTTCATTATGCTAGTCTCTGTTTCTGTGTTATTCTAATATTTCCATCATAAACAGTCTTGAAAGATTTAATAAAAACAAAAATCAACCAGAGACTGGCCCCAAGATCTCAGTTAGTAGAGGGTGGAGCTGGTATTTGAATCTGGCTCCAAAGTCATTTCTTTTGTTTCACTGAACCAGGCACCCAGCACAGCAGGACACTTGGTGAACATCAATAAACACCTACAGAATGTTTCTTTAAAGCCATATCCTGAGACTCCCCAACTGGGTGGGGGAAGAGGTGGGGATTAATAGAAATAAAATAAAAATATAAGTAGATCTCAAAGGAGCAAAGAGAGCAGAAACCGTTTCTAGAGCCTAGAAGTTTATCTGAAGCACACACCACAGACTGAACATAGGGAGCGCAGGCTTCTCCACATCTAGTTGTTCCTCTCTTTCTTCTCAGGAGTGTGCGTGGAGAGTTGCAGAATTCAAGAGCAAACACTAGGCTTGCTCTGGCAAATCTCACTGACAGGTAGTGTAAAGTTTAGATATTCCTTTCCATCTCCACCAATGACAATTACTAGAATTATTTAATGCTAAAAGTTGTTTATTTTTTTTTCTTCACTTTTAAAGTGCCAATGATAGTTGCGCCACAAGATAGGCATTCATTCAATAAGAATTTCAGCACTCACGGAATGAGGGGGTCAGCTACATCTTTCTATTAATCATGTGGCCCGTTTTCTTGTTGTATTAGTAGGATGTTCACTCTGTCCTGGGCTTGCAGGCCATCTCTGGTACTTAATTTCTTATCTTGAATAATGGCTAATTTCATATTTAATCCATGATTTCCCTTGTGCAGAATTTAAGGAAGGAGATGTATTTTATTTATTATTATAAAAATAATTACAATTGTTATTAAGTTGCTTTAACTATGTTCAATATTTTTGTGGGGGAAGTACCTCTTCCCACAAGTCAAGAAAACAAAGATGGTAAAACAAACTAATTGTTAAAGAAGAGCAGGAAGTTGATATATATTAAGGAAAGGAAAAGCATTCCAGGATGAGGGGATAGCATAAGGAAAGGCACAGAGGCCAAAGAGACCTTGCCTGGCCTAAGGTACTCTAGTAGTAGCTGCATGGAATGAGATCTGCAGGTCATGCTCAGAGTGTGGACACCACCCTGTCCACTAGAGGGAGCCATTGAAGCATGGAGATAGAGACTCTCTGAGAGCCTACTCTGAAGAGTTCTAGAAAGATCAGGGTAGCTGATTCTAAGGCTAGTTAAGGGGCCATTGAAATAATCTGGGCAGGGCCAGAGAGAATTCCACTGAGTTTAAACAGGGAAAGAAATATCAAAGGGAAAGGTAGGAGGAGTTAAGAAGAGCTTCCAGAATCCTGTGTTAGGTAACAAGAAAGATATGAAGTGAGAAAAGAGATCAAGAGGCCCAGGAATAAAATGGAGCAAGAAGACCCAAAGAAGTCAAAGGATCAAGGAAGACTGAAACCTAGAACCTGGAGGGGGGAGAACTTTGAGAAAGAGTGAATAGTCAACAGCATAACATTTTAGCATTGGGAGCTTTTTTTTTTTTTTTTAATCAAATTAAGGAGGTAGCTCCTTGGCAAAAATTGTACTTGTGATTTTTTTAACTTTATTCATTTGAATACAGACAAAGTGAGTCTTTTTTATTTGCTTATTTCCTAAATGTAGCTCATTTTAGATATAAATGGTCTACTTATATCATTCGCCTTTTACTTATCATGGAATTCCCTACATGTTTTAAGTCAGTCAATTTCAGCAGCAGTTAGCTTTCCAAAATGAAGTTGTTTTTAACCTTGAGTGTTTTATTTCTTACAGAGCATTCACTGGAGAGAGGCTTTGAATATCTTAAAGTTGGTCGTGTCTCGATCGGCCAGCCTGGTGTTGCCTTCCTACCAGCACAGTGACCTCTCAAAGATAGAAATACATCGTGTGTGGACTAGTGCTTCCAAGGAACTACCTGGAAAAACCCTGGACTTTCACTTTGACATTTCAGAGGTACTTAACTTTGTTAGCTGTTTCTGTGAACTTCAGCATGAACTTATGATGGCAAAAGTTACAAGTAATTTCCTGGAGAAGGGAAGACTTATATTTATTATAAACAAAGACTGCAAAGGTCTAAATTTGGTTCCATTCTATTAAGAACACACTGAAGGGCTGAGGATGAGCATGTATAAGCCCCTGTGTTTGATGCAAAGCACCATGAAAAAAAAAAAAAAAGAAAGAAAAGAAAACTGAATTTCATATTCTCTGGGGCTCACAATTGGCAGCTTTAAGAAACAGAATCTAACCTAGCTGGGTGTGGTGATGCACGCCTGTAATCCCAGCAGCTCAGGAGGCTAAGATAGGAGGATTGTGAGTTCAAAGCCAGCCTCAGCAACAGTGAAGCACTAAGCAACTCAGTGAGACTCTGTCTCTAAATAAAATACAAAATAGGGCTAAGGATGTGGCTCAGTGGCCAAGTACCCATGAGTTCAAAACCTGGTACCAAAAAGAAAAAAAAAAAAGAAACCTCAGTTATATGAAAAACAATTTTTTAGAAAGCTACTTTAAAATGGAATATTAAACATTGTAAGCCATGTCACTCATTCTTTATCTTACAAGTATCATGTCATATCTTTCTAGCCATAACCTTTTTCTCCGATCTATACCAGATCCATAAATGACTGCAGTTTGGAATTACAGGAATATGGAATCCACATTTATGGTTGCCTTGAACAGGGTAAGGGAAAGAGAAATTAAGAACCCATGCTACAGAATTGAGGAAAAAAAGAAAGGACAAAAAATGGTCAGATTTACCTGCTGCTTCCTGAGCCGACCTTTGGGTGCCTGTACTTAATTAAGTCTAAAGTATAACATAACTTGACTTTTGTATCTCTTATCCCATGACCCATGTAGCATGCCCCCTCCAAAGCAGAAACTACTCTGCTGATATTTATAATCAGAGCCTGGTGGTACCATGTCTGGTGCACAGAGATTGTTAACAATTATTTCCAAACACTGCTGAATTAATGCATTCCCCAAGAGTGGAGAAAAAAACGGGATCTGCTTATGTGGAACCCTCTTGCACTCTTAAATAGGTTACATCCAGGTTGCTTCTTTGACACAATAGTATTCACTGACTTCTTGTTTCAGTATTTGAGATGAGATACCCTTGCTGCACTGTGACGCCTGCATCTATATTTAGTATATAAATAATATTAAGATATTGATTCAATCTCTATGCATCATTTTTACTTGCTAGGGAGAAAGTTATTTTTATTCTTAGACTTGCGTTTATTCTACTCCCAAGAGATATAATATATAAATAGCCAGTTAGCTGCATCCCTCAACACACAGAGACCCAGAAATACTCCAGAATGATGAGCCTTAGGAGCCAGGTGTAAAATTACCAGTCAGTTCCTGCCACCTCTGAGGACAGGCCTGTGAGCTGGTGTCTGCAGCAGAGACCTTCCTGGGACTCAAGTTTGGGAGGCACTGTCTACCACACCCCAAGGCTTTCAGGAAGTGGAAGTTCTAAAGTGTTGCCCAAGTACCTGGTTCTGACCTCATCCATTTAAATAAAATTGAAAAGATACACATAATGTAACCTTTTAAAAATGAAGAGTACCAGGCACAGTGGCACATGCTTGTAATCCCAGGAGCTCAGAGGCTGAGGCAGGAGGATCATGAGTTCAAAGCCAGCCTCAGCAATGGTGAGGTGCTAAGCAACTGAGACCCTGTCTCTGAAGAAAATGCAAAATAGGGCTGGGGATGTGGCTCAGAGGTTGAGTGCCCCTGAGTTCAATTCTAGTACCAAAAAAAAAAAAAACCTTTAAAAAAAAATGAAGAGTATTTAAAGATTGATGATTAGCGGTTGGAGAGAGGGGAAGGAATTTTAGCCTTTCATTATAACTGGCAGAAGCTCTTCCTTATAGTTAAACGTCTGAAAACTGTTAGCTTTCCTCCATGTTTTGCATCTAATCTTTTCAGTGGTTTCTAAAGCATATTAAAGAACAAGTTCTTGAATTTGTTTTCTACTGCTAAAGAGGATGGGAAAATATTGAAGATAAAAAATGATTCAGAATGTATATTTGAACATTAGGGAAATGAGCTTATATGTAACACTGAACTTCTAGGACCTGCTTTGAATCACTTGAGCATTTTTCAGTTGCTGCTGGGTAGAACAGTCCCATTTTATATACCACAGAATTATTAATGAGATGGAAGAATGAGTGTTTTGTGGTTTTTTTCTCCAGACACCAATCATTGGGAGGCAGTATGATGAACTACAGAATTCTTCTGGGCGTGATGGGAAGCCTAGGGCCATGGCAGTTACCCGGAGCACATCATCCACCTCATCAGGCTCCAATTCCAATGTTCTTGTTCCAGTCAGCTGGAAAAGGCCTCAGTATTCTCAGGTATACAATCCTAGACATGCATTGTTAGAAGGCAGTTTAGAGGACCTACCGAGTCCAGCTGCCCATGTGATATTGGATTCCTCCATGCCCACTCACAACATTTTTTCATCCAGACAGCAACACTTCCAGTGATGAGTCTCACAGCATTCTGAGGACACCCATTTTATCTTTGAACAGCTCATTATGTGGAGTTGAAGTCGGACTCTGTTACTTCTACTCATTGATTCTAGTTTTCTTAAGGCTTAGAAAACAAAAATCTTTCACATTGTAGCAGCCCTTCAAACAGTCAATTCCATGGGTTTTAGACACCCAAAGAGTCAATAGGGCTGTACACTAAAAGACCATTCTGGCTCCTCTTAGGAGCATCGACTTTAATCATGATCTCCATGCATAGGCTGAGTGGAGGGGGCTGCTAGACTTCTCTGTAGTTTGATTATATAGCCTAGGACTGTATTCAGTTTACAGATGACTGTGTCAAAGTACTGATGTCATTGGGCTTAGTCAGGTAAAACACTGCATTATTCAAAAGTCTTTTAGTGCTGTAGCAGAAATCCACTGAAAATTTTCCTGAAGTAGAAAAGGAATTAAACCATCTGTGTTAGTCACTTTTGTGCACTCCTACCAAATCCTGAGAGAATCAACTTATAAAGAAGAAAGCTTTATTTTGGCTCATGATTTCAGAGTTTCAGTCTGGTCACGTGGCTCTATTCCCTTGGACCTGTGATGGCACAGTACCTCATGGCAGGTGTATGTGGCAGAGGAGGTACCCAATCACCTCATGGCAGCCAGTAAGCAAAGGAAGAAAGGAAAGGGCTAAGACCCTCAAAAGACCCTTCATGGGCATGCCCCCAGTAACCTAACCGATTTCTACTCTTTAAGAGGTTCCCACCACCTCCCAAGAGCACTATAGGCTAATGCCCAAACCTTTAACACATGGGGACATTCAAGATCTAAACTATAGTACCACCTAACTTGGCTTCAAACAGCTGGATCCTGACAAAGGTCAGGAACAAGAGCTTTAGATTCTTCTTCTCACTGTCCCCACCTTCCCTTTACAAAGTCTTGCCCCCATATTTTCCCATCTGTTGACTTCATTCTCAGGTTGGCTCTTTACATGGAGGCAGCAATGACCTCTGAGTCTCCAGGTTCTCTTGGCCTTCGGCTATGGTGATTTCAGATGAGCAAGGCCGTCCCTCTTCTGTAATCCATAGCAGTTCTAAAAAAAAAAAAAAAAAATGAGGACACTTACAGGGTGTGTGATGGTGTCAAAGGACTGGGAGAGGAGCCCTTCCCCAGAATGAAAAGAGAAACTAGAGTATCAGAAGACGGTGAAATGGGTGCTGGGAAGGAAAAACACATTTTTTTTTTTTTTTTTTTTTTTTGCATGCCCAACAGTATTCACCTTCATTCTCAAAAGTTTGGAAAATGGAACATACGGCACAAGCCGGCTGGAGCACAGCAGATTCTTAGTGAGCACTAAGTTGTTGAAAATGGGGGGAAAAAAGAAAAATGTATAACCCTTGTCCATGTTTCACTTAATTGATTTATTAAGAGAATTATACAGAATTATACAGTGACACTAAGACTTGGAGAATCATTGAGCAAATCTCCTGCTGCCACCACTCAACATCAAGGTTCTCCAGTCTCTGACTTTGAAATGACACCATATTGGGTGTCTCTTCTGTAATCTGGATGGATGGAGTGAACCAAGTACCAATGGGAAGGAAAATCTAAGAATGTACATTCTACATAAAAAACATGAGTCAGACTGAAGGGGAGAAAACCATTTTAAAGACATTAAGATTGCTAGAAGAGCTATTCTGAAGTTCAATAACGTTTTCTAGGCTCTGGTTAATACATTTTTTCATTCTTAGCCTTCCATTCATTCTGAGACCAAGTTATCTCATTGAAATATATGGTTTACAGAAGAATCCCTATGCCTAGGGGGCTGGAAAATAAGGTTTACAAAGAAAAAAAAAAGAATTATATCTATTTAAAATTAATCCAGAAAGATTTTATATGGCTTATGAATAATTGAATGTTTTCATTCTGCAGAAAGTAGTTATTCTCTCATTTTGAGGAAAGAAGACTTGTCCTATAACAGAATATATTTAATTTGGATGTTGTAACATACAAGAAAATTATCAAGGAAAGAGATGGATATTCATGTAAGAACCTAGGGACTTGGTTATCCCACTTCTTGGGATAACTTAGGTCAGCAATATCCATAGAAACATAATACAAATCTCATCTTAAATGTTGCAATAGTCATCTTAAAAGAAAAAAAAGTAAAAAGAAACTGGACTGGGGTACAGCTAGTGGTAAAGAACTTGCCTGGCATGTGCAAGGCCTAGATTCAGTCCCAGCATGGCTAAATAAATAACTAGAAACAAGCAAATTTAATTATAACAACATTTTACATTATTGATGAGATAGCCTACTTTTTTCATACTGAGCCTTGTGTTTTTTAAAATCTCAGTTCTGAGTGGCCCCATTTCAAGCACGATTGCCCACCCTTTGTGGTTAGTGGCTACAATATTAGAGCCGATTTACTTGCAGGACCCCATAATAAAAACCTGCCTTGTGTTTCTTTTGCAGAAGAGGACAAAAGAAAAGTTGGTGCACGTCCTTTCTCTGTGTGGCCAAGAAGTAGGATTAAGCAAAAACCCATCCGTAAGTCCTAGCATACATCACGGTTATTTTGTTATGTATGGTCTTTTGGTTTACTCTATTTTTGCCATTGATCATATAGTTTAAGATTCTATCATGAAAAACAAGGATGATATCCATCATCTACACCAAACCCATGGATTATTCCTCCCCATTTCATGATTTTTAATCTCACTTATTTAGAAACAAGGAAAATATTTATTGGCTCTAATTCCTCTTGGATATAATTTTACTCTGGACACCCATACCTTGCTGTGATGTCATTATTTTACTCATGTACAGTAAAGATGAAAATAATGACAAAACTTAGCATGTTGTAGAAACATTATATTGTTAACATCACAATGCTTAAAAAATAAACATTGCAAAGTTTTTAGTGATTTTTTTTTTCTCATTAACTTTCACTGAAAAAAAAAATGCCATTAGGCTTGTGAGTGACATGACTGAAATATATAAGCAAACTTGTGAAGCTTATAAAATTCAGAAATTTAGATTGTGTACACAAACATATTATATAGTACAAATGTCAGGGTATGCTTTCACCAAGAATTTTTATTTCATCTATATCACAGCATCTTTATTATTTATGAAAAAGAAATAGCAAATTAAATGATTTACCAAGTAAGAATTAGAAGAACAATTTCTCTGCAGAGCCATTTTTAAAATCCCATACTCTTAGTACTAATGTTGTTCACAATTAGGTGAAGTGTTAGAGGCTTGTAAGTACTTGCACAAGTACAAATTGATATTTCTTTCCATCTCAAAAGTATCCCATCCATCAACTAAGTGACTTAAGTGGCCTCTGCTTTTTAGATCAGTGGCTTATTGATCCTGTGACATTACTTAGGGCAGAGGGGATGGTGGCAGGGGCAGACAGAGCCTCCTAGCACACAAGGGAGAGAAACAAGAGCATTTTGCCTCTGCAGTGCAGCACAGCCAGTTGGGGCTATTTCTTGCCACTGTGACTGGCACTTCTTCAGGTTCATACTGTCTGCCCCTATGAAAGCCTTTACCAGCTAGAAATATTTACCTGAAGTACTTTACAAATAAGATAAGTTCTTAACTAGGAAAATGAGCCTTCAGCTGAGGAAATCTGAATTCTGTTTCTCCTCTCTCATTGACCAGCTGACTGGCCCTCAGTGCTGTTTATCTCACCTACCCATTTGCAATCCCAGAACAAAATTATGCATCATATACCATTTCCTGAGCATACAGGTTGAATATCCCTTATATATTTTCAATATCCCCCTAAAATGTTTGGGACCAGAAGTATTTCAGGTTTCAGCACTTTGGATTTTGAAATTATTTGCATAGACTTTACGCATTGAGTAACCCTAACCTGAGAATTCAGACTTCATAAAATCTGAAAATTTTGCCAGGCACGATGGTACACACCTGTAATCTCAGCAGCTTGTGAGCCTGAAGCAGAGGATTGCAAGTTCAAAGCCAGCATCAGCTTCAACGAGGCACCAAGCAACTCAGTGAGACCCTGTCTCTAAATAAAATACAAAATAGGGCTAGAGATGTGGTTGAGTGCCCCTGAGTTCAATCCCCAGTACCCTCCCCCCCCCAAAAAATGAATATTTTGATCATGTCAACACTCAAAAAGTTTCAGATTCTGGATTTTCAGATTTGGGGTATTCAACAGTATAGTATATATCTTACAACTTAAACACTAGAGGAAAAAAACTACATTTAAAGTCCCTTTGCTCTTTTTTACTCTAAGAATTTAAATACAACTGACATTTTTTCCATAGACTTCCCCATTTTTCAAAGAAGACTGAAACATAATGGTTACATAAAATCACTGTTAACTTTACTTAATTTCAGCCTATGCTCAGTAGATACTGACTAGCAAAACCTTTAGGTTTATTCAAAGTTCATTGTTTCTACAAAGTGCTATTACAATGGCTCAGTAAAAAAGAAACCTAAATGTAGAATTTTAAAACATTAACATATTACAGATTTGTTTAACTCAAAAGGACAGAAATTTAAGTACAAATTATGGGCATGGTATTCATCTTTTCTGTAATTCCAATGAGAAGTACTATACTTTTGGCTTCTATTTCTTATTCCTTACCAGTTCCTGGTTCATCTCTAAAAGGGCTAAAATCTTTGTTCCTATGGTTCATTCTGTAATAACCCATCATTTATGTGTATTTGACATATACGTGCTTGTGAGTGTGTACAATATCTTATTTTAATTAGGTCAGAAACACTGGAAGACAGTCTTAGTGTTCCAGTTTGTGAACACATGCTCAGTTTTCAGTCTCTCTCACACACACAGTTAGTGTCCCGTCTTTATCCATTAACAGGCAGCAATTCTACTCTTCACCGTTTTCCTGGTGCATGAACTTGCATCTTTGCGAGGAGTTTAATCCAAAGGCACCTGTCCAACATAAATAATAAAAGAACATTCTAAAAATACCCACTTAAGGAATTAGGTGTGTACTGGAAATACAGTGCTATGAAGAGCCAATTACTGTTTTTCATAGCACAAACAACTGAAGGCAGACCAGTTTCTCAGGAGAGGGCTCTTTTGACTCGTAGGTGATTTTTTCCTCGTGTGGGGACTTGGATCTGCTGGAGCATCAGACAAGCCTGGTATCTTCCGAGGACGGCGCCAGGGAACAGGAGAACATGGACGACACAAACAGCGAGCAGCAGTTTAGAGTCTTTAGGGACTTCGATTTCCTAGACGTGGAGCTGGAGGATGGAGAGGTACAGTTACATTCTCTATAAAATAATCCCCTTCGGAACTTGCCCTTGACTAACAAAACTGTCTTTCTACCTGCTAAATAGAACATTTTTGTAACAAGGTCTTTAGCTGGAAAGCTCTAAACTCTGTTTTGAATCAATTTATTCAAAGTACAACAGTTTAACTTTGGCAAAAGTTGCCACACCCTTCCTGAGTCCGAAGCACAGCTGCCAAGTCATTTCTAAATGACAAAGATCTGAGTGGTAACGACCACACAGAGACTGTGTGTTTAGAGTCCAAAGGGGATCTTAAAAAAAAAAAAAAAAAAAAAACACAAAAACACTTCAGTTCTGAGCCTGTTCACTGGCACCTGGGCAAATATGCTAAGCATTTAACTATTTTAAATGTAAAGTTGCTCTAAGTCTCTAATTCCTTACTTCACAACTTGCCTGCCTCAACACGAGAGTCAACAGGAGATGAGACGGGAGCCCTCAGGGCTCCAGCATCTCTGTGCGCTGTTTGATGAAGTCATTAGAACCTGAAACAAAGCACAGGAGAGCTCTCTGCCCTGATTTAGTTTGGTGGCCAGCATTCCAGACACCTGGAGCAGCTGAATTCAAGCCTCAACAGGCAAATACAGATTCATTTATTTTGAATGCTAATCATGTAATAAGATGCTTTCTGCTATGAATCATTTTTTTGAAAACAGGGTCTGGAGAGAGGAGCAACACCCTTGTCAGCTACCTTCCTTTCCATAGCTCAGAGGCATGTTCCAAATGATAGGCAGTCTTTTGCCCCTTGAGAATAAAAGCTCAGTTCACTTAAGTGAGATTGGTTTGGGTAAAGATACCTGTTACCCAGCCTGGCTCTCCATGTTGCTCAACATTGGCAGCTCTTATTTAACTAAATATAGTCTATTTTCCAAAGGGCTTTAAGCTAGTCTTACAACTAAAATGGAGGTTCAAATTCAAAGTTCATTATATCTGGTGGCAGAGAGGCACCTCCTTACTTAACTACAAACCTGTGAGAAAATCATGCTTTGATTAGCTTCCCTAAAACAATAGGATTACTGTCCAAGCCCCTTATGTCTAGTTGAGGCCAAAGAGCTAATGGCTGTTGTCTTACCTGGGTCATGACCACCTAGATATCTATTCCAGCAGGAGAGCTCCATGTCCTGAGAATAAATGATGGTTTCTCCACTGATTATTTCCCTGAAAAATACATTGAGCAAACCCAGCCCTTAGTAGAAAAGCACTGACTGGGGCGAGAGGTGCAGCTCAGCTGTAGAGCACTTGCTTGACATGCCTGAGGTCCTGGTTTTGGGAGGCAAGGGGGTAGCTAAAAGCCCTGATTGCAGTGTATGCGTCAAGTCTCAGCTTCATTTTCACCTTGAATTGTCTAGAACCAAGAAAAGTACTGTAGAGATTTCTGTTAAATGTTTTCTCTATCATCAATTATGGTTATTAAATGCAGTAAGGATTATTTTTAAAGTCTAAAGCAAAACACAACTGTTTTGAATTCCTTCTCAATGTTTCTGACCCAGAGCTGAGTGTTCAACTAAGGTCAAAAGATTAGCTCCCTGGTCTGGCAACTGACCTAATGTTTGCGTTTAAGCTAAAATTTAAGCTCAGGCACCTGATTCATTCTGGAAGTTAAACTAGGGAGGGAAAAACCTGACAAAGCAAGAGAAACATCATTTTCCTGTCCCATCCAGAGAAAAATGTTATGCTGAGTGACCTAGCAGTAATGGCATAAAGTGGAGAGATCAGACACAATTTTAGAACAACTAACAAATCTAATTTCTGTCAAAGGAGGGGACTGGGGATGTTGCTCAGTGGTAGAGTGTGTCCTTAGCAGGTATGGAGGCTCAGCTCTGGATTTAATCCTCAGCATCACAAAAATAAAAAATAAATAAGATAGGGAAAAATCAGAGATGCCCATCTCTTCAAAACAAATGTTACATTAATGTTTTCCAGGGACAATAAATAATACTACATGTACCTCCCTTTTGTTCTCTATTATCTCTATTGTCCTAGGCAACAAAAAACAATTACAAAGATCATTTCATCTTTTATGATTAAGATTTTATAAGAAACTCAAGGGACTAAGAGTGCATTTTATCCAAATAAAATAAGCCATTTGAAAGCCAGACACTGTGGTGGGTATCTGTAGTCTCAGCTACTTGGGAGGCTGAGACAGGAAGATTGCTTGAGCCCAAAAGTTCAAGGCCAATTTAGTCAACATAGACCATGTCTCAAAAAGAAAACACTAAGAATGTTTGCTATAATAAGGAGTTTTAACATGCTTACAGAACTGTAGAGTGAATGTGCTTGGACTTCAGAGTCCCCAGCTACACGTTAGGATTTCATCTCTGCTGGTGACCTAGCCATGTGACCGTAAACATAGGTATAGTTCTTCCTGGTTTCTACCTGCTCATCTGTCCAATGGGTCTAATAATCCTGCCTGCAGAATTGATGTAAGGCTTAATAAGATAACCTATGTAGAGCCTCTAGGACAGTGCCAGGTACATAATGGTATTCTTAGGGTCAGTCCCTTGTCCCATAATTGGTGAATAATTTTAGAATAACCTGACTGGGGAAAGTTAAACATATTTGGCTTCTCTAGCCAAACAGTTGTCAAAACAAAGATAGATTGTTTTTGTCGTGTCTATTCCTTTTCATTAAATGGTCTCAAGAATTTGCTGGGGTTGTAGCTCAGAGATAGAGCACTTGCCTAGCATATGTGAGGCCCTGGGTTCGATCCCAAACACCACATACAAAACTAAATAAACAAAATTGTATTGTGTCCCTCTACAACTAAATATAATTTTTTAAAAAGGTCTCAGGAATTTGTTGAATAATATCTGTATAAAGGGGTTTTGCCCTTGAACTTTTCTGAACGCTTTACTTACTGTGTCTTGGCTATTAATTACACACCCACACCAGACAGATCATGATCACAAACACTTTTAGCTTTGTGAGCAGGATCAGGTGAAGCCACCTTTTTTCCCCAGTTGATGACCCTCATTCATTTTCTCATGACATTCAACATTTTCTCACAAATAATTACTTAGGCATTCAAAAAAAAAAAAAGTGTTGAATAGACCAAAGTTGTCACTGAAGTGGAAAGCTATTTCAGAAGTGGTACTTATGATTTGTTACCCAGCTGCATGATCCACCACTCACTAGGAGATGTGGAACTTCTGATGTTTAATACTGATTTTTCTCTTTGGGGGTAGCATATATTTATCTTTTTTTAAGCTGTGACTACTGAAGTGTATATTGCTAGTATTATTATTGCTGTTGTGTTAAAACTAAGAAAGTGTATATTGCTAGTATTATTATTGCTGTTGTGTTAAAACTAAGAAAGTACCTTGAGTATCCTTAATGATCATTTTAAATAGACCTTTTATTTGTTTTTCTGTCCATTCAATCTGCTACCCAGGAACTTCAGGTAAGATGATGCTATTTTTAATTAGATATGCTAGTAGTAGATGTTTTGCATCATTGCAGTCTTATAACAACATAATTGCTTTTTTTTCCTCCCTTTCAGCAAATGTATGCTTATTTGCTTGTTTATTTCTACTTCAGTGTGTGTGATATAAGAGGTATCTTTCTTGGCTGCTCTGTTATAAAGTTATTTTCAAAAACGTAAATATAAGATTTTTTTTAAGAAACCTTTATATGCCTAGTACTAGATATTGTATGATTGTATTTTGAGAGAAAGTGAATCTTCAAATATGATTGTGGAAATCCTATAATTTCTGATTAGGCATTTATATAACTGGATGGATTTTGTTGTAAAATTATTCTATTAAAAGTGAAGTGGTGGCTGGGGATATAGCTTAATTAGTACAGTGCTCACATGCACAAGGCCCTGGGTTCAAACCTCAGCACCACACACACAAAAGTGAAGTGGGGTTGGGTGTAGCTCAAGTGGTGAAAAATGTACTTAGTATGCACAAGGCCCTGGATTTTATCTGCAGCCCACAAAAACTATAAAGTAAAATCAACAATCTGCTGCCAACAATATACCATTTATAATTCCAATGAAATGTTTTTGTTTTCCAAGAATTAGAAGCTATCTCTGTATGGTGACTAGATAAATTTTCATCTAAACCAGGGCTCTTCCAAATAAAAAAGGGTGCCAGTAATAATTATGTCCAGACAACAATTATGTGGCATAAACCTGGATCATGTTGGGCATATTGACTTATGATCATTATGTTTATGTCACATCAGATTGTTGCAGAAGCTTCCTGCAACGATAGTTCTTTTTTAACTCTGAGTGTAGCTTCAACCTTGGGTTTAATCTCCAGCATTCAAAAAAGAAAAGAAAAAAAACATTTGACAGGGTTCCAATATGAAAAAGTTTTTTCAAAGAATATTATTTCTAACATTTCTAGAATATGTACATGATAATACTTTACTATCCTAGTATAAATACTAAATGGAATATGTTTGATAACTATATGTGAGTTGTCCTTTAGAATAATTAGCTGTCCTCTACATTTTTTCACATATAAGATAATCTGGCATTGTCAATAAAACTGTTTTGACTTCTAAGTTTGTAACATAAAATGCAAATCTGACCTTCGGGGGAGAGAAAGAATTGAGCATGGCTTCCCCGTTAGGGATATCTCTGTGCCATACTGAGCAAACCTGGTTGACTTTTAATCACCATGGACTTTTTGCACATGTTGAGGATTGAACTCAGGGCTTTGCACCTTCTAAGCACATATCTACCTCTAAGCTACACCCTATCCCTATCACCATGGACTTCAACTGGGATTAGACTATAACCCTGCTCCATCTCAATTCCTCAACCCCCTCTAGGGAAATAAATTCAATACCTTTGCCTCTAATGGAACTGTCACATCCTCTAGCAATAGATCTTATTCCTGCAAGAAAAGTTTTCCCTCCTCCCCCTCCCTCTTCTCATGCCAGATGGATTCAGGTCTTCCCAGAGCTGCCACCAAGCAGTAGCAGCCATCTATGCCCAGGGTATCTATATTGCTCTGCAGGCTCATAACTGTCTCAGGATAAGTTTGGGAATTGTTCAAAATTGTTGCTTAAGATATCTCATTCAAACCATCATTCATTTGGTATAAGAAAATCAGTTTTGTGAATTTGTTTGTATATTTCTCCCAATAATTTTCACATTCTTCTTGAATAGTCTGTTTTTCTTTTTTCCTTTCTTCACACACTGCATTTGCCTTATCTTCCAAATTCTTTTACATATTTTTTTCACTGTAGTGGTTATTTTAAAATCCCAACAAAGCAGTTAGTCTTTGTTAGTCTTTTCCACTAGGAAAAAAAATTATCTGGTGGTGAACAGAGGTTGAGTACCCTTACCAGAAATGCTTGGGAGCAAGAAGTGTTTCCAATTTCAGATTTTTTGAGATTTGGAAATATTTGTACATACATAATAAGGGATCTTGGGGATAGAACCCAAGCATAAATGTGAAATTCATTTGTGTTTCAAACATACCTTATACACATAGCCTAAATGTAATTCTATACACTGTTTTTAGTGGTTTTGTGTCTTGACCATTATACTTTACATGAGGTATCGAAAATTCTACTTGGGGTGTCTTGACAATACTCAAAAAGTCTTTGATTTTGAAGCATTTCAGATTTCAAATTAGAGATGCCTGATCTGTACAGATAAAATAGGAGATATAAAACATGAAAAACATTCTAAGTTGGCTTTCTCTTTATGTTTATGATTGTTGTTAGTACTGTTTTGATTATAAAGAGGGATGAATAATGATAATAATTTCCATATCCTATCCAGAATAATGTGCTTAGGATTCTTGCCTTCTACCAAGAATAGCCAAAACAGACTTTGGAAAAGCTAAGCATCTATCTCCTGAGAGGTCTTGAGAATGGCAAACTGTTGGAGCCAGAAACAAGACTCTTAAACTTAGCGTTGCATTTATTCATTTTCCTATGGTTTAATAGTAATTGGCATCTCTCAGATTAGTAAGTTGTCCACTGAGCTCCCATCAGAGGAGGTACCTTATTTCTGTGGACTATTGGACACTGTTTCAAATTACCAAGAAATGAAAGGATTTGGTGCCAGATTTTATTATAAATTACCCTTTTGCTTAGGTAAAAATTTTCTAGTTTGCAGGCTGGAAAATATTTCTCTTTAAAACAGTTATGTGGCCAACTAAGCCAGTTCTTAGTAAATCAGAATATAAAAGTCGGCCATAATCTTTGGTATTGATGTACAAAATTAACTATTTTCCAGGTTGGGACAATTATTCAGAGATGAGCCTTAAAGTAAAAGATAAACCATTGCTGCTCTAGCCTTTGCATAGTGCATGATCCATCAAACTTTGTCCAGCTCTGAAAGTCCTTAACTCTGCATTTTATCTGTGAGAACCGCTGTGGCAGAACAGGCTGGAATGTTTACCTAATGCTCTTCTACTAAATAACTGAAGGATTCCTGGAATGTGCTGCAAGCATAGCTACTACTTATTTCTCTTTCCAAAAAGAATACTAAACAGGGGCTGGTGGGAGTAGGGAGCACACACCTCTTTTGAAGTTTTTTAATAGTCTCTTTCTTACAGATTTTTGAAAACACAGATCAATTCTAGTGTTTATTGAAATCGACTTAAACACACACACATACACACTACTTAACCTGCTGAAGAAAAGGGTGTGATCACCTCTACCCATGATTTAATATACATTTATATGAAAACAGTCTGCTTTTGTTACTTTTCATGTCAGGTTAAAGTTTCAGTACCAAAGCAGATGAGGGCATGAGAGGTAATGTTTCTAAGCTGTGACTAATTGGATGTGTGAAGGTATGAGTGAAGAAGAATTTTTGCATAAAAACCTGGCTGGTGGTGTGATTTCAGGGTGAGAGTATGGACAATTTCAACTGGGGAGTGCGCAGGCGTTCTCTGGACAGTCTGGACAAGTGTGACATGCAGACCCTGGAAGAACGCCAACTCTCAGGAAGCCCTCCCAGTCTAAATAAAATGAACCATGAGGATTCCGATGAATCATCTGAGGAGGAGGACCTCACAGCCAGCCAGATCCTGGAGCACTCCGATCTAGTGAGTAGCAACTCTCCCTCTGTGGCAACTGGGGAGACTTACTTTTTGTAATTCAAGAGGGTTGTTTCCCCCTGCCCCCGGCCCAGTTTCAGCTAAAGAAACTTTCCAAAGCTGCCAAACTAAATTCTGAACTCTCAAGGAGGTATCTGATTCTAAGTGGCCTCTTCTCTGTAGTAGGCAGAAGGAAGCAACTGCTGGGGTGTGTTATGTACCCAGAAAGCCATCCAATCTGAAGGCCTAGATTTTTCCCAAATAATTTTGATGATGGTAATCTTTTTTAAAAAAAAAATATTCAAATATATAAAGTTTGAGGAAATAGATAACTTCATTGAAAGGCCTGTCCTAACAATACAGGAATTGGTGTTTTAGTGGGATACCCCAGGATGCAGATTAACACTAGATTGCTAGTTAGGTCATGGTGACATAAGGAAATTAGAAAATCAATACCAAACAACTAGAGAGCAATGGTTTATGCTCTTAAGAATAATTAGAGCTTTTAAAGAATGGAAACTTTATATTTTCTTTCCTCTTGTTTTTAAACAGATCATGACCCTCTCCCCCTCTGAAGAGGCCAACCCCATGGAATTGCTCACCACAACCTGTGACTCAACTCCTGCTGACTCTCATTCTTTTATCACCAGAATGGCCAGTTTTGATGCTTCCTTGCCTGATATGAATAACCTGCAGATTTCTGAGGGTTCAAAGGTGAAGAGATTTTGGCAGTTATGATTGTAATTTTCCTTAGGGAAAAAGAAAATAATGACTTCCCAAAGTTCTGAGAATTCCTGTGGGGGCGGGGGGGGTTGAAAGTGGAAGCACTCTTTCCATCTGATTTTAGTGAAATAATTGAAGCTTATACACCTAAGCCTTTATTTTGAAGTTGTTTTATGCTGAAAAACTTGAGCAAAACTTTCTTCTGATTGAAAGAAAGTGGTTCTGAAGTCTTTGTAAAATGGAACATTGAGTGAATACTGTTGATTGAGGGCAAAACAGTACTGTCCATCTCAGATGGCTCTGACTGGGAAACTGCTAATCTTTGTCATGGCTTTTATACAGCAGTATGCTAAGAGATGTGTGGGTGTGTTTGAGGAAATTTTTTCTTATGTAGGAACCAATTATACAATTTGTACATTGATTCAATGCTCCCCTTTTGGCATCCTGTTGGAATTTGTAACATCAATCACACTATTATTTGCCAGATTTGCACAAAACTCTCCTAGCCAGACTCTAAATAGAAATGTTAACTAATGGGTGTGATTTCCTTATTTGGGGTTTAAAAAAAATATATTTGTGTGTAGTTCTATTAAGGTTTATCAAAATTTCCATAAAACTATCACTTGCATGCTGTACCCACATTTATGCCCATCAGTATGGAATCTTATTTCCTTATATCAGAAATAGCAAAATAATCTATTGCTGTGAGGATAGAATAAAGCTTTCTTTATCTAGAGTTTGGTTATGATAATGTAAATTTGAAAAAGAAAACAGAAAAAACTGTAAAAGTATATTCCTTCTGATACCTCTAATGGAAAAATACAGTATTGGCTATTCTATATATTGTTTCATAATTACTAAAAACAGAGCTGAGGCCAAGCGGGGGAAAAAGTATGCTTTAAGAACAACCACCAAAGTGCAATTACTTAGAAATAATTCTTAGTTAAGCTTCAGCATTTTTAAGACTGCCACAGTGCAGAGGGACTGTGGTCAGGATTCTTGGAGTTAAGGGTCCTTTTTTGTTTTGTCCAAAAAGGCCCTGAAAGAAAACTCTGTTCTAGGCTAAAATGCCAGAATCCTCAAATTAAGAAATTCAATTTCATTGGGATAAAAACTACAAAATATATATAAAGTTAACAGCATTGATATTTGTCCGTATTGGTATTCTCATTTTCTGTTTTGAAGGCTACACAGGCTTCTCATAGATGATTTCTACTGTTTAGGAAGTATTTTCTATCAAGGAAAGATAAGGATAGCTCATTACAAATGAGACTTATTTTCTCATGAGCTGAGTTCCTGTGGTGTTTGATATACCTGTCATGTTAGAAAGAGTAAATAAATACATTTTATAAGAACTCAGTTTTTCCAATAGATGAAATTTATGTGTAGTAATAACCCCAGAGGTCAGCTTCTTTGGATCACCATAGTTTTCAAAAGCAAAAAGAAGCAGGTACAGATAAACCTCTGAAATTCTTGTTTCTCTAATATAGCTTTACATTGTTGTTAATTTCCCTATTAATTCTTCATACTATATACTAAATGGGCAGCCAGGTGTTAACCTGCAATAAAGCTCTGATTCATATACGTTTCTATTTCACCTTGAAAATGACTCAGTGAAACATGTACAAGAATTTTCTTCTGTTCTGATGTGTGATCCAGCTGCCTTCCTTCCTGTCAAGAAACAATCAGTTCTCCAGCTGATTGTCCCCTGGCCCAAGTTCAAGCCCCGCTATTTTACCATTTCCTTGTTGTGTCTCTTTCCTGCCTCTCACTGCCACCCACCCTAGAGCCCTTTCAGTTAACTGCTCATTTCACATGTTGTAGTAAGGTGAGAGCAGACAACCTGATCTGCTGTTTTCAAGGGTACTCAAGAGTAAAGCATATATGCAAATGGATTTTAGGCTTTTCCACATTGAAAATTCTCTATCAACCAAGCAGGCTTGGTGAAGGACTTTGGATCACTCATGCACACTGCAGATGTTTCTTGAGCATCTACTGTTCCAGGAGCCAAAGATTCTTAATTCTAGTGTCCACTGGCAAAGGGATTCCATATTGGAGAATTAAGTCTAGATGAACCTACTTCAAAAGGCTGGGATGGCACAATAGGAGGAGTCCTGAATCCAAAGCGACGTTTCTATTCCCAGCTTTAACTCTATTGACCTGACATTAGACAAGCCCATATGGAACATCATTTCCTCATCTGTAAAATGTGGAGGTTGGACCAGGGATCTCTATAGTCTTTTCCAAATTCAGCATTTATATCTTGTAAGCATGGATCAAGTATGAGAATCTACTGAAAGCCCTCTGGGGGCTATTGTGGAAGGGACTGAAAAGAAAGTGAACAAAGAGTACTTCAGAGAATTTCTGAATCCACTTCTATCAATTGACTCTATAACCCCACAGGCTGATGCTGTCCAGGAGGAGGAAGACACCACTGTGCATGAGGATGATCTTTCAAGTTCCATTAATGAGCTGCCCGCGGCTTTCGAATGCAGTGACAGCTTTAGCCTGGATATGACTGAGGGAGAGGAAAAAGGCAACCGAGGTCTGGACCAGTTTACTCTCGCAAGGTAAGGAAGCGCTTGGTGGAAATGAGTAGTCAAGTATATACAGCACAACGTATTACGCTCACAGTAACTTGAGTTCAGTGCTACGCTCACACTGCTGGGGCCTCCTAATGAAGGAGTCCACAGTGACACAGAACTTAGTGAGCTCTTACCAAGGTAGAATCATCCAACCCCAGTGCAAGGCCTTATGCAGAACAAAGAAAGGACACCTGCATAAGAACTTATAAAGCCAGAAAGCAACATGGAAAGATGAAGAAAGGCCTGGAGACATGGTCCAAGCCTTATAAGCTTTGAAGATAAGCAAAATTTGGCAAGGCTTGGGAATGAGTTCTTTCCATTCTGAGTTAAAAGACAAGAACAAGGGGATCTTTATATGCTAAATAGCAACGCTTCTTCAAGAAGGTGTCTTTCAGCCTAGTGGCTGATATCTCTGAAACTAATATGAATAGGAAAAAAATGAAGAGGAATTAATAAAACACAGTAGTTTAGATAAAATCAGAGTTTAGGGGGAATCACGGATAATAATGGTATAGATTTGCTTCAGGATAAGAAAATCAAGACCCTAGAATTACTCAGAGTTGAAAGTGAGAACTAAGTAGGGCCTTCTGTCATGGTGAGCAATATTTGACCATCAAAGGAAAAGGTTGAGGTCATATCTGGAGGATTTACTTTTCACTTTTTTTCCCTATCTCTCTTCCTTCCTGGTGCTCTTACTCTGCATTTCTCTACATTTTCTCTCTTCCCCAATCCTTGTATTCTCAGCTTTATGTATTCATTAATACTCTATTTCCATAAAGGAAAACTAAAAGCATCAAAATTTATATTATAATTTTTCATAATTAAAACATGAAGAATGAAAGCACCAAAGCATAAGCCTGAATGCATACTTTGTCAGAGGCACAGCACCTGGAAAGTGAGACACTTGCTGAGAGCTAAAAGAGGTACCCTGTCTGTATACAGCAATCAGAAATATGGGAATCCTAGAAATTGTAGAGGTGAAAATTCTATACCCTAGAATCAGAAAAGGATCTTAGAGATCTCTCATGGCAGCCAGGATCTCCCAGAGTACCCTCAAAGGGAAGAGTGGGCCAAAAGGCTCCTCCACATCGCAACACTTGGATTAGAGTTGGTACAGTCAGGTAGAGGAGAAGCAGGAGGACAACACTTCTTGACATGGATGTTTTCATGTTTTCCAGCTTTGGAGAAGGTGACAGGGGAGTTTCTCCCCCTCCCTCGCCTTTCTTCTCGGCCATCCTTGCTGCCTTTCAGCCCACGGCCTGTGATGATGCTGAGGAGGCCTGGCGCAGCCACATCAACCAGCTTATGTGTGACTCAGATGGCTCCTGTGCAGTGTATACATTTCACGTGTTCTCCTCTCTGTTTAAGGTAGCGGTGCTCCCTCAACCTTCCAAGAACCAAGATCCTCCAGGGAGCCAGATAACTCCTGATTTAAAAAAGGGTTATTTGTTCTAGGATTGTCCTATTTTTCCTCTAGATACTCTTAACTTCTAGTTAACAGCTCTCCTCTGCAGCCTCAACCTGCTCAACCGCAGAGTGTATTATGAAGACAGTGACCTCAGATGATTTCAGTTGCCATGAAGTACCTTTCACTTCTGCCACTCTGACTTATTGACATCCTCAATCTTGGGCAAACATGACATCAGAACCATTAAGGGGACCTTCCACCAACCCCATCCTACTTACTCTACTCCCTTCCCTGGGGACATATGCTCTTTTTACAAAAATCTCAAGATTTTTAAAATTTTTTTCTATTGCTAAGACAGTGGATTTTAAGTGTTGTCAGCCAAAAAAAAAAAAAAAAAGGTTAATTACATGTTAATTACACAAGATTTAGCAACTATACAATGTATATTTCAAAACATCTTATACACAATGCATATTTTTCTTTGCTAATTAAATCAAATTAATAATAAAATTTTAGAAGTCCTATCCCATGCAAATAAAGTTTTTTTCTAGTAGCTAAGTCAAAATGGCCTTTGCAAATGATCGCTATCCTCCCTTGCAGAATATTCAGAAACGATTCTGCTTCCTAACCTGTGATGCAGCCAGCTACCTTGGAGACAACCTCCGGGGAATTGGATCCAAATTTGTCAGCTCTTCCCAGATGCTCACCTCCTGCTCTGAGTGCCCTACACTCTTCGTGGATGCTGAGACCGTGAGTTTCCCAGCCCTGCTCTGGTAGTGAAAGGCCTGCTTGGCTCAGGGTAGCATGTTTGTGTAGTGGTTTGTTTTAAAGACCTTCAGTGTTGTGAGCAGTACTGTGATGTGACTTCCAAAGGGCTTTGGATCTGTGGGGTAGCCCAGGCTGAGACAAAATCATTTCAGAGAATCAGGAGAAAACATACATCTGTGCTCCTTCCATGATCTTGACACCTCTTCCTGTTGACTCTGCCAGCTGTGCATATGGCTGGATAACCTCCAGAGCTGACCTGACCAGGTTGACCAATCAGATGGTCTTTAGAGACAAACCATCATCACTTTCCCTATCCCCAAGCCTCAGACACATCACCCTCTGGATCCACACAGCCCAAACCACAAATGACGAGTTTAAAGAAGGATTAAGACAATCTCTGGCTGCCTGCTGAATGATAACTTTCTGAATATAACTAACATAAGACTAACAAGTTCACATCCCCCGTCATATCACGGAACCATCACGTAAGGTGAATGACTTCTGAGGTTTGGAATCAATGAATATGTTCCTTGATTTTTTTTTTAAAGTCTGTGCAGAGTCAGTCTAAGAACCTCACTGATGGTTGGCTGCCTCATAGCAAGGAATACAATATGAGAAATCACTATTATTTTAAATACAAAATGAATATGAAAGTCTTTGAACCATGTGATGTATTATTGGGATGATAACAGAGCAAAATTACAAATTTCACACCTTATTAAAATGGATGGTACTGCTCTCCCTCTTTATATTACTTCTAAATATGTCTTCTCTGTATAGCCATGACTTTGTGTTGGTAGCTCATCTCCCTAGATGTTTTAATACAAATTATTTCCCTGCCTTTAGCTCCTTTCTTGTGGACTTCTGGACAAGCTCAAGTTCAGTGTTTTAGAACTGCAAGAATATTTGGACACCTACAACAACAGAAAAGAGGCCACTCTCTCAGTAAGTTTTTGTGTTTTTTGTGCATATGCATTCAGGTAAAACCGAATGAACCCAACCTCTGAGTTCTTGGGAGGTGTGAATAATCCAAGATAGAATGCAGAGGGAGGAGACAAATTTAATCTTTTCCTCTCTTTGAGATTACAATCCTAATATAATGGTTACAGAACTGCCAATAACATCAATTATATAAATGGAACCTACAGGACAGAAAATGTTGAGCTTTCACTTTTCACCTCCCCTTATTTCCCAAGAAATTCACTTATGTCTGTCTTTTTCTAATGACAGTGGCTTGCAAATTGTAAAGCAACATTTGCAGGCGGATCAAGAGATGGAGTGATTACCTGTCAACCAGGGGACTCAGAAGAAAAGGTAATAAGAGCCTATTAGAATGTATCTCCTCTGTGGTCTGACATTGTGCATTGGTTTTGATTTATCTAAGAAGCATGGAACTTGAGAAAAGAAGAGGCATAATGAATTCTCATATATTCCCACGAAACCCATAGATTACAACAGAATGACATTCAAGTCATGCATGATTGTGTGTTGATGGGATTTGGGGTTTTTTTGTTTTTGGTTTTGGTTTTTTTTCCTCTTGTTTGGGAAAAATAGAAGTATAAAAATAACCTTTTTTGCTGAACACTGTATAACCATACTAATCATTTCCTAATAAATCTGTTCTTAATTCAGAATAGAAAACCACTTAGTTTCTTCAGTGAGGAAAATTTCTATTGCCCTTTCACCAATCACTCCAAAACATATTTTCCAGTTTAGAATACCTTTAAGGACATACCTCAAATCAACTGGCTGGAAATGTATTGTAAAGACAATGGATAGAAGAGTATGAATGGATTAAAATCACCCATCCTGTAGTTATTAAGTGCCTCCTATTTTGTCCTCATGGTGGCTAAGTAGTGAGCAATACATAAGACCTTTGTCATCAGAGATCTTCTGCATTAATAAAAAAAAAAATCAGAGGTGTAAATGTGATAAGGCCAATAAGTACAGGAAAGAACAGTAAGTTCTGAGAGCACACAGTGAGGCAGCCTGATCAAATGAGAGAGTAGTTCAAGGAGGATTCTTCGTGGTGCATTATCTAGGTAGAGATCTAAAACATGAGCAAGAGTTAGCTGAGTAGCCTGAGGCTACTCAGAAGTGAACATGGCCTCGCTAAGAACAAATGCAGAAAGCAACCTGGAGCAAAGCTTGAGAAGAGTCTGGAGAAGCTGGCAGAAGCCAGATCATGCAGGGCTTGGGTGTTGCACAGCAGTGGTAAGCAATCGGAAAGTTTTAATAGCAGGGTATAATTCGACCGTGGCTATCCTGCTCTATTTACTGTGGAAACAGAATGAAGTGGTCAGGTCAATCCTCCTGCTGCCCAGTCTCAAAGGAGGAAGTGGAATTACATTATCACTACTGGGAAAGCATTTTAGATTACAAACCCTCGAAGGGATCCAAAAACATCTTCCTGGGTAGAATTAACACTTTACTAATGTAAAAAGAGATAAACCTTGGGATAAAATTTTTCAGATACCAAAGACTCAATTCGAATTTGATATCTTTTACTGAACAAGTTTATTGTCCTGAGAGTAACTAACTCTCTTTGCCAGCACTGGGTCACTTGGTGAGTCCCTCAGTACATTTTGTGAAGAGACTAGAGATTGAACAAGCAAACTACAAGGCTAAGAAATATCTAGATATGATACTGAAGTATCATTTCTGCCTTCTTGAAAACATGTATGTATGTGTGGAGATATATAAATATAGATTTTATTTTTTGTGGGGTTTTTTTATTATTTGATCCTCTTTGGATGGGAAGCAAATGCCAGTTTTGTATGTGGAAAATCTAAAGCTTAAAAGTTTCTCATAAAGGGTGTGTAGTGAGATGTACAGTTCAAAATCACAATGAAGACTAGTGTTTCCATCAGTCCTTGCATGTGGATCTGTGATGTGCTGCCTCAGATAATTTGAGACCAATTTTCACTGGATATCCCAGGAGTACTATAAAAATAAAATAATACCTCTGTTTCAGTAGCACCCATTCCTTCTGATTCTATCATTGCTTCCCCGCTCAAGTGTTCAGAGACAAATTCAGTCCAGAGACTAGTTACCTGGTTAGATTTGCAATTAGCACAAACTAGTATAGTTTATAGTATGATTTATAAAGTTATATGTAAAAATAAGTTATCTAAACATTTACCACCAATCATTAAATCCTATTATATTCACTGTTACAAAAAAATAGCAAAGTATATTGTGATGATACAGAATTTATAGAAACAGTGGTTAAAACCAAATCTATTATTAATACAAGTGTGTACAGCTTTCTGGTTAACCCTGTGGATAAACAGAAATTCTAGTTAAACTATCCTACTTCTAAAATATTCTCTTTTTTAAAAAAAAATGTATTCCTACTGTGCTTAATTTATTTCTGTTAAGCTGTTTTATTTTTAGAAGCTTCTCATTTCCCCCCTTAGTTCTTTGCCTTTCAGTTATTCTTCCTATTTATTTCCTCATCATCTACCTCTTTATTTACTTCTACAGTCATATATCATTTAACAATGAACAATGTTCTGAGAAATGCATCGTTAGGTGATATCATCATAGCAATATCACAGTTTATTTACACAAAAAGGAGGATAAACCACCCTCAGTGATATAATATTATGGAACCAACATCTATGTGTTCTTTCACTCACCTAAATGTCACTATGCAGCATATGGCCTTTTTTTTTTTTTTTTTTTTTTTTTAAGGCAAACATGATTGGTAATGACTTCAGCTTCTTTGGGATTATGATACCAACTCTCCTAGGATAAAGTACAGTTTCCACTAGAGAGGACATAAAACGGAGTGTGATGTGCATGTGTCTCACAAGATAAATTTCACTCACTTGTGGACACTGCCTTACTCGTATTTTCTCAGTCTGTGCATAGCAAGAGGAGAAAAAAAGTCTTTTTTGCAATTTAAAACCAGCACTTTTAATTAATTAAGAACTTTGATTTTCATGGACCTCCCCATCTCTTGTAGAATTTATTCTGGAGTAGCTACTACTAGGTTGTTTGAGTTAATATAAATGTAAGTCAGGGAACAAAGTCTCTTGACAGCTCTGGCTTCCCCAGGCAGTGGCTTTAGTCTTGGCCCTGTAACTAATTAACACAGCTCATGTCCTCAGCTTTGCAAAAGCAGCCTCAGGAAAGCTGGAGATGTTTCTACTTCACTTGTTAAATAGGATTTAACAATGACACATTCATAATGCAAAAGATATTTCTGAACACTACTTGAACATTTGATAATTTACATTTGACCCTACTACATTTCATCTTACCATATTCAAATCATCATTCCAACTATTAAGAAGCAAACAGAATTGAAGTTGGTGTCCAGAAAGACCCTATCTCTTCTTAACTCATGAACGCATCCTGTGTTCTTATACAAGTTAAATGTCAAACAAGATTTTTCTCAAGTTCAGTTGTAATCCATTAAACTTCACCCTTCAGATATTGTCAATCACTCCTCCTCCTATAAGCAATACTCTTTCCTGTAATGGCTGAAGTTAGTTTACAGTTTTCTTGAAAACAGTAAATACCTAAATGTGTCTTATCTTTCTAAGCTTTGAAATATACTCATGACTAAAGTAAAAAAAAAAAAAAAAAAACTACTCCACAAACACGATAGTTGTCGATGTGCCAAACCTGAGTGTTATTAACAAGTGAGTGTATATTTTTCCTACCTGTTTAGGAGGTCAGATGCCCCTGTGTTCCCTGACTGCAAAGCTGCAGCATTAGGCAAGGTTACCTCCTATCTGGAATCTAAATTTTATTCCATTTAGTATAAACTCATAATTTTCAGAAATTAAATATGATGAAAATAATAGCCAATATAGTACACTGTCAAAAAATCTCCTAGATTTTTACTGACTAGTTATAAGCATAGAACCCATCTGGGGACAGAAACAGAAGAAACAGATGTGGTTCTACTAATTGATAGTCAGCCAGAATTAGATTATGATGGGCTTTTGAAGTTACTCTTTCAGTTGTTTGTGATCTGTTCCATCTTTTTTTTTTTTTTGTATTACAATTCCTAATACACCTTTATACCACAATTTATCATATCTCTGATTGTATATAAGGTATGTTGACACCAAATTCACATCTTCATACATGTATTTTGTATAATGATGAGAATATCCTTCTTGGGGTTTTGGGTTTTTTTTTCCTCATTTTAAGAAGCTATACCTCCAAATCTGATTTTATATATCAAGTCTTATCAGGAAACCAGGAACAGAACTTGAAGAAGATTCCTGTGACCACATAAAACAATGACATACCCACAATATGCTCAAGAGAACATTAGGTCACTGGAACAGATGAAGTTTATAAAGACTTCTACAGGGATTATTCTTAAAACCCACATACAGGAAAGCAGTAACACAGAGAGTTAAAAACATGTCAACATTTTCCATGAAAAAGCCCCTTCACAATGTCATTTTCATTATGTTTTTGGGACGTAAATTCAAATGAGGTCCCAGGCTATGGCCCAGGAAAGGATTCTAAGACCATAAGTATCAAGGAAGCTTGAACTAGCCTACCTAAAAAGGAAAGCTTAGGAAGGATACTGAAAATGTGTTCGTTAGAGTTGGCCATCTCCCAAGAAATACACTATTTTGTGCCCTGAGAGCCAAATGACATTCCTCGGCACCTAGCTAGAGTTCAGAAAGTTCCTTTGCCTTTATTGAACAGAGAGGATTTGATTTAAACCCATTTGCTGACCTCCTCAGATTCCGACCCTGTTTTGAAAAAGATGGCAGCTTTCCTCAAGACCATGTCATTTACTCAGCAATGCTGCATTCCACACTGCTAAAAAGTAGATTCCAGGGTAGACACACTTGCTTTTTAACATGCATACCAAACATTTTAGTCATATTTGATGTGTTCCAAAAAGTCTTCACAGTGGAAATTATGTGTATATATAGGTATAAGACTGGCCCTGTATGCCTGATAGGACACTGTGCTTTAATACATAAGGTGTGGTTACAGAAACCTCTAGACAAAGTTTTTGTGAAAATGGTAGGTAATGCTTCAAGCCACAGAATCCTTATCACAAGCTTCAAAGATGTTTACCTTTCAAAGCTTTGAGAGAGATCCACATCCAATGTCCAAAAAACTGCTCAGTAAACCTAACAGCCAAAAATGTGCCAACTCCGTGTGATATTAGCAATAGGTGAAGGAAAAAGAAAACTCAGATGATGGGGTAGGGGTTATCAGTAGTGTTCCTTCAGTTACATTGGTAAATACTAATAAATAATAATTTGATAATTTTTCTTCTATGTACTGTGCCTTATGTTAATATATTACAGTGATAGTTCAGAGATTTTTTGAAAGAACCTTAAAATAAGAGGTTTTTGTTGTCAAAGATTGGAAAATGAATGAGTGAGTAGGTCCTTAAGTATTTGAAAATTCAGAATCAGATATATTGTCCTGCAACTAGGAATGGTCAAATTGACTTTTTAAAAAATATTTTGTCAAGTTATGATTATCTCTTCCTAAATACAAATTTTCACTAAACCAATTGTATGGTTATGATAAGGTAAAATCAAAAATTGGTAGCTATATTTGAAGATGACTCAGTGACAAATTTGTATTATTTTAAACTAACAATCATTTTTAGAAATTGTCTACTAGAGAAAAAACATTACAAAAAATAAATTGTAGGAAAATTACTTGTCATCTCTCAAACTTGTTTGATAATATACAGTGTCTATTCCTTTGAAATAACAGTATTTAGCAATCCTATAAAATACTCTTAATGTGGAAGGCAATCTGACTAAAGAAAATGCGACTTGAATTGTTAATTATACTATGTTAATTTTATGGTCATAATTTAGTAGATATGAAACTAGACCTTCTAAAGTCTCTACCTTAATTAATATAAAACAGTACTATAATTTGGGACTATAGTTCTTCAAAATTACTCAGCTCTCTCCACAATTTTACTATGTTCACATATTTACATTTATACACTAAAATGTGCAAGCAGTAAACATTTTACTTCTGGTCTCCAAGACTGACTTGACAAAATCTAAACCAACTAATCAGAGAACCTAAAAGATTAAATGTCCTGTTTCCCATTAAAGCTTGTTTTTAACTGGAGCGCTGTGCATGTTGAACGGGTACAACATTGGCATCCATTTATCAAGTTTGACCAGCAATGCTAATACTGCTGACAGTTCTGCTCTTAGACGAGGGCCGTGCTTTCTGTTGCATGCATACACTGACCCTGTACTTTCTTTCCTTTCCTTTGTTTCCTGTGCCATGCTTGCTGTGTAGCAAATGGAATCTCTTGCAGTAAGTTAACTTTCTTTCATACTCTATGTCCATTTAGGCATGGACCCATAACAAACCTTATTTTTACTGTTACTATTATAATCTCTTAGCATGTTACCCTTTTTCATTTTATTTTATTTTATTTTATTTGGTAAATTGAGATATGGCAGTTTTTATCAGTAGCATTTTGGGCTGCTCTTGCCCCAAAGTAGAAACCTACATTGCTATGAATTCTCATACTGTCGGTAGTATATTTTCAATAATAACTACCTTATTTGGTACTGATGAAAGTCAAGAGTTTTCATAGCTAGGTTTCACCCAAAATTGTGATGGGAACATTGTTTTTAAATAATACTATTTTATTTATTTGCGAGTTCCTGGCAGTTATCTTTCATTCTAGATTTTAAAAGATTTCCGTAAAAAGAAGTTTAAATGACCATAAAATAAAATGTTTTACTGAAACAAAGACCCGGTGTAGGTTAATTAGTGTGTGTAGCTACTTCTTTAAACTTAGGTGGGTTACTAATACTGAGAGATCAAATAAATCTAAGCAAAATTGGTTTTCCAATAGAAGTAGGAAAGGGATAGGAGGAGAAAGGAAACTTAATTCAGCAGTCTTAGCATGAATTTCAGTAACTTATAAATCAGGATCAAAAGTCTTTTCATAATAGAAGTAGAATATTCTTTCTAAAACCTAAATTCTTATAATTTCTCTCCTTAAACTGGTTTGGAGGAAAAATTTTAAGTCACCTCAAAGCTCTCAATTCTGAGCTGAGTGGTTTATAATCTATTAGTAAAAGAAAGGCTCTATTTGTCCTTCCTTAGCCCCATTTGAAAATTGAACAGTGAACCATTTAGTTTAAACCACATATTTTAACCCATTTTCCCTGATGAATGCTAAACCACAAAATCCTGTCTAATGAAGGGTGTTCTTTTCCTTTTGCAGAATCCCATTCAGTCTAGGAACTAACCTATTCTTGAAATAAAACAGGCAAAGTGTAGATCATACAGCTCAAAGAATATTATGAACATCGGTGTTGGGATTACTTGTGAATTTTTGTATCTAGTATACATATCGAAACATTAGAGGTTTCCATGGGGCTCAAGGGCCATTTTATATGACTGCTTTTAAATGTTCTCTGCACAGAAAGTTTTAAGGTATTTTAATAATTTATTTCTTAAGCCTTCTGGTCCCTTTATACCTCTTTAATTAGGCAAACATTTATTGAGCTATGAGTAGAAGTCTCATATAGTACAGTACTTGAGAAGACTTGTGTAGCTTATCTTTACAGATGTTAGGATGAGTCTATACCCTAGATGACAGCTGAAACTATTACACAGAGCAATTTCCCAAGAAGGGATTCAATTTATAGATTTAACACCTATAACTACTTAATGTGTGTTTTTCAACTATACTTTTGATAAAAAAAGAAACTTTAAAAGCTATTTATACCTTATAATAATTAACACAACCACTCAGCTATAATTTGTAGGTATTTAAGTGGCAAGGGAAATGTGATTCACTCAGTCCTTTTATAGCTACTACTACTCTCTAGTTAGTCGTCTTCCATTGTATAGAATGTAATATTCAATATTATACTGTGAATTTCTCATTGATGTTTGTGGACTGGATTCTGTTTTCTGCTATTTGGTATAACAGCTAGTTATGTTTTGTAAATTTAAAAAATGTGTTCATCTCCACTGAGATTTCACTGGTTAATACAATAATGATCCTTAATAACTATTTCTTCCCATGCACATTCTCTCTTTAGCAACTGGAACTATGTCAGAGATTATATAAGCTACACTTCCAGCTGCTGTTGCTTTTTCAATCCTACTGTAAACTCATCGGCCAGGTGCATGAAGTGAGCTCCATGCCAGAGGTGAGTCCTCATGCTTCCCAGCCGTTCATCCCACCATGAAAATCATCACTTCGTGGTTTGCTCTCTGTCCCTCCTACCCTGTTTACACCTGTCCAAGTGATTTTATTTCCAGAGTTATTTTTGCACAGGCACAAGTTAGAAATAAATGCCCTGGGTTTGTTTCAGTTCTTATTTTTAAATGCGTTTCCAAAGCCAGACCAGGACTAAGATGAGAAAAAGAAAGACAGCCCCAATTTAGGGGCAGGTGTCTTCTTACCTGTTAAACCCTAAATGCCTCATTTGAATGCCTCTGATCCTGGCCCTAGGTCTGGGCATCCTCTGAAAAGATTTCTCATGTTGTGGTTTTTATTATTCACATTTAGCCTTTCATTACTTGCCCTGACCTGGAGGCAATAAGGAAGTATCTATAAGACATGACTGGTTTTCTTCAATTTCCCTGTCCTGCTTAGCATCAGGATGCTTTCATGTTTTTTAAATGTAAAAAGCAAAATAACTTAAAACTTTCTACTTACAAGTGAATCAATATAATCCTGAAAGTGAAAGTGAAGTAGTGGTGGTATGCACCCATTGTCATGGAAACACATGATGAACGCCTAATTTGTCTAGATGCAACAAAGATGGAAATTGGAAGCTTTCTGGAAGAAATCACATTTGAGTGGAATCTTAAAAGATGAGGTAGAGTTATAGAATTGAAATCCAGTAAGAACAAAAGCACAGGCATAAATATGGTAGCAGAAGAGAGAAAGGAACTACAAGCAGTTTAGTATTACTAGGATATAAAATGAAAGCAAAAATAAGCTATGAAGTAAAGGAGGAGAGAGAGGTAAGGGTGACATTGTGGAAGATGCCACACCTGGAAGTATTTAGTATGATCTTTATAATGTGGAGAATGGATTTGATGACAAGTAGACTGAAGTCATGGAGACCAGTTGCAGTCTGCTTAAATAGTATAGACAGCAGAAGAGAGTTTGAACTAGGACAAAAGTGCTAGGTGTGGAGGGGAGGGGAAAAAAAAGAGTCAATGAAACTGATGTGGGTGATGAAGGAGAGGACAGAGTTGAGGACAATACTCAAGTTCTACCTCAGCTGAGCCAGTGACCAATGGTGCCACAGCTGAGACAGAGATATAAAGAGGACTGAAGCCATTGTACATCCCGGCACTCAAACCTTCTTTCTGCCTTCTTCACCATGACCAACATCTTACAAGTGGTTAGATATGAAAGAGCTAAACTCAAGTTCATCATCATAAAACCATCGCAATGAGAACATAGGATGAGGACGGCGCCTGGGAAAGCTCAATGATTACGAAGGTGAGGAAGAACCACAAAAGAGGCAGAAGATGACAACCATTTTTCTATGTTTATTACTCAGTTTGGAAAAAGGGGGAAAAAACCTATAATTTAAGTATACTTTCAAATGCCAACTTCAAGGAGGCATCAGTCAGAATCTACATTCCTCTACACTAAGTCCTCACATAAAAGAGAAAACACTTGGTTACCTATTATTTGCATGTGGTCAAGATAAAGTTTACTCTCCATACTCCTTCTAAGCAAGTACTAACAGGAGTCCATCTTTGCTCAAGGAATAGAACACATGCAAATACACCATTTTTTATATTAATAAAGCACTTGGAGAAAGATGGCAAACTAGAGGTACCTAAGGCTTATTCTCCATCCCCCACCCCAAGAATGACCAAAATAATGAACAACTACATTTTAATCAGTGACTCAAGGAGTGGTAGCAACTCTGTGGAGAAACTCAGGATGGGTTCCCTGCCTCCCATTCTCCCAGAATTGGGAAATCAGCTGATCCTGGGATCAGCTCAGAACCAGAAAGAGAAGTTAAGCAGGAAGCTCCTAGCAGTCTCATTACTGTAGCACATACTCACAGTCTTTGCTACTGGAGAGTCCTGCTACCCTCGCAGGCTCTGAGCCCAGTTTAGGGAACTGCCCAGAGTTTACACAGCTGAAGTGCTCCAGAGAAGGTACCTGTGAATGCATACAACCACTCTACTCCATGAACCTGGTTCATGCTACACTGCGCCATCTTGAAGTCTGAGCCATTGCTAGAGTGTGTTCTGCTCTTCAGGTTAGTTGTCACTGAATTTCTCCATTGCTGAGGCTCTGCCATCACAACACCAGGCTCAATTATGGAGGTACACTGTTCCCCATTCAAGCTGCTGCAGCTCCCTACCACCTGGAAACAAGCTGCCTAGGAGGCATTCCATCTCTCCCACCCTAATTGTTACTGTACTCTGCCTGGGTTACCTAGAGCCCAGGCCCAGTGGATTAGTCATGACCCCTGTACCCAAGCCCATAACAAACTTTACCTTCAGGGACCAGGCACTCCAAGCCACTAGAGAACTCATGCCAGAGCTTCCAGAATAGCTGTGACCCCTCAGCACCTGAACCAGCCTGGTGCCTTGGCTCTAGGGAATTAAGAGTTTTGAACTAGGAAGCAGCCATACCCTAGGACCCAAGCCCACACAATGCCCTGCCCCTCCAAGAACCCGCATTTCAGCCCAGTGGAGAAGTTGTGCCCCAGCCTGTAAGGCAGCCATGTCCCCTCAGCACCTGTACCAATCTTGCGCCTCAGCCCCAGGGAATTGGACCCTTGGTCAGGCAAGCAGCTGCAACTCAGCCCCTGAGCCCAAGCTAAGCCTTGACCCCAGAGAATTGGAACTTTGATCTAAGGGAACAGTTACATGCCTGGTGCTCCAGCCCATGTGATACCCAGCTACCCAAGAAACATAGCCTCACCTGAGCTATGCCATACCATCCTCCACACTGAACAGGCACAGCATCCACCTCCTTGAGTCTGAACCAGCCCTGCAGAGCCTGAGCTGAGGCACCCTACCTCTCTGAGAAATGAATTGTACTGTTCTCTGCCTGGTGGAACCCAAATCACAGCTATGCCCCACCATTCTAGGGTCTTTATTGCCACTGCACCCAGCCTGAGAGGGCCTGGGCCACTGCTATATCCTAGCACCCCAAGGTCCAGAATCACCAACCTGTAGCACCCCTCTCCTAGTGCCCGAATTGCTTCTGTGCCCCGTTAGCTCCAGAACCTGAGTTGTAGGTGTGTCCTGTTTCCAAGGTCCTGAGACTCTGGGATACTCATCTTCCCTAAAGCCATGGCAGTACTATGCCCCATCTCCTAGGATCAGAGACACAGTTATATCCCTGCCCCTGGGATCTGAACCACTGGGCAGTACCTCAGAGTTATAGACCATGGCTTTGTAGGAGTTGCATTCACCCATACTTAAGAAAGTAAACTTGTACCTATGCCATGGGTACCGCTGAAATTCAAGACACTGAGCCTAAGACCCCAGCTCTACAGCCACTCCAAGCACTTGTACTCTGGAAGAAAAGCACCAATGTGGCTGTCATGGCCTGTGTTGGACCCAATACCAAGAGGGATCTCTTCAGTGAAATACTCCACTATGTAGAAAATCAGAACAAGAAGATCCCAAAAGCCCTTGTTACCAAGAACCCTAACAATGTACTTGCCACCACCATTGCCAAAAACTTCTGTAGCCTAGGCCACTGAGATTCCCACAGTCATCACTGACGTTGATTACAGCTGAAGAAAACTACAGGGAAACTAAACTACTGTGCCTACCCAGAACCAGAGCCACCACATACTACCCAACCAATAACTAGGACCCATTTGCAGATGACCATCTTTCCCTATGAAAGTCATTCTATAAAACTGGAAGAGATGACTGTTCCACATGCAGAAGTATTGACAGAGACATAGGAAACCTGGAAAAGCAAGGAAACACAACTTCACCAAAGAACAAAATAATTCTCTAGTAACTGATCCCCAAGAAATTGAAACTTCTAAATTCCTTTTCAGGTATTCAAAATAATGATCTTAAAAGTAAACTCTGTGGGCTACAAGGCAATATAGACATAATTCACTGAAATCAAGAAAATAATTCAGGACCTGAGTGAGATATTCAAAGAGAGATAACATTTTTTAAAAAATCAAAAATATTGAAGCTGAAGAACTCAATGAATGAAATAAAACATATAATTGAAACCTTCAAATCAGACTAGAACTGCAGAAGAATGTCTTCCTTGAATACAAATCTTTTTAAATAACCCAGCCAAAAGGGGGTATAAAAAAAAAAGTAAAGAAAGCCTACAGGACTTGTGGGATACCGTGAGGCAAACAAATAGTTGCATTGCATGAGTTCCAGAGGCAAAAGAAATGGAGAAAGGCACAGAATGCTTATTTAATAAAATAATTTTGGAAAGTTTCCCAAGTCTTGGGAAAGATATGGACATCCAGATCCATGAACCTGAAAAGTTCCCAATAGATTCAATGTAGAAATGTCCTACATGTAAAAGGTACACCAAGCCACATGATAATCAAAATATCAACAGTTAGAGGCAGTGGGGTGGGGATAGAAAAAGTTGACATGACCTATAAGGGAGTCTCCATTAGATCATCAGCGTGTTTCTCAGTAGAAACCTTACCTTACAGACTAGGAGAAAATATGATTATATATTCCAAGTGTTGAAATTTAAAAAAAAAAAAAAACTCCAGTAAAACAGTACTTCAGAAATAAGGAGAAATAAAATCTTTTCCAAACAAACAAAAACTGAAGAAATTTATCACTACTAGATCAGCCTTAGAAGAAGAAATACTTAAGGGAATGCTTCAACCAGAAGTAAAAGAATGATAATTGTTATCATAAAAACAAAAACAGAGCAGAGAGGAAGAGCATGAGAAGATTACCATTAAGCAGAGACGAGAGGTGGGAGGGAAAGGGAGAGAGAAGGGGAATTGCACAGAAGATGGAAGGAGACCCTCATTGTTATACAAAATTACATATAAGAGGATGTGAGGGGAAAGGGGAAAAAAAGAGAGAAATGAATTACAGTAGATGGGGTAGAGAGAGATGATGGGAGGGGAGGGGGGATAGGAAGGGTATAGGAAAGGCAGCAGAATACAACAGACACTAGTATGGCAGTATGTATAAACGTGGATGT